AAACCATCTCAGTTTAGATTTGAAACCATCTCAGTTTAGATTTTAAACCATCTCAGTTTAGATTTTAAACCATCTCAGTTCAGATTTTAAACCATCTCAGTTTAGATTTTAAACCATCTCAGTTTAGATTTTAAACCATCTCAGTTTAGATTTTAAACCATCTCAGTTTAGATTTGAAACCATCTTAGTTTTGATTTGCAACTCATTTTAGATATTGAATCAACCCAGATTAGATTAGAAACCAACACGTTTTAGATTAGAAACCATCTCAGTTTAGATTTGAAACCAACTCAGTTTAGATTTGAAACCATCTCAATTTAGATTTGAAACTAATTTGAAATTAATTCATTTTAGATTTGAAATCAACTCATTTTAGTTTTGAAACAAACTTGGTTTAGATTTGAAACAAACTCATTTTAGATTTGAAATCAAATCTTTTTAAATTTGAAATCAACTCAGTTTAGATTTAAAACCATCTTGGTTCAGATGTGAAACCAACTCAATTTAGATTTGAAACCAATTCAGTTTAGATTTAAATCCATTTCATTTTAGATTTGAAACCATCTCAGTTTTGATGTGAAACCAACTCAAATTAGATTTGAAACCATCTCAGTTTAGAATTGAAACCAACTCGTTATAGATTTGAAATCAGCCCTATTTAGATTTGAATCCATCTCATTTTAGATTTGAAACCATCCCAGTTAAGATTTGAAATCAACCCAGTTAAGATTTGAAACCGTTTCATTTTAGATTTGAAACCATCTCAGTTTTGATGTGAAACCAACTCAGTTTAGATTTGAAACCATCTCAGTTTAGATTTGAAAGCAATTCAGTTTAGATTTGAAGCCATCTCATTTTAGAATTGAAACCAGCTCGTTTCAGATTTGAAATCAGCCCTATTTAGATTTGAATCCATCTCATTTTAAATTTTAAATCCACTCAGTTTAGATATGAAACCAACACAGTTTAGATTTGAAACCAACTTGGTTTAGTTTTGAAACGTCTCAGTTAAGATTTGAAATTAACCCAGTTTAGATTGTAAACCATTTTAGTTAGTTAATACCAACTCAGTTTAGATTTGAAACCAACGCAGTTGAGACTTTAAACCAACTCAGCTTAGATTTGAAACTATCTCATTTTAGATTTGAAACTGACTCAGTTTTGTTTTGAAACTATCTCAGTTAAGATTTGAAACCATCTCAGTTTAGATTTGAAACCAACTCAGTTTAGATTTGAAAACATCTCAGTTTAGATTTGAAACTAACTCAGTTAAGATTTGAAACCAACTCAGTTTAGATTTGAAACCAACTCAGTTTGGATTTGAAACAAACTTAGATTTGAAAGCATTTCAGTTCAGATTTGAAACCAACTGAGTTTATATTTGAAAACATCTCAGTTTAGATTTGAAACAATTTCAGCTTAGATTTGAAACCAACTCAGATTAGATTTGAAACTATATACACCATAATTTAAGTTTAGATTTAAGACAACTCAGATTAGATTTCAAACCACTTGTGAATTTCGAAATGTTCGTGCTCGGCACCCTTAATGTTTAAAGCTGCATTTCACAGCCAAAATCATATCTAGGTCTAACGCAGCCGCATGCAATAAAATCTTCCAAGTAATTTCTATTTTCTTTTTCAGCAAGAACAGTCGGCTCTTGACAAAATCAAGGCTTCAGGAAACAAGGGAGTTGTCAAATGCAGAATCTGTAAAGAGGACCATTGGACCACACAGTGTCCTTACAAGGACACCCTTGGACCACTCAAGTAAGTACTATTGGACCACATAGTGTCTTTACAAGGACACCCTTGGACCTCTCAAGTATGTACTATTGGACCACACAGTGTCCTTACAAGGACACCCTTGGACCACTCAAGTAAGTACTATTGGACCACACAGTGTCCTTACAAGGACACCCTTGGACCTCTCAAGTAAGTACTATTAGACCACATAGTGTCCTTACTAGGACACCCTTGGACCTCTCAAGTAAGTACTATTGGACCACACAGTGTCCTTACTAGGACACCCTTGGACCACTCAGGTAAGTACTATTGGACCACACAGTGTCCTTACAAGGACACCCTTGGACCTCTCAAGTACTATTGGACCACACAGTGTCCTTACTAGGACACCCTTGGACCACTCAGGTAAGTACTATTGAACCACACAGTGTCCTTACAAGGACACCCTTGGACCACTCAAGTAAGTACTATTTGACCACATAGTATCATGTACTTGCACCAGATATCTCTATTAAAAGATATTTATTTTACATATTTTGTTAACATATTTTACCCTTCCAAAGAGTTATTCTAGTTTATCATTTTGAAGATGAAACCCTACCGATATCCAACTCTAGTAAAACTTGTATCATTACTTATTTTGGTGTTAGGGTTATCTTAGACACACTTTTTGCAAATTGTGTAAGGAGGACATTTCTCAAAATGTATTTGTCAATGAAACTGTTAATAAAATGGGAAGAATAAATCCAATTTCGTATAAAAGATAGCTAGATAGCAGAAAATGATATACTAACTAGGATTGTTCATCCTGATCTTAACTTTGAACTTTTCAGGGAGAGTTTGACCACACCAGTTGACCGTGACGGTGCAGATGGAGCACCCGCTGCTGCTCCTGCTGCCACAGCTGGCGGCAAATATGTTCCTCCCAGCAAGCGTGGAGCTGAAGGAAGGATTGGGCTGGGAGATACCATGCCGGACCGTCGTAGAGATGACACCGCGGCAATCAGGTCACTTTGCTCTTCAGCCATTTTTATTTTATTTTTATTATTTTAAAGAATTTAGTAGACATCACCACTTTCTTAGAACAATTCTGGCAATGAATTTTTTTATGCTGTGCCAAAAAAGGAACAATTAGGGGAATAAAAGGAGGGACATGAAAGAGGAAGAAGGACAAAACTATTGAATATTTCCAATAACTTGAAGGACAACATTCTACCTTCTAATAAAGTTACTGAACCAACATTTTCTAGATTAAAGGTGAAAAAACAAAAAAATTCATGTTTTCCATTTTTCATTTGTGGATTCCATTTTTCATATGTTGGCAACTCATGAGACAGACCAAAAAAATGTTTGTTTCAGGGTGAGTAACATATCTGAGAACGCCTCAGAGAATGACCTCCAGGAGCTGTTTAAAGCCTTTGGTCATATTGCCAGGATATTCCTCGCCAAGGACAAGGTTTCAGGACTCTGTAAGGTAAGCTACTTATTAATTCATTCATTCATTCATCCTTTCATTCATTCATTCATTCATTCATTTATTCACCTATATATTAGGAATAGGGTTAACCAATGGGATGCTTATTTCCTTTAACGCCAACCTAGTTTTATTGAGATAAAACCACTCCTGACCAATAAGGAATCGCTAATATCTTTCAGGCTCTCAGATCGTCATTGCTCAATTGAATAATGGTTCTCATTTGTCATGAATACTGATTGAGCAACAGTTAAACGTTTTACTATTCGAAAGAAAATTTGGAAAATACTTCACCCAAAAAAATCTAAATTTTTGTTGTGGATTTTAGTTACAGATATAGATTGTAGATACAGATGAACAAATTATTTTTGATTGATTGATTGATTGATTGATTGATTGATTGATTGATATATAAATATCCAGGGATTCGCCTTTGTTAACTTCTACAAGAAGGAGGATGCGGCGAAGGCGATTGCTACCCTCAACGGCTACGGCTACGATCATCTTATCCTTAGCGTGGAATGGGCTAAACCCTCAACTGATCGTTAATTTGCCATCTTCAAATAAAAAATTCCACATTTATTGTGTTTGTTGAATAGAAGAGACCAGGGTTTAAGTATCACATGTTTGATAAATTTAACAATTATTCTTTTCTTAGAACTGTTACCACTTAGTTCCAAGTTGAAGTTTTTTAGTTAGAATTTAAAAATATTTTACGATTTTCAAGAGAATTGGTATGTAAGAAATTCTATACATACATTTTGGAAAATACAATTTTTCAAAATTTCTACAATTTCTACAAACCGGTTTTTATGACGATTAAATTTAATTAACGTGACTAATGCAAACGAAAAAGATATTTGGGCAAAATATGACTTTATGGGTATTAAAAGATCTGTCTTGGAACACAGAATTTAAGAACATTGTAATCGTACTTTGTTCATAAACAAATAAGTTAACGGCAAAAAACGGTTTTAGGAGGGAAATTTTGACACGAGTTCAAAAATAACCCGTTTAGGCCTTAACTCGACCAATTTTTAATCGAAATTTTTTGAAAATTTAAATTTAAATCAGCGGCCTTAGGCGGATCCTTTGTTATACATTTAAGCTTGTTCTGAAGATTTAAAAAAAAAAATTTTCTTAAATTTAATGCTCATTACCAATCCGGTTGAAGCAATTAAGATTTTGAAAATGCTTTTAAAATGAACCTCCCTTACTCAATTTATATATTTATATTTACATTTTGTTTAGGTTTCACGAGCTGGTAAATATTTGAAGAATAATCAACTTGTAAACATTAGTTCATTCACGGCTGCTAGGAATCTCATTCATTTATTCATTTGTTAATCCTTTCACTTCTTAATGATTTTGATAAATGAACGTGGTTACAGGAATTTACAATTTATTCCTCTTTCACTTCGTGCAAACATTTATAGAACTGACATTCGTGTGATAAAAAAACTACATCAATATTAAAAACATTTAAATCTAGATAAGCTAATCACACACAAAATTCTAATCTGTTCTAGTTTCTGCTTAATAAAGTGTTGTCAAATTCTTTTTATCATCAAATAGAGCCATTCGGGACAAAATGAGCCAAAAATATCCCTTCATTCATATTTAAGTTTTCTTAAATTTATCATCAGTCAGTGTTTTGTTACTTTTTTCTCTGGATTTTTTAAATACCTTTTATTTTTCGTTCTTTCTTAAATTATTTACTCTCTTTCTTATTATATCATATCTGTTCGGTTCCATAGTAGTAAACCTATCGTGTAAGAATTCCCATTATTACACGGTTCAGGAGGAACAATTTTAATATTGTTCGCTTCCTTGCGTTTAAGAATGCTTATTCTTACACTGTATGTGTAGAATTTTCATTCTTTAACGCTCAGACCATGTAAGAATGGAAATTATTACACGGTCAGAGCGTGAAAGAATATTCATTCTTACACGCTCCTTATATTGATCTTATCAGTATAGATCAATATTGATATTAACTTAATTATTTTGTACTGACATCATGTACAGGGCAAACTCACCTTTTTCTTTTACATTAATACATGCAAACTTACCTTTTTTAACTTAAAAACAACATGCTCACTTACCTTTTTCTTTTACATTAATACATGCAAACTTACCTTTTTTAACTTAAAAACAACATGCTCACTTACCTTTTTCTTTTATATTAAAACATGCAAACTTACCTTTTTTTACCTTAGTAAAACATGCTCACTTACCTTTTCATGCTCACTTACCTTTTTCGTTTTTTGAAGTATTGATATACCTTAATTCAGAAATATCAATTTGAATCTCAACCCTAGTCCTGACAGAAGTGTGGAAATTAACATTTTCTGACCATTTCCAAAAATATGGACGATGCCTTTAGCCTTATATTAGACACTTTCATCAAACTGCCGAGTCTTAAAGCATACTGCCCGACTGCCTACTTTATAAATTTTTTTTAGTTCATCTTCATTTTAAACCAAGTTTGGTGAGATTTTGCAAATCTCTGCATACTTGTAATAGTATGGTCAGAGCTTTTCAGTCAGTCACAATATCTCGCATAATTCGAGATGATGAAGTGAAACCACAATCAAAACCAAAAAGAAGTATAAAAACTTATCATTGAAATGTTAGTGTCACACTTTTTATGGAGTCTTAGCACTCCATAGCAATGAAAACAAACCAGTAAATCTTGCTTCATGAATAAAAGACAAAGATCTTCATCAGTTTAGGTCGAACTGATTCTTACTAGATAACCTGCTTTTATCTCCTCTTTTTGGAAGATTTAGGATCTAATATCCAGAAAATGATTTCTTCTATAAATGAAGACACGATATTGTTCAGTAGATTAAGACAACCCACTACTATACCTTCTCTCCATCTAAAAAACTCAGGGCACATTTAACATGCTGTATCTAAATGTAGTATCAACTTAAAAAACGAGCAAAATCATTGGTAAACAAACAAACTAAACTAAGGAAACAATCACACCACATGCATTACTTTCAAATTAAGAACCAATTTTTACTTCTAAAATTTTTTTTTAACATTTTAACATTAGTAAAATAAAAAACAGTGTTAGTCAGAACCAGAGCATAAAACTTATTTGCAACCTTTCATAATGTGAACTCTTCCAACTTGAAATAGTCGGTTTTCACCAGAATTATTTTTTAATATAATTTCTTGGGTATGTGCCCATGGAACCTCACAAATATGATATAATAATAATCTTATGAGGATAAAAATGTAATAATGGTATTCTTAAACTCGATGAAATAATCTTGATGCATTCTTTAACTCAGGCCTGCGGCCTTCGTTAAAGAATACATCAAGATCATAAGATTATCATATTCTTTAAAATTTTTTCTTATTTTCATTTAATTATTATTTTTCAACGAACTATTTATTACTGCATTCGTCGATCTTTGCAATCTTTTTATACACTCGTTTTTCAGTTTTCATCAGTTTTTCTTAAAATAGTTTTTCCATTTACCCTTGAAACTTTTATCTGATCAATAATGTGCAAAATATCGTCATTTTTATTACTAAGCAAGTTATTATATTAGTCACAACAAAACAGAAAACAATTGAAAAAAATTCTTTTTCAAGAAAAACCATAACATTCATACTTGATCAGGAAAGGATTTAAGTTTTAAAAGATTATTTTAAATGATTTGATGAAGGAGTAACCAAAAAAAGTTGTGGGACAAGACCTGCTGTATGCTCAAACCTCATTTTCAGAAAAGATAAATGACGAAAGAATATTCCAGCGAATGACAAGTAGCAAGTTTAGGGAAGCGCTGACCCATTATTTCACTGATTGTTGGGATTGATTGTAAAACCAAAAATGTAGATTCTATGTTTTTAAAATTAATTTCCCGCATTATTTAAATTTTTAGGATTTTTTATTACACCTAATCCCCCCCCCCTCCCCCGCCAAAAAATGCATCTTTATTTTTTACAACTTGTGATAATTATGATAGACTTATAATTCGTTTGTTATTAAAATTGTGATTGCACGTAGATGGATGGACCTATGGACTGAAATATTTGTTACTAGCTGAAGGGCCCAGCGTTGCTCGTGGAATTATTTTCAATTTCGATTTTTTTAGTCTTAAACACGACCCATGAGTGTCCACAAAAAAATTTAGCCCAATCGGTCCAGCCGTTTGGACGGCTATAGACAACATTTATATGAATGTCTTTTTTAATTATGTATATTGATTGATTGATTGATTGATTGATTATCTCTGTTTCAGATCTAAACTATCTAAAATGCCTGAACCTGTATCTTTTAGTTGGGCAGAAGAGGTGGAGAACTCAGATAAAACTATCCTTCCTCAGTCCAGGTTAGAATCGGTTTCATTCTTTCTAGTGCTTGATTTTGATGCGGATCCTGCACTGGAAAGAAATGGATCCGGATCCAGGTCATTAAAGATTTACTAAATTCTTACAAAGAAGGATTGTCAATTTGTTTGTCTTCGTTTTTCGCTTATTTTTATGTTAAAACTTGATGAACCATTTAGAAATTTAGGTTTTGAGATTAAAAATATTTTTTTAATGCAGTTTTTGGTGATATTTTGACCCTAGGCCCGGGATCCGTGGATCCGCATATTTTTGCATATCCGCACTGCTTCTCCCTAGTGCTTAGGATCCGGATACGCAACATTTAGGCTTCTTGGATCTGTATCCGCAACGATTGCGGGGATACACGTATACATCCGGATTCAAAGGATACCATTCTAAGCCTTTAAAAACTCGTGTCTCTGAAAACCCATATCTGAACTGTTGACTAAAGAGAGAATGTTATAAATCTCCTGATCTCTGAATAGCTCATTAAGTGTTTGCAAAAAAGAAGAAAAATAATTTGAAAATGCTTCTTTGTTAGGGAAATCAGTAAATCTTAAAGAAAGTTCATGACCTGGATCCAGATCCACATTACGAACATTGTCAATCTTAATATAAAAATTAAGTCTCAGTGTTTTATATTAAGATTAAGAAAAGTTTAACTTAATAAAGTAATAGTTCTGATATAGACTAACAATGTAGTTTCTCCTTTTTTTACAATAACATTTCTATCTTAATTAAAATAATATATAATTTTTTTATATCCTTGCGTTGTTAAGGAAAAAGAAATTTGTTTCAATTTTCCTGAAGTTTTCTGTACGTTATGCGGAAAATTAAAATTTTGGAAAAGCATTCTAGAATTTTCCGTTTCCGGTAAAAATTGTTTTTGAAAATATAATAATTTCTGTACTATTGTGCATCATTCCCGGAGATATACTGCGTAACTTAAGTATCTAAAACTTAGGATTTATGTATGGTTCAAAATTATAATTTTTTCGGCTTACCCTTAGAATTTACTTTAAAATAATATAGTTTTATTAAAAAGTCCAAACTTTTTTTGTTTGTTTTGAATAAGATTTTATTCATTTTTCATCAGAACACCTCTAGGATATGTAACTCCTTTATATTTAATATTTAAGTCTTTTTCAGAGAAGTCTAGTAGCTTATTATTTTAATTTTTATAAGAAATAAATATATTCATCATAAAATTAGCATATTAAATTTTATGCTAAAAAAAAAAATTTCAAAATAAAAAATGTTAAGGTACTGATGTACAGATGTACAGATGTAATTTGAAGTAACTATTTATTTATGACGTGGCATGTTATTATTTAATCTTTATTAGATCAGCGGGAAGATATCGTCCTAAACTATTATAACTTAGATATCGTCCTTGTTTCATCTTAAAAATTGTTAAATTCTGTTAATTATGTTCTTTAATCTCTGCTGCATAAAATCCTAAGCACTGATTTTTAGATAGAAAAACGAATATATTTCATCCTTCCTGCTGTCCACAGGGTACCGTTAAGAATCGGGCAGTTTTCTTTAAAAATGGGAAATTACATGAAATTATTTGAAAAAACTAGCTGAAGTGCCAGGCCAGGCCTTGCCCGTGGAATTTTTAAAAATCGAATTAAAAAAATGAATTTGTTTAGCCAATGTCACTTATTAGCTACTTATGAGTGTCCACAAAAAAATTCATCCCGTTTGGTCCAGCCGTTTTGCCGGCAATAGGGAACATATATACGAATGTCTTGTATTATTATATAGTTAGATTTAAGTGTTAAATATTTAATCCAAGAAATGTATTATTTTAATAATTAAAATTGATTATTACGTGTTTAGGGAGGAGATCAAAGGAGACACTAAGACTGTCACCGAGTTTGCGTTTAATGAGGTGAGATTTTGTCAGGGATTTGAGATCATCTGGAATAAGGGCGTACGAGAGCATTTGTGTAAGGGGAGGGGGGCAATTTTGTGCCCCTCTCTTGGCAACATTGTGCCCCCCCCCTTAAAAACCCTCTTTTTTTAAAAAATATTGATAACTTTTTAAACTACGTTAACTATTCGATCATATACATTATACACACTTCCAAATTACAAGTGTTAATGAATTACTTTTGTAATTTTCTTAAGTGGACATGTGAAGTTTCATTTTTGGAATTTACTTGTTGTTGGAGAGAGCTTTTTAACCTGTTGGAGAGAGCTTTTTAACCATAATTTTAGGATTTGTTTTGAAAATTTGCTTTACCAAAGACGGCTTTTCTAACAGTAAAGACGACTGTGGTAGAATATTTTTGAAAAGCGTACTAAAACTACGGATAAAAAGTTCTAGCTCCAATGAACACTAAAATTCAAAAGGTAAACTTCACATGGTCATTAAATACATTGTTGAAATCTCTAAAAAAAGAATTGCAAAAATCTGAGGATACCCTACATAAAAAAGCGAGGTCAAAAAATATTAATACAATTTTTGAGCAAATGCATTTAGTAAAAAATAATTATTAGAATTTAATCTTTTAGTAAGTAGTAAAAAAAATGGCGTTCAAATTAGCTTGATATCCTAATTAACAAAAAGGTTACGACCAGTTAAAGCATGCGTGGTCAGGCTAAGAATTGCCTCGAGGCCGAAACTTTAGGAGGCTATAACTCAGTAACCAGAGGTCACAGGAGCCTGACATTCAATGTTTTCTCATAAGACGTCAGCAGCTGTGTGCAAAATTTAAAGATAACTGGCTGAGCTAATACAGGATGACCAGGACCCCCTTTCCTTTATTTTTCTTCCCTTCACACCTTTCTTCACATCTTTACAGATCATTGTCTACATTTATATATAAAGTAATAATCTGTTTATACCAATCATAACTCAGGAGCCCCTAGACCGATTGGGGAACTTGGGAGAACCACGGAAATATTCTTAGCTTGGTTTTGAGATTCTAAGTTAAATGGGTCCAATTTTATATTTAAAAATAGCTAAAATCGTTATTTACAAAGAAGCGCGGGTAAAAGGCGGGAGTAACTATAAGTACCCTGGGCTACGCTGGGTTCTCAAGCTAGTTTAGTATGATATATTCAGGATGGGAAGAAGGTGAAGATTGTCCGAACCTACAAGATCGTCAAGAAAATGGTTCCAAAGGTATGTTTATTTATTTGATTGATTGTCTGATATATACACTTATTTTAAAACTTCATCGTTTATTACGCTGCTGTGTAAATAAAAAATAATTAGTTTGATTGATTGATTTATTGATTGATTCATTCGTGGATGGATTATTTTATTTTGTTTTGATTTACAAAATGCTTCATTGATTTATTTAATTGGTGGGTTGTAGATTGATTGATTTCAAGGATTTCAAGGTTTTGGACTTTTTAAGGTATTAAATCTATAGTATTCTTGGATTGATTAATGATTATATGCTGATTATATTCTGTATTGTAAACTGAATCTTAAACATTTTATCGTTAAAAGGGGGGGGGGGGACAATTCGACACTTTGTGACCTCCAGGATCATCTTAGGTCAAGAAGGGGCCTTAGAATGGAATCGGAACACCCAACAACCTATGATTTAATACCTCACATGACTTATTTTTATTGATTTCATATTTTGACCTCCGGAGTAAATTGATATTTGGTGGTCACAACCTCCAGGATTATCTGAGATTAAAAAAAAGGCCTAAGAATGGAATCAGAACACCAGAAAAAACCTTTGATTTGATACCTCACACAACCCATTTGATTTAATATTTTGATCTTTTTAGAGGTCGTTATTGAAGGGAGGCCAAACTGGAGGTCAGATATATGTGTCAATTTCAGCACTTGATTATGGGTTAGCAAAAAATATGAACACGTCAAACACTGGATTCGTTGCTGCAACTATATTCCTGGGGTTCCTAGCTTTTGTTTGATATGCATAAAGCCATAGTTAAAACCTTTTCATTTTTGGAGGTCATTTAGGTCATTAGAGGTCATAAGAGGTCATTAGAAGGTCAAACATTGGACTTGTTACTGCTACTGTATTCCCTGGGTTCTTAGCTTTCGTTTGATATGCATTAAGCCATAGTTGAAATATTTTCTATTTGTGGAGATCATTAGAGGTCATTAAAATTCATTTTGATTTTATTTTAGGAATTTCGAACACTAATTAGGCGTGCAGCCAAAAAAATGGAAGATTTGAACCAAAAATGAAGGCAGGCCTCCCCCCCCCTACAACAACCATGCCAACTCCACCATCCCCTTTTCGTCGTGATCCATGTAGATGACTAAAAGTAGAGGTTGCATGCAAAATTTTAGCTTTCTATCTAAATATTTAGGACCAAACGCAGCAGTACAAAATTTGGTGGCACAAAGTGTCGAATTCCCCCCCCCCCTTTTTTTCTGTTGGCATTTTGTCTTGGCTGCTGAAAACATCCTGCGTGGATTTTTTCATGTCTCTAAAGAAATCAAAAGCCACTTCATATCTGAATTGATTCAATTCAGGTAATTGCAGCTAGGAAATCTTGGCCTAAGTTTGGAATGTCCAAGGGAGATAAACCAGGTAAAATATGATTGCCCGGTGGAGGTAATTATGGCCCTGGAGGTTGGATTTTATGAATTTGATTTCTGAAATCTTTAAACCATTAAAATTGTTCTAAACAAAGGAGCTTGTCTGTCAGCTTTAGTACTAATTTCAAGTAACGTTTTATTCAAAGAGGACAGACATGTCGGATTCACTTAACGGAACCCCTGAAACCGTTGTCTGATAAAAATGAAATATTCATGTTTATCTTTTTGGACTTGCGCTTTTTTTCTGCGGAAACAATGGGAGGGAGGGAGCTAAAAATTAACATTTTATATTTTCACATACAACGACATTTTGCATTAATGAAAATACGAACTTAAATATTTTTAACCCTATCTCTGCTGGAATACTTGAAAACCAGGATATGCTGGGGGGGGGACCCCCCCCCCCTCTAAATCCCATGTTTGACGTCCAAATATGACAAATGATACATCATTGGAAAGCTCTTGTGCTCTACATTTAGAATCTGCAAAAAAATTTGCAAATTTGCAAAAATTGATTTTTTTATCGCAACCCAGTTAAATAGTAAAAATGTTTGCAAAAAAAATTGTCCAAAAAATGAAAAATTATACATTTTTGAAAAGCCCTTGACCATGCCATTTAAAATATGCAAAAAATGTTGCAAAATTTTAAATAACCTTATCAAGAAAAACTAAAAATGTGCAAATTTTTTTTGACAGGTTGTTTGCAAATATTTGCAATCGTACACCACTGAAATGACTTTCCTTGCCTTACATTCATTGATTCTGATTATGTAAATTTGTTTCTTTCTTTGCCAAGTAATTAATTAATCCATAAATAGACTATTTAAGGCAGAAGACTTAATTTAACCTTGTAATCGTCATATTTTAAAAGTTAGGGGCCATCTTTACAGAATCTTCATTTGTGTCTGTCAATTTATCTATCTATGTATTTATCTATCTATCTATCTCTGTATCTAGGATCTAACCCCAAGACTACGAGAGTAGCAGAGGAGATCTATCTATCTATCTATTTATGTTTAGGACCGAACCCCCAGACTACTTGAGTAGCAGAGGAGATCTATCTATCTATTAATGTTTAGGACCGAACCCCCTTACTACTTGAGTAGCAGGGGAGATCTATCTATCTATTGATGTTTAGGACCGAACCCCCAGACTACTATAGTAGCAGAGGAGATCTATCTATCTATTTATGTTTAGGACCGAACCCCCAGACTACTATAGTAGCAGAGGAGATCTATCTATCTATTTATGTTTAGGACCGAACCCCCAGACTACTATAGTAGCAGAGGAGATCTATCTATCTATTTATGTTTAGGACCGAACCCCCAGACTACTATAGTAGCAGAGGAGATCTATCTATCTATTTATGTTTNACCATCTCAGTTTAGATTTGAAACCATCTCAGTTTAGATTTGAAACCATCTTAGTTTTGATTTGCAACTCATTTTAGATTTTGAATCAACCCAGATTAGATTTGAAACCAACACGTTTTAGATTAGAAACCATCTCAGTTTAGATTTGAAACCAACTCAGTTTAGTTTTGAAACCATCTCAATTTAGATTTGAAACTATCTTAGTTTAGATTTGAAATTAATTCATTTTAGATTTGAAATCAACTCATTTTAGATTTGAAACAAACTTGGTTTAGATTTTGAAACAAACTCATTTTAGATTTGAAATCAAATCTTTTTAAATTTGAAATCAACTCAGTTTAAATTTAAAACCATCTTAGTTCAGATGTGAAACCAACTCAGTTTAGATTTGAAACCAATTCAGTTTAGATTTAAATCCATCTCATTTTAAATTTGAAACCATCTCAATTAAGATTTGAAATCAACCCAGTTAAGATTTGAAACCATTTAAGTTTAGAGTAAAAACCAAATCAGTTTAGATTTGAAACCATCCCAGTTTAGATTTGAAACCAACTCAGGTTTAGATTTGAAACCATCTCATTTTAGATTTGAAACCATCCAGTTTAGACTCGAAACCATCTCAGTTCAGATTTGAAACCATTTCAGTTTAGATTTAAAACTAACTCATTTTAAATTTGAAATCAACTCAGTTTAGATTTGAAACCAACACAGTTTAGATTTGAAACCAACTTGGTTTAGATTTGAAACCATCTCAGTTATGATTTAAAATCAACCCATTTTAGATTGTAAATCATTTTAGTTAGTTAATATCAACTCAGTTTATATTTGAAACCGACTGTATGGATTTGAAACAAACTTAGATTTGAAATTTTTTCAGTTCTGATTTGAAACCAACTCAGTTTAGATTTGAAACCAACTCAGTTTAGATTTGAAACTATATCAGTTTAGATTTGAAACCTTAGTTTTGAAACCATATCAGTTAAGATTTGAAACCGACTCAGTTTGGATTTGAAACAAACTTAGATTTGAAACCATTTCAGTTCAGATTTGAAACCAACTGAGTTTAGATTTTAAAACATCTCAGTTTAGATTTGAAAACATCTCAGTTTAGATTTGAAACAATTTAAGTTTAGATTTGAAACCAACTCAGTTTAGATTTGAAACTATATAGTATATACACTATAATATAAGTTTAGATTTGAAACCCACTCAGATTAGATTTCAAACCACTTGTGAATTTTGAAATGTTCGTGCTCGGCACCCTTAATGTTTAAAGCTGCATTTCACAGCCAAAATCATATCTAGGTCTAACGCAGCCGCATGCAATAAAATCTTCCAAGTAATTTCTATTTTCTTTTTCAGCAAGAACAGTCGGCGCTTGACAAAATCAAGGCTTCAGGAAACAAGGGAGTTGTCAAATGCAGAATCTGTAAAGAGGACCATTGGACCACACAGTGTCCTTACAAGGACACCCTTGGACCACTCAAGTAAGTACTATTGGACCACATAGTGTCTTTACAAGGACACCCTTGGACCACTCAAGTAAGTACTATTGGACCACACAGTGTCCTTACAAGGACACCCTTGGACCACTCAAGTAAGTACTATTTGACCACATAGTGTCCTTACAAGGACACCCTTGGACCATGCACTCAAGTAAGTAAGTGTCCTTACAAGGACACCCTTGGACCACTCAAGTAAGTACTATTAGACCACACAGTGTCCTTACAAGGACACCCTTGGACCATGCACTCAAGTAAGTCCTATTGGACCACAGTGTCCTTACAAGGACACCCTTTGACCACTCAAGTAAGTACTATTGGACCACACAGTGTCCTTACTAGGACACCCTTGGACCACTCAAGTAAGTACTATTTGACCACATAGTGTCCTTACAAGGACACCCTTGGACCACTCAAGTAAGTACTATTAGACCACACAGTGTCCGTACAAGGACACCCTTGGACCATGCACTCAAGTAAGTACTATTGGACCACAGTGTCCTTACAAGGACACCCTTGGACCACTCAAGTAAGTACTATTGGACCACACAGTGTCCTTACAAGGACACCTTTGGACCACTCAAGTAAGTACTATTGGACCACAGTGTCCTTACAAGGACACCCTTGGACCACTCAAGTAAGTACTATTAGACCACACAGTGTTCTTACAAGGACACCCTTGGACCACTCAAGTAAGTACTATTTGACCACATAGTATCATGTACTTGCACCAGATATCTCTATTAAAAGATATTTATTTTACATATTTTGTTAACATATTTTACCCTTCCAAAGAGTTATTCTAGTTTATTATTTCAAAGATGAAACCTTACCGATATCCAACTCTAGTAAAACTTGTATCATTACTTATTTTGGTGATAGGGTTATCTTAGACACACTTTTTGCAAATTGTGTAAGGAGGACATTTCTCAAAATGTATTTGTCAATGAAACTGTTAATAAAATATGGAGAATAAATCCAATTTCGTAGAAAAGAAAGCTAGAAGTAGAAAATGATATACTAACTAGGATTGTTCATCCTGATCTTCACTTTGAACTTTTCAGGGAGAGTTTGACCACCCCGGTTGACCGTGACGGTGCAGATGGAGCACCCGCTGCTGCCCCTGCTGCCACAGCTGGCGGCAAATATGTTCCTCCTAGCAAGCGTGGAGCTGAAGGAAGGATTGGGCTGGGAGATACCATGCCGGACCGTCGTAGAGATGACACCGCGGCAATCAGGTCACTATGCGCTTCAGCCATTTTATTTTTATTATTTTAAAGAATTTAGTAGTCATCACCTTCTTAAAACAATTCTGGCAATGAATTTCTTTTTGCTGTGCCAAAAAAGGAACAAGTAAGGGAATAAAAGGAGGGTCATGAAAGAAGAAGAAGGACAAACCTATTAAATATTTCCAATTACTTGAAGGACACCATTTTAAATAGAACTTTTAGCTTCTAATGAAGTTACTGAACCTACATAATTTTGTAGATTATAGAGAGAAAAAAAATCAGGTTTTCCATTTTTCATTTGTGTATTCCATTTTTTTGTATGTTGGCCGCCCATGAGACAGACCAATAAAAAATGTTTGTTTTAGGGTGAGTAACATATCTGAGAACGCCCAAGAGAATGACCTCCAGGAACTGTTTAAAAACTTCGGTCATATTGCCAGGATATTCCTTGCCAAGGACAAGGTTACAGGACTCTGTAAGGTAACATCCATTCATTCATTTATTAAAATATATATATATATATAAATTATATTTATATTTCAAGAGTATTTTTTAAGTTTTTTATTGGCTGGTGGGAATAATTAAAAACATTTTATTTTTCAATTCCAAATACACTGGGGTTGGGGGTCCAATTTTTATCCATATTTATCCTGTTATCTACTAGTTAGATTTGATTAATTACATTCTATAAAAAATCATTAAAATCGAAAATTATTTTTGTAACCATGTTAAACATCATAAAAACTTATCGAGTTTAGAGGTCGCAATTTTTGTATATTGAATTATTTTATAATCTGTTCTCTTTCCGGGTATTTAACCAATGGGATGCTTATTTCCTTTAACGCCAACCTAGTTTTATTGAGATAAAACCACTCCTGGCCAATAAGGAATCGCTGATATCTTTCAGGCTCTCAGATCGTCATTGCTCAAATGAATAATGGTTCTCATTTGTCATGAATAATAATTGAGCAACAGTTGAACCTTTTACTATTCGAAAGAAAATTTGAAAAATACTTCACTCTAAAAAATCAAAGTTGTTGTTGTGGATTTTAGTTACAGAGAGAAATTGTAGATACAGATGAACAAATTATTTTTGATTGATTGATTGATTGATTGATTGATTGATTGATTGATAGATAGATTGATTGATTGATTTATTGATTTATTGATTGATTGACTGATTGATATATAAATATCCAGGGATTCGCCTTTGTTAACTACTACAAGAAGGAGGAGGCGGCGAAGGCGATTGCTACCCTCAACGGCTACGGCTACGATCATCTTATCCTTAGCGTGGAATGGGCTAAACCCTCAACTGATCGTTAATTTGCCATCTTAAAATTAAAAATTCCACATTTATTGTGTTTTGAAATTAGGCATTTGATCTATTCCAATTTTACTATATATAATAAGTACAATTGCTGCGCGCAGGCACATTGTATGCCTGGATCCTAAGTATAGCTTCAGTAAGGCATAAACCAACCATGGACGCTGATGTAAATTTACTTTGATTTCTTTCTTAATAGATGACATTCGTGTAAGTAATTATATGAAATTATTATAAAAATTGTTCTTATCAATGTTATATTGTTGCTATAATACTTCAATCTATTTCAGTTAAACATCCAAACTCTTCTACCAAGTAACATCATCTGAATAAAGAATTAAAGAAAACACAGTAAATTAAAGTGAGAGTAGTTTGAAACCGGTCATTCCAAGGGAAATCAATACATATTGTGTTTGTTGAATAGAAGAGACCAGGGTTTAAGTATCACATTTTTGATAAATTTAACAATTATTCTTTTCTCAGAACTGTTACCACTGTTCCAAGTTGAAGCTTTTTAGTTAGAATTTAAAAATATTTTACGATTTTTCAAGAGAATTGGTATGTAAGAAATTCTATACATACATTTTGGAAAATACAATTTTTCAAAATTTCTACAATTTTGGAGTAAATTGGTGTTTTCAGTAGAATCAATGTATGTAAATTTTCGATTTTTTTTTAAAATAGAAGTTCTACTTTGACTCCTTTGACAGTCTGTAAGAGGTATAATGGTAAGTGTATATAAAGTTTAATAGATAATAAATACGTAATTGTTGGCAGGTACAGACAAAAGTATGTATGAATGTTTATTTAGATGGAGACTGATGAAGGAATGATGATGTTGTGAATTTGTGTAGTAGATTGGATTGGGATTGGGATTGGGATTGGGATTGGGATTGGGATTGGGATTGGATTGGATTCTTGAACTGTTACACAAGGAAATTTTTGACAAATTTGACTGAGTATTGCATCTTGAAATATCACAAAGTCTAATGATTATTCAATTACTGACTCATTATACTAAATCCATCTTAAAATCACTCATTAACCAACTTTGTTATATTTCAAGATGCAATACACAGTCAAATTTGTCAAAAATTTCATTGTAAAACAGTTTAAGAATTCAACACACAAAATATTAATCTTAGGTAGGATTAAAAAAATGGTTTGAGTTGTGCTTTTTTGCCTGACGCAACTGGATTTTTTAAAATCACACTTTAAAGGCCCTAAATATACCATTTAAAAAAGTAGTTTTGCCCGGAAGAGTCAAATGTGGTGGTAAGGAAGGGGAAATAGTGGTGGCTTATGGCTGCCGGAAGAGAAAACGCTAATATGTGACACGAAAGGAAAAATAGTGGTGGCTCATGGCCGCCTGCCTTCCCCCGCTCGTATGAAGGATCAATGTGCATGCAAAACTATAGTTATCAACTTCTCAACATTTTGGTTTTAGAACTTGAATGTGCCTCAAAAATACGTATTTTTATGTAAAGGTAAAACTTTTAAATTCCAAAAATTAAGAAATGTTTGGATTTTTTCAAATTTAAATCTAGGTAAAGGCAAAGGCCAAAATTGTCTGATTTTTACGGATATAAAATGCGTATTTTTACCTAGGAAATGGTTACGAAAATACGTATGTCATGCATAAATATGGAAAATACGTATTTTTACGTATTCCAAACCTAAGAATACGCATTAATATGAATTTTAAAAATGGAATTTTAGAAACGCATTTCTTATAATAAATATTTCTTAAAATAAATCTGGAACATTTTCAATTGTTTATTAAGGATGATTATTGCTGGATACTGTTTTTCAACAGCATGATTTCGGATTAACCATAGGGATGTCAGTTCTCTACCTGAGTGCTCAGTTATCTGTGCTGTACACTTACAACTGCTCAAGAAAAAAGTTATATTTTTATTACAAATTAAATTGAATTAAAAGTTATATTTTTATTACAAATTGAAAAAATAAGAATGTATGTTTCTGTAGTTTTAGGTTTTTATCAAGTTTTGCGGATAAAACCATAGATTAATAACAGTACAGATAGAACTCTAGATGTCGTCTTTACAAGATTTAGGGGCTTGCGCGATTCTCTCTCTGTCTTTTCATGCAACGCGGCATGCGCGTAACGCATTGGGCCTTTGCCTCAGGGTTATCGTGAACGGAAAACCCCTAAATCTTGAAAAAACTACATCTATAGTGTTCTATCTGTATTGTCATTAATCTATGGATAATACAGACAAAACTGTAAAGACTTTAAAAAAATGGTTAACTTTTAGAATGATTGCTATTTGAAGATGTAACCTGTTGAATGATTGTTTTTTGAAGATAAAGATTTAATAAGCTTTAAATACATGTTTAACCTTCAGGTTGATTGTTTTGAAGAGTTGATCTTTGATGATTTTGTTTGTAAGGTACAAAACCTCTTGGACCTTTGCCTTAGGGTTATTGTGAACGGAAAACCCCTAAATCTTGAAAAAAAACTACATCAGTGTTCTATCTGTTTTGTTATTAATCTATGGATAATACAGACAAAACTATGAAAACATATTTTAGACTTTAAATTATGTTTAATCTTCAGAATGATTGTTATTTGAAGATACAGATTTAAAAAGCTTCAACCATCAAAGCCATCTTTAAAGCTTTTTAAATCTTTATCTTCCATGATTGTTTTTTGAGTAAGAAGAGTTTTAAAGCTCTTTCAAGATTTTGTTTGTAAGGTACAAAATCTCTTAAGCATTGAGAGGGGGGGGGGTAGCTAGGACACGAGAAAAACAAAAGATTTTGATGTCGAGTCAAAAAAAAAATTGTCTTATATATGATTTTGCACAAATAGAGTAAAAAAAGAATAAGACCTCTAAGACGAAACTCTTACAGATTACAGCTTTCTCAGTAGATATCACTATACTAAATCAAAGAATTATTTAAAAAGACGATATCGAATTCGTCACTGAATTCCCATGTTTATTGGGACACCCTGTATGTTAATGAGCCCACGAATACATATACAAGGCTGCAGTATCATTGAAAATATCACATTCAGTCACAATTTCACATATTTAACATTTACACAATCTATATATAAATTTGGCTTGTTTGTCTGTTTGTATCCAATAAACGTCGAAACGGCTGAACCGATCGGGCCCAAATTTTTTGTGGGACATCCGTGACCATAGGGAAGGTTTATGAATGATAAAAGTTAAAAATAAATGTGTTTTAAAGGTTTTTAATTTTGTAAAAAAATTAAATTCTTTAAAATCCGCGAATATTTTTTTTTAAATCCGCAAAAATTTTTTCTTCTTTGTTTTAAAATGTATACAAAAAGAACATGTTCACATTTTAAATAGAAGATGGGCACGAAGCGCCCTAAAAGCCTCGAAAGAAGGGCACGAAGCGCCTTGAATTTCTAGTATACAATATATTAATCATAAAGATGAAAGGAGGAATTTACTGCTGTGTTTACACTTATTCATTTTTCTTTTAATCAGTGGGCGTGGAGAGCGTGGATCTTCCGAAGTAAGGATCAAAATCTTTTCCATATTACACAATACACATAGATTACATTTCCGTGAACAAGGATTATAAGATGACGCACTGTAGACCATTTAATAATTTTTTTTTATTGCTCTTTAATTCCCAATTATATTAATTCTTTAAATATATTTATAGATGAGGATGTTTTTTTTGATTGATTTTATATATATGTATATATATTTAAACATCTAAAATGTATATTTAAACTGGAAAAATATGTGTGTATTAGCGAAGTACCTGAACGTAAACTTAAGAGTATTCAGACATTGTATGAATTGTATTAAAATACTAATAACTTTATGAACTAAATAGACGTGTCCACCTAGCAACAGGGTTGCCCAAAAATGTTAAGACTTTAAAAAATGCAATCTTATAGTTGTTTCTGTCTTTTCTTATAAATTTATAATTTGATGGTTTGATAAATGAATTAGCAAAGGATGAAACTGAGTTTCACAAACCTGTCTGGAACCATGAATACAAGGAAACGAACTGAATAAATTTCATACAGTCGTCTCTGAAGTCTCATCCTTTGTGGATAACCCTGAATCTTAAGAAGAAGGTTAGAAGAAAGTATCCGACCTTTCGAAGCAAACAAATTTCAAATAATTTTTTTTATTTCTTCTTTTTTCAAAGAAATTAAGTTTAAAAAACGATATGATATATGAAAAAAACGTGGGGGGGGGGGGGGCGTTAGAAACCCCCTCCCCACCGCTAGGTAGGGGTTACTTCTGGAGAGCATTTTGTTGAAAACTGCCTCCGCTGCTCCGAAGTATCTCTCCTGGTCATTGGTGTGCTGGCTGCTTACTTTAAAGGTGGCTCTGACTCCGAGCCAACAATTTAAGAGAGTAACGTTGAACAAAATTTCCCAGTTTCCTTTTCCCATCCATGAGACCGGGTTTCCGATACTGGGTTACACGGGGGGGGGGGTACATTGTTTTTTTTTTTAATTTAGAAAATATATCTTTAAAAAACACCATTTTGAAAAGTTATTCTAGTTTTCGTCCGTAAAATTTCCGTTTTAACAACCTTTAAGTTATGGCACATATATATACAATCGTTATACAATCTACATATATAGATGTTCGATTATAACTCCTTGCCCGATTTGCCTCAAATTTTGGTTGGAGAACTTGGTAAATCCACGGGAATATTTTTAGTTCGGTTTGAAGATTCTAAGTTGAGTAGGTTGATTAGTTTTGTGAAGTTTAATTTCCAGGCAAAGCCGGGTACCTAGTCAATAAATATAAATAATATGAAATAGAACTTGAACCTACATTTACAACCACAACTTCATAACTGTAAGGAAAGAGGGGGTAGATATATAGCTGTAAGGAAACAGGGGGTAGATATATAGCTGTAAGGAAACAGGGGGTAGATACATAGCTGTAAGGAAACAGGGGGTAGATATATAGCTGTAAGGAANTCCACTATAAATAGAGACTTTAGGGAAAAAAAACGCTCTCACGCATCAGTTTTAAATTTACGCTGGGTGATTTAATTTTTACTTAGGACTTTCATAAAAAAACATTAGCTCCATGCAAGTTTAAAAATATTTTTTCCAGTAAGGCCCTTAACTTTCAGGGTAAAATACAAAGAGAATAGAATATACATAGCTGTAAGGAAACAGGGGGTAGATATATAGCTGTAAGGAAACAGGGGGTAGATATATAGCTGTAAGGAAACAGGGGGTAGATATAAAAATAGTGCCCGTAAAAAATATTTGAACAGTCAACTGTGAACGAAAAAATTAAAACATTTCAAAATGGGTATCAAAGATGTGTTTTACAGTCATAGGAGGCTCAAGAAAATTAAGCCTTTTTTATAGTCATTTTGTGGACTATTTTATTCTGAAGCCCCCCCCCCCTCTGAGGGGAGGCACCCATGGGGGGGGCATTTTAATATTACATCTGCTTACATTTCCCTTCCCCAGGCAATCTACATTCTACATTGCATTGCATTGCTCTCACCCAAACTAAAAGATAAAGAAAAGAAAAAAAATATATTCTGATTCACAATAATACCCTTCAAAGCTTTGTCTGATCAAGTATTGCATTAAATATTTTATTTTATTTGCTGTTTCTCTACAAAATTGACTCGCGCATTTCTTGCTTCAGAAACGATGGAGAAATGAAGGTTACTTACATTGTATAAAAAAATACTTTAAAATCTCACTTTTGCCCTTAACTACAAAAGTTTGATTAAAACAGCTTTAATCTATACTGACATCATAATTTATAATTCAATATAAATCGATCCTATGAAAGTATAGATATTATTTTAGAAACGTTTCCATCTATATTTTTCATTCTTTGAAGCTTACACCACAGTATTAAAAGGGATTGTCTGATGAGTTCACTTAAAAAAATTACATAAATAATTTATTAACACTTGTAATATGGAAGTGTGGATATGATCGAATAGTTTACATAGTTAGAAAAGGTATCAATATTTTTCAAAAAAATGGGTTTCTAAAGGGGGGGGGGGCAAAATATTGCCAAGGGGGGCCACAACGTTTTTTTTGCGACGCTCGCAAACTGTACCCCCCCCCCCCTCCGTCTACACACATGCTCTCGTACGCCCTTGATGGTAATGGAACAGGACAGATGTAAGTATTCTGCAGAATTATTTGAAAATTGAAAGGTATAGGCTAAAGCCTAAGCATTTTAGAAGTTGAAGGAGACCTCGGAACTAAGATGTTGTCAACCAATACTTTACAGAGTATAGCTAAATGGGGTCTCTCATCGCATAATTAATGAACGTTTTAAATGATTAATTATTTATAATTCTGATAAGCATGGAGAAAAGACACTCTATATTGACTAGTGAAAACACAGTGATATTCTAGGGGCTTAAAGTCCAGTCCACTATAAATAGAGACTTTAGGGAAAAAAAACGCTCTCACGCATCAGTTTTAAATTTACGCTGGGTGATTTAATTTTTACTTAGGACTTTCATAAAAAAACATTAGCTCCATGCAAGTTTAAAAATATTTTTTCCAGTAAGGCCCTTAACTTTCAGGGTAAAATACAAAGAGAATAGAATATATATTAGAGTGGAATTTTCTAGAAAAAAGTGTAAAACGGCCATTTTGTTGTACTGTTTCCATACTGCAGGTGTAATTCACATATTTGCGCTATAAAACCTTTTGGGCCCTGAAACATCATTTTATAGTAAATCTAAAATCAATAGTAAAAGAAAACCAAATTATAAAATAGGCATGGTTTTATAATTGACCAATGATCATTTCACAAAGACTCTATGCCTTTCATTTTACAAACGATGATTTTCCGCTATAATTATAAATCATATGATGTTTTTTATTCACCTAATTAATTTTATAAAGTATATATATTGGATTCATAAAATTCGAAATTGAAATGGATAGTCTAGGGAACATACTGTATTAATGTACTCTACTGCATATAATTTGTGAACATTTACATGATTTGTACACTTCGAACTCCCTTTCAGGCTGAAAGGGACTGACAAAATTCATACCGAGGGATTTATAAATTTCACTCTAATATATATTCTATTCTCTTTGGTGAAATATGAATTCTAATTGGCATGGTAGTTTTTGATGTAGAACCTACCAAAAAGCATTTTTATCTTCTCCTCTTTCATGTCCTTAATCTTCTTTATGATGAATATTCTTCAAAACCCTGCAACTAATATGTTCCCATGGCACGTGGCGGATCATCGCGGATTTTTCATATAGGTGGGTTTGCTACTTTATAAGCTGTATGAATTTATAGTGGACAACCTTTAGGGCATAAATTAAGAAAGGTGAAAGCTGAAAGGTGGTAAAGGAAGCCTTTTATTTCATAGAGTTTGTTTATCCCAGGGCCAGAAATGAGTGGAAAACTGAAATGAAACCCAGCTAAAACCCATTATTTGATATACATCATGAATGGGCTTGTACATGGTCGGGGGNAAGGACATTAAAACCTAATAGGACACAGCATTTTAAACTAGAAATAGTTAGAAGTAAATACCTAAAACCTAATAGGACACAGCATTTTAAACTAGAAATAGTTAGAAGTAAATACCTAAAACCTAATAGGACACAGCATTTTAAACTAGAAATAGTTAGAAGTAAATACCTAAAACCTAATAGGACACAGCATTTTAAACTAGAAATAGTTAGAAGTAAATACCTAAAACCTAATAGGACACAGCATTTTAAACTAGAAATAGTTAGAAGTAAATACCTAAAACCTAATAGGACACAGCATTTTAAACTAGAAATAGTTAGAAGTAAATACCTAAAACCTAATAGGACACAGCATTTTAAACTAGAAATAGTTAGAAGTAAATACCTAAAACCTAATAGGACACAGCATTTTAAACTAGAAATAGTTAGAAGTAAATACCTAAAACCTAATAGGACACAGCATTTTAAACTAGAAATAGTTAGAAGTAAATACCTAAAACCTAATAGGACACAGCATTTTAAACTAGAAATAGTTAGAAGTAAATACCTAAAACCTAATAGGACACAGCATTTTAAACTAGAAATAGTTAGAAGTAAATACCTAAAACCTAATAGGACACAGCATTTTAAACTAGAAATAGTTAGAAGTAAATACCTAAAACCTAATAGGACACAGCATTTTAAACTAGAAATAGTTAGAAGTAAATACCTAAAACCTAATAGGACACAGCATTTTAAACTAGAAATAGTTAGAAGTAAATACCTAAAACCTCGTTCAAAAATATTGTTTTTCAAACTTTTTGTTGCTATGAATGGTAAATGTTCATTATAAGTTTTAAGTCGAACATAAGAAAATATTTGGCTTCTAAATATAAGGAATTCATATGTAGAAACAAGAACTATCTATTCCGCTGGCATGTGCGCGCGTAAATGATGCCCAGTCCTACAGTGATAACCAGAAAACTGGAGAATAGGAAGACGACATTATACATTTGATGTTGTCACAAAGCACAAAGCTTTTCTAGTAAGTTATCAAATCTCCTATTAAGTGGATGGGTCTGTTAACACTGCACATTTTTTATGCCTCATGTTCATTGGACTAAAAGTCATAACTTGTGTCTAAAAGTCGTCTTCATATTCCAGAGTTGTCTGGTTCTCACTTTAACTACCACAATAATGTTTAGGTTGATATTTCCTGGTTTGTTATAATCTCCTGCATAGTTGCAGTCTCAGGTTTTATTGTCAATTCAGCTGTTGTGGCAGTCGTAATCAAGGTAGACAAATATTTTCACTTGTTTAGATTATAAAGCTTTAATTGTATAGCTAATATTTAAATCCAAGTGAAGAATTATATAGTTAATAGGATTTCAAAAATATTTTATCCATTTATAGAATTATACCAATAAGAGGATTTCAAATTTTAAAAATGATTTTATAAATTTGACAATCAAACTGTCTGGTACAACTTCAAAATTAAAGAAAAAGCGGAGAAATTTAAATTCAATTCATTTTTTTCAAAGAGAAATGTTGGTGGATCCTAGGGATCTGGGATTTGCTTTCACACTCGCCGCTTGGATTGAGGTAACTAGAAATAATTCATATCACTCTTAGAAGATAACAGATGCCCTCATCCGTAACTAGGATTTTTTTACACAATTTTAATAGAAAAACTGGCATTTGTTGACATATATATTATACAAAGTGACATTTGTAAATAGAATTTATACAATACATATAAATTAAAAAAACATGGAAAAAAACATCAATGATGAAGATTAATTAAGTTAAAGGAATTGATTTTTTGTCACAAACATGAATTTTCTAATCCCTGAATTAGAAAATCGAGTTGTAAAATATTAGAGATTAGAAAATAAGAGTTTGGAGTTTTTCGTAATATTAAACTTTTTAGTTAGTTTGCTAAAAAATTTCAATTTTTTTCAGTAATTTTAGATTACTAAAAATTCAAGGCGCTTCGCGCCCTTCTTTCTAGGGTTTTAGGGCGCTTCGCGCCCATCTTCTATTTAAATTGTGAACATGTTCTTTTTGTTTACATTTCAAAACAAAGATGAAAAAATTTTGCGGATTTTTAAAAAAAAAATTCGCGGATTTTCAAAAATTTAAATTTTTTTACAAAATTAAAACCTCTAAAACACAAATTTTTAAAATTTCTATCATTCATAAACCTTCCCTGGGGTCCCTAGATGTCCCACAAAAAATTTGGGCCCGATCGGTTCAGCCGTTTTGACGTTTATTGGATACAAACAGACAAACAAACAAACAGACAAACAAATTTATACATAGATTAATAATTATTTTTACTTTTTCTTCAGATGAACTGCGTGTGTTAAGTTAAACCACTTCTCTAGTTAACCTCATTGGCAATAGAGAAATTTTTTGATAGCCGGACCACCTGGTTGTATTGGCGGCAAATGCTTGATTTTACAGTTCTGATAACTTGCTGAAACTAACATAATTAATGTTGGGATAGACTTGCATATTTAAAAAATAATTTTTCAAAAAATCAATTTAAATTGGATATGTACTGTATACATTAAACACACGTACAGTGTACAGTGGTTGATTTAAACAACAATTTTACACTTATCCAGTCTTTCAATAATTGTCGAGAAGGAACCTTGCTGTTTTTTCTTTTCGGAAAATGCGGAAAATTCCCCAGGATGGAGATGCTTTTGCTTCAAACCTGCCTATTCCTGAAACAAATGAAGCATGATTAAAATATTTATCTTTTTTATTGAATGTTAGATAAATGTATGAATATCACGTGGATTTAACGGTTCTGTCAATAATTCAGAAAGCTGTGACTTTTGATCACAATTTGACCCCTTATACATGATTTTATAGCCTTTTTTTTCTGAAATAATTTTTTGTTGGCGTATACATTTTGAATAAAAAAATATAAAATATATAAATCTGTAAGTTTAAAGATTGTTGAATTATAGACCAAAACATGTTTGATTTCAAATAAAAGAAACCGAATGCTTCTCTATCTGGTTAGTTCTGGGTGATATATATGAAATAATTGTTTTAATGAATTGCAAATTCCCGTTAGTAAATGCAGTTGTCAAGGAATTTGACAAGACAAGAAGGTGAAACGTGAAAAAACAACTATAGTAATAGAATGAACCAAATAGGTTAACTATACTTTACAGGGAATTTCAGGGAATTTACTATGGGTACCTAAGACCAATTTTGTAATAATTCGAATTCCCGAAAAGTATAGTTGTACTGTATCACAGTTTTATCGTCGTTTGAGATGAAAATGCGCGATTTTTTTCACAAAATCTTGACAGAGTGAGATTTTTTTTCACAAAATCTTGACAGAGTGAGATTTTTTGTTACTTAATTTTCCCACGGACCAAAGGACATTAAAACCTAATAGGACACAGCATTTTAAACTAGAAATAGTTAGAAGTAAATACCTAAAACCTTTTTTTGTGGACTATCGTTAATCTTGAATGCTTGATCTTGATATCCAATGTGGACACTTTTGAATTTGAGGATATATGCTTCAACCCGGAACTAATCGACTATCAGAATATAGTTTAAACAATTTTTAATATTGTAATGTTAACTTTATTCTTATTATTTATAGTTTTAAATATTCTTTGTTATTTTTACAATAATAAAGTTTTCTGAAACTTTCAAAAAGTTTCGCGACAAAATTTGATAATGTTCCTAAAGATTTTTTTTTGGCCATTTATGGATAATTTACCAAGGTCCAATTGAACGATTTTAAATAATGAAATAATCAAAAAAAAATAGTGAAGATATTCCAATATTTTTTTATGATATTTCTATGGTATTTCTATGGTATTTCTATGGTATTTTTATGGTATTTCTAAAACCCAATTTTAAATTTAGGATTTATGTCCTTTAGTTATTTATACAAGAATTTTTCGAAACCAAGTCCCAAAAACAATCAAATTTAAGATGAAAAGTTTTAGAGAAATACACGGATTTTTTTGAGATATAAGTGAGACCAAATCTCTTAATTCATTTCTTCCGTTTTAGAAGTTCTTTCCACTGATTTAGTAAAAGTTCTTGGAATTATTAAGATAAATTTTGGAGGACCATTTTTGAAAAATAAAACCTCGTTTTCATAGAAGCAACGGACCTTGATTAACCTTTTAATTGTCTGGAGTTGTTTGGCAGCTGGGGGTCAACTCTCGATGGTCCTATTACAGGTAACTATATCTTTGCAATTCAATGTCGGAGGCCATTAATATTTCAAATTATGATTTTTTTTAGATCAAATAATAATAGTTTAAAATATCAAAGGTTTACACCATCAGGTTGCAAAGATATAGGGGATTAGAAAATCTGAATTTACTGCAAAAACTCAGAGTTTAAGGTTTATTCCACAAGTGTTTTACATCACTATTTTTCTGATTTTTAATTACTTCCATTGGCCCAGGGAAAAAGAATATTTAAGACTACAATTTTGTAGGATATCAATGATAATGATTAATGATAATAGTTAAAACTTACTGAAGTACCAAACTTGGCCCGTTGAATTTTAGGAAAACTTAAATAAATTTCGAATTAAAAAAATTATAATTAAAAAATTAATTTTTTTCTGTAGCCCTTCATCCTTAATCGGTCAAAGTGTTAAATGGTACTGTTGTGAATTGGACTCGCAACTGTAAAACATGGTGGTCACTAGTCACGTGAAATTACAGTTACACTTTTTGTTTGTTCTGCAGTTGCTGCTTGAACACTGGAAAACAGCATTTTACCACGAGATGTGTGTTGGATTCTCATCAGCTGTCATGTTCATCACCAGTCTTAACAGACTCCTTCCAGTTGGTATTGTGGGCTTTAGGTCTTCTTTTATACTATAGCTTAAATGCCCGGCGTTGCCCGTAAAATAAAGAAAAATTTAGAATTTAAAAGAAGAAAAAAATTTGATTTTAAAAAATCTAATTTTTTAACCTATGTCAACCCAGGGTACCCATGGGTTCCCTCAAAAGAATATTTATATGATAAGGAATATATATTTCTATAAAGACATGCTGGCAATGACTTTCGAAGATTACAAGGAAAAAATTATCGTTTCCTCTTTTTGATATGTTTCATCAAAAATAATCCTTTAAAAAAATACACTATGGAATTAAATGATACTTCAATTAATGGAATGTATCATTTACTCTCAGACAAATCCCTCAGGGATTCAAGGATAAACTCGATTTGTCTGAGAGTAAATGACATTTCATTGTAAAAAATAACAAATTATTTTTATTATTTATTATTGTTTTTGAAAGGGGCGGGCTTAAAGGAAGTGACCAGCTATGTAAGGTAGTTGAACTGAGTTTGCAGTGTTGTGGAAAACTTCTTTCGGATTAATTTGAGACATATATAAACTTTTAAAGATCTGTAAATCCTGAGTTTGAGCGCAAATTCGACGTTTTTCCTTCTTTGAGGGTGGATACGTTTTCAGAATTAGTTTTTTTTAATTATTCAGATATTACAAACAGTAGTTATCGACGCATTCGTATATTGTTAATATTTCATAATATTTTTGATTTTGTTTGAATTAATTTTCGCTGACGCTGGATTTTCAAACATTCCTGGAAAATATGAAAATGTCATCTTCATTATCAAAAATCCTCGAAACAGGAATAAATGTTTTCAAAAGCAACTCTCAGATCATGAAAAATACAAAATATTATGAAATATCAACTATTTTCGAATGCGTCGAAAAATAATCGATGACTATTGTTTGTAATATCTGAATGATTTGTTTGGAATTAGATTGATTTGTTTACGATCCGAGTTGAATATTGCATCTTTCTAAATTTGTGTGGACACTACGTTCTTCAGTATTAGTCGTTTTTAACAATTTTCTCCTTATGGACGCAACAGATAGAAGTAAGATTAGTAGAGATCAAAAGCGCTTTTTATTGCATTAAGCCTATACCCCCTTTCATTTTTTCGCGAACACTCCGTTTAAGTATTAGGTTGTACAAGCAGGGTTACCCACAAAGGATGAGACTTCAGAAATTACTGCGCGGATTTCGTTATATTCGTTTTTTTCAAGTATTGTTAGTCTCCTTGTTTACTTGTTTACTTGTTGACGTGTATACTTGTTTACTTGTTTACTTGTTGACGTGTTTACTTGTTTACTTGTTTACTTGTTTACTTGTTTACTTGTTTACTTGTTTACTTGTTTACTTGTTTACTTGTTTACTTGTTTACTTGAAGAGGAACTTCTAAGGGACCATATTGATTCAAGGAAGAAGTTAGGGTTTCCACAAAATGAGTAAATCTTTTGCGCCAAATTTGCGCTATTTTCGCGCAAATTTTTTTTGCGAACTTTTGCGCTATTTTTGCGCATGAAACGCAATGAGTTTTGCGCGGTTTTGCGTTATTTTTTTTGCGCAAAACTGGAAATATTTTTTGCGAAAGTTGCACATGAAACGAAATTTTAGTTTTGTGCAATTTGCGCAAAACCGCAAGTTTTACGCAAAATGTAACTTTTTAGGCAAATTGTCAAAAACTGATATTCCAAGCTTAGAATTAAACAACTGAAGATTTATTCCATACATAAAAAAAATATTAACATACGAGTATGATAACGATTATACTACACTCAATTGGTTACTTCCAGTTACAAAAAGTTTAAATTAAGGGACCAAAATTAATAAAATAGAAATTAGAGTTTGAAACTTGGCTATATTTTAATCCTTAAAAGCTTTGCCTAATCAAGTATGAATTATATTCTTAATTTGTTTTAATCAAATTTCTGAAATCTTTTTAATCTCATATAAAATAATGCAAGAAAGTAACCAATGCCTGAAGAATCCACTTTTAGGAAATATGCATGTCCAAAACTAAAATTGTCGAGAAAATTGTGAGATTTGAACTCTTCTTAACTGTCATTGGTCAATTATGTAAAAGTGACCAAAATAGGAAGACATTAAAAAACAAGATTTTTCGAGAATTGAATTCTAAGAAACACACACCGTCCGTCACCAACCGTTTGATTTTTACGAAATGGCGGAATTGCGCAAAACTCTAGTTGCGGAATTGCGCAAAACTTGAGTTTCGCAAAAGTGGAACAGGGCAATTTTGCGTCAAATGACTTTTGCAAATAATTGCGCAAATTGTTGTTTTTTCGCGCAAAGAAAGAAAAATTTTGCGTTTCGTTCCGCAAAAATTGCGCAAAAGTTTTGCGAATGGAAACCCCAGAAGAAGTGTCAGTTTTACTAGACTTCATGCAGGGTAGGGATACTTTGCTTAGATACTTCTGTTTAAATTGTTTGACATTCCGTGCATTTTTGATGTTTTCAGGTAGTGCATTCCACTGCTGTAACCTGTACCCTACGTCTAGTGTATACCAGTAAACAACTATATTTTAGACAGAAGACTAAATCCGACATCCAGATCTTTGAATGTAGGGGATTTAGGTCGTCATTTAAATTCATCCTTGTGGATAACCCTATCCAATTTACATTTCAATTGAGGCAGGTCGTTGTTCCTAGGGAACAATCGTTATTTCGGGGTAACGAATGGAACGAAGTGGAACGGAACGAACGATTAATAAAAATAGGAACGTGCCAAGCCCTTATTACAAAACATAGTATGCATAAGGTATGTGTATGTGCTTCATAGCAGTTGGATTATGAACAAAAGGAACAAACAAATTCTACATTGGGGCATCTTAGGTAAGTTATGACAAATTGATATTCAGCAATTTCAACATTTCTATCTTTTTCTATAATTTCTATCACATTTCAGGTTTCATCACACTAATGCCAACAGGAAAAATATCAAATTCTTCTCAATATCAAACCAAATAATACTTAAGAAATTTTGCAAAAACAATACTAAGTTTACATTTGGTAAAGTTTTACCATTTTATCTGTCAATTTGTAAAAAGGTTGGACTGGTAAAAGGAAAAGTTTGAAACCATCAAGGGTGTAAAGTAAGATTAGATACTCTGGCTGCGCTCCAATGTAATAGAAATGTTGTCTTCATAGCAATGGATCCTTAAAATCCTAGATGTCACTGATTATTGATTGATTATTATTGATTTTCAGCTGTAAAAAGTAAAGACAATTCTTCCCCTCTCCACTCACCAGCAATGTTGTCACTGCATCTTCTGCCAATAATCAGTTACATCCTATGATGTTTTTAAGTCTCCATTGCTCTGAAGAACACATTTATAGTACATTAGAGGGCATCCAGAGTATCTAACATTACTTTATACAACCTTGGTACCATACAATTACAGATGAACGAACTTTTAGAATAATCAATTGCAAAGCTTTTCTTAACTTGTTTTGAAAACTTTTTTATCAAGAAATGACTCTGTAGTTCCCAATTTTTCTGTTTGATTGATTTAAATTTTCAAAACCAAGTTATTGGAGTAAATACAATTATCTTCCACAACAAGGCCATCTTCTACCAGGCATGTCTATCACCCAGGGCAAGAGCAGAGTGGCAGGTGTTAGTTTTGTATTCATTAAAATACTCAACAATTATTTTTAGTTTATTTACAGCATGATTTATGCCAATTTGTATTAAAATACAGTGGCAGAGACCAAAGTAAACAAGATCAATTACCTTGTACCTATCCGTAAATCTACATGTGCTTATCAATAACTACCCAAATCGTGTATTGCAATTAACCTAACCTATATAGGTCTATGAATAACTACGTCGAACCTATATTGTGATTAGCTTAACTATGTTTGTATATAACAACGTAAGACTTGTAACTATGTCTGTTAAACTTCATCTTTAACCTAGAACCCCAAAATATACTTAGTTGGTATTAGACTCCGCTCTGATTACAGTGTGAGAGAAATAACCATAGAGAATAGAATATATAGAGAGGAATTAAAAGAATCTCTCGGTTTGTATTTTTTCAGTCCCTTTCAGCCTGAAAGGGAGTTCAAAGTGTACAAATCATGTAAATAATCACAAATTATATGCAGTAGAGTACATTAATACAGTATGTTCCCTAGACTATCCATTTCAATTTCGAATTTTTTAAAGCTGTTAAATAAACTTTATAATTTGAATTAGGTGAATAAAAAACATCATTTGATTTATAGTTATAACGGAAAATCATCGTTAGTAAAGTGAAAGTCTATGTGAAATGATCATTGGTCAATTACTCAATTAGGAAATCAGCCTATTTCATAATTTTTTTTTTTAATATTAATTTTAGATTTTATTTTCAAAGCATTTAGTTAAAGAAAATTTTTGAACTGAAGATTCTGATTCCAAAATAATTTTTAACTGTGTTTAGACTCAAGCTACAAGTTTAACTAACCCATCAAACATGAAACATATTTAAATTTCGACCTTCTCTTCCAGAGTTTTATGGGTCCAACTGTGTAAAATGAATTTAAAATATTAAGTTTATCTCCATCCTCAATGTTGGTGGAAAAAAAGTTGAACCATATGTTGATATCTTGAATATTTCTAAAATATTGGCTTTCCCTCTTTGATTACCTGCAGGCTACAATTATAGGAATATGTTTTAACGAAAAAAAAATTTTAGATTGATTTTTATCAACATGTGCATGACAGGCTATCAAAGAATTGATTTACAGAAAATCAAATAATTTTCAAGAAAATTTTTGTATAAAATGATGTTCCAGGGCCCAAAAGGTTATATAGCACAAATATGTGAAGTACACCTGCAGTATGGAAACAGTACAACAAAATGGCCGTTTTACACTTTTTTCTAGTTAATTCCTCTCTATATATATATTCTATTCTCTATGGAAATAACATGAAATATTGAACTAGATTGGGAATCCATACAGATAAAGTCATGCCTGGATTGACACCGATAGTAAGGTATTACTGAACTGAATAGCTCTTATGCCTCGTCAACCATAATGAGAGGGAACGATCATCAATACAGATAAAGTCATGTCCAGATTAATATTGATAGTAAAGTATTTCTGGTACCGTGAGTTTATGATTGTGGGTACCTGGATTGATACAGGTCTGAGAGACTCTTATGGAGTAGGTCATTTACTACAAATTGACATTTACCATTCAAATAAAACACTTGATTAAAATTGTTTAAATGTTTGAATCATGCCAAAAACTTTAGAATTAGGAAAGAACAGAATTTAGCCAATCAACGCCAGAAAACACTGTTATCTTTAACATTATAGATTATATTAAGGTTTCAGACAATTCAGTCTCTCTAACAACCATAACGATCCATACTTTTCTGTTTTGCCACGGGACCCAATTTTCATATATATTTTATGGATTTTTGTAATTAAGTATATACTATATATATCAGATAATACAAGGTATTACACCTTAACTATTCGAACTACTATTTTATGGCTGATTAACTGATTAACTGATTAACTGATTAACTGATTAACTGATTAACTGTTGCAAAACGATGTTTAGTGGATGTTTTCTTGTTGCTAATTGTAATTCGTCTAAGTATTGTAATCTCAAAAATAAACAACTTAATAATTGATAGATTTCAGTCTAAGTATATCAAATAACCTTCTTGATGAAATCTTATAAGACTTTTAACATTATAACAGTGTGCTCGCAGAATTTTTTGATTTATTGACATAATATTTACAAGTTAAAAATTTGATAAAATTTGAAAAAGTTTATAAGATGCATAAAAACAGATAAGTTCAAAACAAGCCAAGTTTTTAAGGAAAATTTAACAAGTATAAAAGATGTAAGAAATATTGTAAGTTGAAAGCAAGAAAAATTTAGAGAGGGGGTTTCTTAGGGGAATATAAATATATAGAGATACCTGGTTGGAATAGTAGTTCTGCCTGCAGATCACAGACTGAATTTAATGTTAAAAAGTGGCCATTTTATACGGCCTGGTATTGCGTAATAATGATGGAAAACTAGTACATATTTCATGGCTTGAAGAAAAAGAACGTTCTGGAATAATATGCATATTGCATAATGATCATAAAAAATATAGGGCCTGGGAAAATAGAAATTACTTAACTCAAGCATGATCATGATTGTGGACCATTTTTTATAAAATTTTGCCAATTAAGAAATTAAGAATTAAGAAAAATAACAAGAAATATAATGATGATTTCGGACTATTAGGCCTTTTGCAGACTATTAGAGGAAAACAGGGATAATTACTGGCAAACAAGGACAGAGGGACTTTGATTTTAAATACTATTATGGATTATGGACAGACGAAAAATAGTCAAGCACTGCAGGAACTACTTACGACAGGGTTGCACAGACCTACGATTAAAGGAACTATAATAGTAAACAAATATGACTTATGGATGAATTAAAAAACTGCTGAAGTCTTTAATAGGTGACTTTATATACATATAGTGAATATGACTAAGCCAGGGACTAACAGACACTAAGAAATACATAAAAAGACACCACTCATGCAAAAGGTATAGTTGTGCCACTGCCTATGTTTAGCAAGGGTATACAAGTAATGCTAAGATTGGTGTGTACTAGTTACCAGTAAACGACGAGATATTAATGACGACCGTAAATTCATAAAATGTTATTTTATGAAGTTTGGTTGTTTGCTATGAACATTGTCGATGATGATTTAGAAAAGAAAGGAACGAAATTAAATTATGTATATTATTTATTATTCTTTCTATTATCCTCGGTCTCTCACCTTTCTATGACACACTGATAAATAAAAAGATGATTTGTTCTTTCTTTTAATATCTTATTTTGAGATAATTTCATGCCTAGGGAACCGGAGACTGGGATCTTCCACTTCTCCACCCTCTTCATCTCTTCCTCATATTCATCTACATTGCCTTCATCATACTCGTCCCCTTAGGTCAGATAATTCTTTATCATACTCGTCCTATTGGGTCAGATAATACTTCATCATACTCGTCCCATTGAGTCAGATAATACTTCATCATACTCGTCCCATTGGGTCAGATAATACTTCATCATACTCGTCCTATTGGGTCAGATAATTCTTCATCTTACTCGTCCTATTGGGTCAGGTAATTCTTCATCATACTCGTCCTATTGGGTCAGATGATACTTCATCATACTCGTCCTATTAGGCCAGTTGATACTTCATCATATTTGTCAAATTAGGTCAGATAATACGTCATCATACTCGTCCCATTGGGTCAGGTACTACTTCATCATACTCATCCCATTGGGTCAGATGATACTTTTTCATACTCTTCCCATTAGGTCAGATAATACTTCATCATACTCGTCCCATTGGGTCAGGTTATACTCCATCATACTAGTCCCCTTAGGTCAGTTGATACTTCATCATATTTGTCCAATTAGGTCAGATAATACATCATCATACTCGTCCCATTAGGTCAGATAATACATCAACATACTCGTCCCATTAGGACTGGTAATACTTCATTATACTCGTCCCATTGGGTCAGATAATACATTATCATACTCGTCCCCTTAGGTCAGATAATACTTCATCATACTCGTCCCGTTAGGTCAGATAATACATCATCATACTCGTCCTATTAGGTCAGGTAATACTTCATCATACTCGTCCCATTGGGTCAGATGATACTTCATCATACTAGTCCCATTAGGTCAGATAATACTTCATCATACTAGTCCCCTTAGGTCAGATAATACTTCATGTCCTATTAGGTCAGGTAATACTTCATCATACTCGTCCCATTGGGTCAGATGATACTTCATCATACTCGTCCCATTAGTTCAGATAATACTTCATCATACTCTTCCCATTGGGTCAGATGATAATTTATCATACTCTTCCCATTAGGACATCAGGTAATACTTCATCATACTCGTCCCATTAGGTCAGGTAATACTTCATCATACTCGTCCCATTAGGTCAGATAATACTTCATCATACTCGTCCTATTGGGTCAGGTGATACTTCATCATACTTGTCCAATTAGATCAGATGATATTTCATCATACTCGTCCCATTTGGTCAGGTGATACTTCATCATACTCGTCCCAATAGGTCAGGTGATACTTCATCATACTCGTCCCATTAGGTCAGGTGATACTTCATCATACTCATCACATTAGGTCAGATGATATTTCATCATACTCCTCCCATTAGGTCAGGTGATACTTCATCATACTCATCACATTAGGACAGGTGATACTTCATCATACTCGTCCTATTGGGTCAGATGATATTTCATCATACTCGTCCCATTAGGTAAAAGGGACAGCTCATCGGTTCAATGTTAAAGAAAGAAACGAAGCTTGGAATAGAAATTCTACAGTTTGACATATTTTGTAACCTTTATTTGCTCTCTCTAAGTAGCTCTGTTTATATATCTACTGTATTGTATGATATAAATTATAATGTCTAATTTCTGGTGAAGAATTTGGTTACACTATAATATGTAAAATAGCTGTCTTAATAAACATGAAAAGTTTTGTTTGTTAATTGTATAAAATCAATAAAAATAAAATAATTTTTTAGGATATTTGGGTATATACGTGTTTCTAAAAAGACACACCAGTAGACTGCAGGTAGTGTTGTTAATCTATATTTTCTTAATCTTTTAAAACTGTAATTGATTAAAGTTTGTTTTTATTAAACTTTGCCAATTTAGAAAAAACAACCAAAAAACGTTGTTTTTCTTTTTTGCATGTATTTTGTCTCAGGGAAAAATTTGTCATATTGTAAGAAAAGCAAATATTTGAAATAAATACTTTTTAAAACTTTTTTTTCTGACATAAAATTACCTTGAGAGAAAAAATATTCTAAATAAGATCCAGATTAACACCTCTTAACTCTGCAGGGCATATCAAAAACAGAGCGGAGCCAAAGACTAAGGTATGTAAAATCAACAGGGATATTTTAACTGGGATATTTTTAAAGAGGGGGGGGGGGGTAAAACAATTTCGGTATGAAAGCTTTCTTGACCTAAAGCGTGTTCCATTTTTCAGAATCTTACTGTTTTCTGTATCTCATTTTGTTTATTTTATTTTTTTTGTCGTTATCATTTGTCACCCTATACTCTATAGTGGAATGAGCTAGAAATACGATTTTTTTTACGTAAGAAATTTAACTGAGAAACTGTGATTTCCAATTATTGGAAATGTAGATATTTCTAGAAATGTCCAGTTACCACTTTTCATATAAATATAAATATAAATATAAATATAAATATAAATATAAATATAGTTAAATAATTTAATAATCTTCTATAGTGCAGATATTAAACATTTATGTTAAAGGGGCTGTTAACGTAAGTTCAAGTGACCGGCACCAAGCAAAGATGGCAATGCCCGATTCACAATGGTGCCCTTGACACCGCTATTGTAAAGAGCCCACAATGGAAAATAATCAGTTTTAAAAATGATAACCATATTTAACGAATTCATACTTGATCAGACAAAGTTTTCAAGGGAAAGCTGTTGTGAATCGGGCAGTGTCATTTCTATATGAAGGTCCCTTTAATGCTGAGAGTATTCAGGAAGAATGTCGTGACTTTTTGGTTCAACCTGATGATTTGGACCCTTGAGGTAATACAAATTTCAGTTCATGCCATGCTTTAAAAATTGTTCTTTTTTTGATGTTTTAAACAACATTGGCTGGGCATCATTTATCAGAAACAATTATTTTTTTAACGAACAAATGTGAGTCTCGTTTGCACACTAAACTAGAAACAGGGAGTAGTTCAAATTTATGTGATATTACTTGTACGACTTTGTGACCTTGAAGCTCCTTTTGTTTTGATTTTAAGAGTATGAGAAAGTATAAAAAAAGCAATCTTATCCGTTTGCATATTAGAAATACAAAACATTATAATCTTCAATAAAAAGAGTTATGATTGAAAACATATAAGAATTTAATAATAGCAGTATTTTACTGTTAGTTTGACCATGATTGCAGATGACAAAAATAGAACTTTAAAAGAAAATTGGGAACGAAAAAGCAGAACAATTTTAGCAAACTTACAGAACGAATGGATTAAAAAACAAATTAGAAGATTCACAGCCCGAGTTAGAAAGGAATTGAGTCTTTGCCACAAACTCTGAATTTATAATCCTTATATCTTAAGAACCCAATGTCGTAAATCTTTGATATTTCAACCTTATATTATTTGACCTATAACAGAATTCATAGTTTGAAATATCTAAGGTCTACGACATTGGAATCCAAAGATATAGAGTTTAGAAAAGCAGAGTTTGTGGCAAAGACTCAATTCCTTTAAAATTTTAATTTGTTGACCATGTATTTAATATTTCTCTTTATAACATATAAATATCACCAAAGTTACAACAAAATGTACTTGTTTCACAAAATGTAAATTTTACAAATTAAAAAATAAAATTTTTTTCTGTTTTTAGGCTACAGCAATGATCTTGGTGATAGTGAGCAGAGGGGTTTTCATAGAACGTAACACACACCAGGTATATGTATTGTTTACAGTAGTTTATCATGATGTTCAGCTTATACTAAAATTTTAAAATATATCTTATATAATAAAGCTGTTCGCTCATATATAAATATAAATTAATATGTCAGCTGGCCAAAGGGCTGGATTATTTTAATAATAATTCATTTAATATTTTAATCAAAAATTCTGAATCTGATATTATATTTACATTGCCTGTAATTTGTAATCTGCTATATTGAATAAATTATTCAAAAATTTGGAATGAAATGGCGCCACTTCTGGACTCGCCGCCATGGCGCAACTTTTACGACACCTATGACCAAAAATGACAACTCATTATTGCTTAATTTTGAATAAATTCATGTGCGAAGTAAATTTGTTGAATATTTTTTTGCGGTATTCTGGAAAACATAAAAAATTTAAAATGTTTTTAACTGTTCACAAAATATTTAGTACGTGTTTTCAAAAGTTTGACTAACGAGCATTTTTATATTTTTATTCCTGTGGAAAATTGTTCAGTTTTAATCATTTATTTTTTCATGGAAAACGATAACGTTCTTTTTATCGTTAGTTTTCTAGATTTCTGTAATTGGAAGATCCCGCCTCTAACTACTAAATAGCTTTCAACAATAAATAGATATAATTGAAAAATAATGAATACGTTATTTACTTAAAGAAAAACACACAATAGAGTGTGCGCTATATACAGGGTTACCCACAAAGGATGAAACTGTAAAACCGACCTGTGAAACTCTTTAAATTTGACGTTTTCAAGGTTAAATTAAATATTCTGCCGTAAATATAGTCTTTTAATGGCATTTTTAATGATGGTGCAAACTTTTCAGTTGCAGGGAATCTTAACTATAAGGAAAGGGACAGTGTTAATTCCGTACAGTTGTCTCTGAAGTCTCAGCCTTTGTGGGTAACCCCACGCATATAACCTCTTTTTTTTAACGTGTTCAATAGATTTAATAAGATTTTTAACACTAAGAAATATATTCAAGAAATTGCGTCTTGGTTTATTTTTATACATTCAAGATTTTTTACTTTATATTAAAAAAATCTTAATGATGAACTAGAATCATATATTCAACATTGAGAGAGACTGAAGTTTTCAATAATAATTGGAGACTACTGGAGAGTACCGAAGGGTTCTAAATTCAGTGGAGAGAAAATTATTTCTACTGGAGAGCTTTTAAATTTTTACCAAGATATAAATTCTACCGGAGGGTTTTCTATTCCACTGGAGTACAAACTATTCATATCAGGGAGCCTTGGAATTTGAACCTAAATTAATAATTCTACCGGAGGGTTTTTTAATTCATTGGAGGGATTATATTGTGTAGAAAGACAGGTTTGAATTTTTCCCCAAAGTAATTCATATATTACCAAAGCATTTTAGATGTATTTCTATACATTACTTGTCTGTCTTGGATTTTAGTTGTAAACAGGAAAATTTAAAAAAAAATTATCTACATTTTGCAGGTTTTCAGATATATCAGTAACAAAAAGCTAAAATTATTACCCAGTAGTGTTTATAATATCAATAGTTGAAAACCCAGTAAAATATAAATCACTATGGTGAAAAATTAAAACCTTTTTAGTTCACAGAGAACATTACTCCAGTGAATTAAAAAACCCTCCAATAGAATTTTGCTCTTTGTAAGAACTTAAATCCTCACCATTTTGAAATGCAATTTACTCCAGTGGAAAAGAAAACCCTCCGGTAGAATTTATATTTTGGTAAAAATTTAAAAGCTCTCCAGTAGAAATAATTTTCTCTCAACTGGATTTAGAACCCTCCGGTACTCTCCAGTAGTCTCCAATTATTAATGAAAACTTCAGTCTCTCCAACATTGAGAGGATTGGTTCGTTTGTAGGATTTTAGAACTTTAAAAGGTTCCATAATAATCTGAGATGTTAGAGAAATTTCAGAATTGTTTTTAATCTAAACACGTCTTTTCTTACACTAGGCCAAATTTTGACCTTGAGAGAAAATATCTACGAAAATATCTACGAAAATATATGCCAAAATATATACGAAAATATAAATGAAAATTTATACAAAAATATATACGAAAATATGTACGAAAATACCTACGAAAAAAATACGAAAATATATACAAAAATGTATCCGAAAATATATACGAAAATATATACAAAATATATACAAAAATATCTACGAAAATAAATACGAAAAAATATAAGAAAATATATACGAAAATATACGAAAATATAGACGAAAATATATACGAAAATATCTACGAAATTATATACGAAAATATATACATAAATATATCCGAAAATATATACGAAAATATATACAAAAATATCTACGAAAATATATACGAAAATATATACGAAAATATATACGAAAATATATATGAAAATATTTACGAAAAACGAACCAAAAAACGAATTGTTTTTTCCTTGTATAATAATTTTTATATAAAAACATTGCAAAATTTAATAAAAGCAAATCTTTACAGAATTCGTGTTTAAAAATATTGTAAAAGCGACATTTTATCAATTTGATGTGTATTTTATGTTGTTATATCAAGCAAATATAAGTTCACTGTTAAATTGCTGTGTTCCATGTTAATCACCCAATGCCCAGGATATAGATATATCTATAATCTGACGAGGGACTATTTTAAATCAAAACTCGAGTTTAAAATTCGTCTTCCAATTCCACAGTTTTCACTGAACGTTCCTGGGCATGATCGGTCTGTTTCTCTTTGTTTAGTAGATTTTGACCGAACTATTCAATTTTGTTAGCTAACGATTTGTTTGAAAATTATGATTTTTTAATAATCACGATTTTTTTTAGAATCAGGATAAAGTCATGGTATTGGTTTATCACTTTGTAACATCAGTTGTATCCCCAGCTCTCTACTTTAAAGGTATAATCCTCTAAATATCAAACATTTAATACATGCAGGTTTACACTGCCGTATTTCAAGTGACCCTCCATTCTGAGTGTGGCATGTTCGATTCGCAATGGTTCCCCTTTAAACCATTATTAAATACAGATCCAGACTGCTTTAAAAAGTTACATCAATTTTCAAGACTTGGTCACATTTTCCTTCGGTTTTATCCTTACAAACTCACTCATACTTTTATGTAGCTTTGGACATTTTTTTTATGAAGGGCCAAACATCTTTCTCTAGAATTGAGCCAATGTATCATTGACGCCCAAGGGTTTATCATTGAATCCCGAGGGGGTTTAAATTTCCATTGATTCTAATTTGTCTGAGAGTAAATGACATTCCTTTGTAAAAATAACAAATTATTTTTATCATTTATTATTATTTTTAAAAGGGGCGGGATTAAATGAAAATTGTTGCATACCAAAAAACAGCTTTTTATAAAGGAATGAGTATTTCTGCTCTCTCCTCTTTTACATGTAAGCTGGCGTGAGTAATTAATGGAAACGAAGTGGAGACATAAAATAGTTTAATCTTATTTTTATCGAATTAATAATTTGGAAGAAAACTTTTTAATTAACCCTATCCCCGCTGGGGTACTTGAAAACCAGGATACGCTGGGGGGGGGGTCAATTTGACCCCCCCCTCTAAATCCCATGTTTTATGTCCAAATATGACAAATGATACATCATTAGAAAGCTCTTGTGCTCTACTTTTAGAATCTGCAAAAAAATTTGCAAATTTGCGAAAATTGAATTTTTTATCGCAAAATCCAGTTTTATAGTAAAAATGTTTGCAAAAAAAAATTTGTCCAAAAAATGACAAATTATACATTTTTGAAAAGCCCTTGACCATGCCATTTCAAATATGCAAAAATTTTTGCAAAATTTTAAATAACCTGATTTTTAATCAAGAAAAACTAAAAATGTGCCATTTCCTTTGACAGGTTGTTTGCAAAAAATTGCAATTTTTTTCTCGCAAAACTTGTGCAATCCGTTTTCTTATGTCATAGGCTTTCCAAAAAGCTAAATTTTATCAAAATCTGACAAGTGAAAGTGGGTCAAAACAAAGATTTAGTTTGCTACAGGCAAAAGCAGTCATTCAGGCAGTGTGCCTGAGGACTCAGGCAGTTAGTATTAAAGCCCGGTTTTAGGCCTAAAGGGAGGGCTTTGGGTATGTAAGGAAAGTCAGAAAATTTCAACAGCCTCAGACCAATACTTTTTGAGTTATGTAAAAAAAACTACAGGGGGGGGGTCAAATTGACCCCCCCCCCAGCGGGAATAGGGTTAAGGCCCAATTTTATTCATTGTTCATGAAACAGAAATGCGCAAGTCACTGTAAAAAAACCCATAATTTAAATAATCAATCAAATGAAAAAATATATTTATGCTCTTGAACAGTTTCTAATGGATATTTGCAAATCAGACATCCCGCTATATAAATGAAGGCCAGAGGATCACTTGAAATTACGTGTTTTAGAGAATATGTTATAGGAATGAACAAGTAGAGACTGAAAAACAGCTTGGATTATGATATGTTTTACTTATAGTTATGATATTCGTAATTTAACCAAATATAAATTTTCATAATTGTCGTAATCTGTTTCTAAATAATGTTCAAAAATGCAAAAATGTTTTTTTTTTGTTTTTTTTCTTTTAAAATACCCCATGAATTTAAATATGGGTTGGGTTTTTTTTATTTCTGTCGTTTATTTTTTGTGAACAACCCACTTTGCTCAATTTTTTTCCTTCGTAAAAAACAATTGATTTCGTTCGTTCTCAAAAATTTCACAAAAACTATGTCCATTTCTACATAAACCTGCGTGCAAAATGAACTAAAATAAAAGCATTTTCCATCATGGATGTTCAAAGAATTTTAAATATAAGATAACTTTAAAAATTCATGTTATTTCTTTAGCCTATTTAAATTTCTTACTTTGGTGAAAAGGAATTTAATATTTGCCACAGATTTTTTAATCCCTATATCTTAATTTTTATAAGCACAGTGCAAAAATAACGGTTAAAAAACCGTTGGAACTGAAGAAAGTATTTTAACGAACTTATATTTGCTTTTACATTTTGTCTTTTATCTTTTTAATAGCTCATATACATACAGGGTGAGTCAAAAAAAGTGTGATTTGCGGAGCCTGGTGCAAAACTGTACCTTTATTGTGCAAGTCTCCTAAAAGGTTTTTTTAAAAATATTTTTTGAAAATTTGTAATTTTTGGTTCTCCGATGGCCCAAAAAAAATCCGCAAACCTTTTTTTTCTCTCAAAATCAAAAGTTCAGAAAAACAAAAATTTGTAAATAAATTATTTCTATCGAAGTCTAAAATTTTAAAAAGATTGAATCGCAGAATCGCAGAATTGTACTAAGAAAATTCGCAATTTTCAATTCTGGTCTAATTTTTACGGAAAAATAGTTTTTTCAATGGTTCTTAAGGTTTCTACTGAACAGCGGCTATTTAATACTTTAGAATATACTAAGAAAGAAGGAACTAGAGAATTTAAATGACATCATTCTATTTTCTCAAATACATACAAATGGTGAATTTAATCTGCTTAATATCTGTACCTCATGTTCACTGGACTATTCTAATTGATTCTAAAAGTCGACTTCTTATTCCAGAGTTTTCTGGTTACCACTTTATTCTGCCTCAGTAAATAAATCCTAAATGGGAGTAATACGACAATTTAAAGGGAGTGACCGGCAATATAGTACAAATTCTATAGTAAACTAATAAGTTGTTTAGAAACCAATAATTGAATAAGATTACTGATTTTCGATGATCAAAGTTAATTTTTATTTTCTCAACCTGTTCCTAAACAACTTATTAGTTTACTGTAGAATTTTGTTTACATTTTTTGTCGTTGTTATTAATTATTTTAAAAAAAAACAATTCTGAGACGTACCTACCCAAATTCATGATTTTGATCGTCAACTTTGCATTCAAACTTATTAGATAAACATCGTGGAAACATTTTATTTGTCTCAAATAAATCCTAAATAATTTGTCCATAATATTACATATTCAGTTCAACCACCATACAATGCCAGTCACTCCCTTTAAAATATTTTTATTATTATATTTTTGTACGGGCATAATCAGAAAGTCCCGGAATGAATTTATAATTAATCAGACGACTTTACAATCTAATTTTGTAAATATGATTAATGAATAGATAATAACAAAATATCCCTAGTCCTGCTAATTAAAAAATGTGGTCTTTCTTTATTGTGGGTTTAAAATTGTAAATATATATATTGAAATATATATAAACTAGCCTTAGAGGGCGCTTCGCGCCCTCACGCAAGCTCTTTGGGAAATTGGACCCCCATTGAGATGTGTTAGTTTAGATTTAGCTCTTGAAAAAGACGCATAAAGTATTTATACCTAGTCGGGTAGTCGCGCCCGCGTTTTATCAACTTAATTCTTTAACATTTCAATTAAGTAAAAAAAGTATTGATTGTGTGGTTTTCAAGTTACCTTTAGAGGCTTTTTTGTCTTTCAGAAAAGCAAACCAGGGGGTTTTAGTAGTTATAAATCTAATGCTTAACATTAATGTGAGGGGCTCTTCTTTATCCCATGTATAAGGAACCAGCTTAATTTCTATTTATTTCTTGAATCTAAATTTTAACGGCCAAGGTGCTTGGGCCGACTTTAAAAAATGCAAAAAGTACATATTTGTAAATTTGTAAAAAAAAATGTGATTCCTATTTTAAGAACTTTCAAAAAATGTAACTTTTAAGCTTTTTGAAAATCATGGATCTTATAAAATCCAGTAATGATTTTATTTTTGCAAAAATCCTGTAAATTTTATTGTTTATACGTTAAGACGTTTATGGAAAGCTTCATTAAAATTGTCAAATCACACAAACCCTACGCCCAGGGGAACATATAATTCCTAAAATAGCTGATTTTCTCGATCCAAAAGTTATTTTTTGCCCCCAACTTAAAAAAATGCCCTCAATTGAAAAAAATATTTTCAAATTCCACTAAAACATTTGCCCCCATTTGCTGGGGAATTGCCCCCAATTAAAATTTTTTTTCAAGTTAAACTAACACATTTACCCTCATTTGCCCCTAATTGCCCCAATTATAAAAAAATGCCCCCATTTAAAAAAACATTTTCAAATTCCACTAACACATTTGCCCTTTATAATTTTAAAATTGCCCCCAAAATTTTTCAACTTGCCCACAATTTTACTTTGATTGACCCTAATATTTCTAAAATTGCCACAAGAAAATATAAAGTTGCCCCCATTAGCAAATGCCCCAAACATAAAAAATGCCCCTTTTTCACTTGCATTTGCCCCTAAAAAATTTTATGTAAATACAAATGTTGCCCCCAATTTTTTTTTAAATTATCATTTTAAACAATTGGCCCCCATATTAAAAAGTTGCCCCCATTTCTTTCAAATTTGTCAATCCCTAATGGGATTGAAAAAGGAATTATATGGACCCCTGCCTACGCCNCCCCCCCCATGTAAAACTAACTACAATACGATGAAGTGCATCCTGTCGTATTGGAATATGCTGATCTCCCATTCAAAATCTGTTCAAAACAGCATAAAAGACTTTATTTACTTAAATATTTAAAATATATTAGTCCAATAAGGATTATAAAATAGCAAAACAAAAAATCTACTTTAACAAGTAAAAAAGGGTTCTCAAGTTTAGGCTCATTGTACTTTTAACTAGAACCTCTAGTTGACGTGCCCCCCCCCTTCCCTAATACTTTCAAGTGCATTAGCTGTTAATTTCCTGAATCCTCATACGCCCCCCCCCCTCTCCCATCCCCACCACCCCTCTGATATTCTGTCTGCTTGTTTTTCTAATTTTTTACTGGATAAATTGTGTCAGTTTCAAGGCAGTCTTCATTCTATACATATATTTCATTGATATATAATGCACATTCATAAAGAACATATTCACGAAATTGTGAGGAACATTGATAAAATTTAAAAGTTAAAATCAAATTAAACAAACTTTAATGTTTTTCTTAAAGTACTTAAAGAAAGGAAACACATTGCAAACGCATTGTTTCTTATCCCAGTCTAAAAGTTCATGCTCCGTAGGGCTGGGCACGTTCCAACTTTTTATAGCCGTTTCATTAATAGTTCGTTCCACCCGTTAAAAAAGAAAAATGCAGGTGGCCGTTAATCTTAAAGGTATGAACGATTCGTTTTGCTAAGGGCATGTACCGTTTTTTTTTGAAAAATAAACGATCTCAATTTTAATAACAACATATTAATGGAAAATAATCAACATTTGTTAACGGATCCATTCATTAACCGTCTATTTCATTATAAACGGCAAAAAAGCACCAATAAAAAATTGTTAGCAGTTATGAAATCATTAAAGTTGCAGCCGTTAACGGCTATTGTTAAGGGTTAGTAAAATCGTTAACGGCACTAACAGCAGTGGCGGATATAAGGGGGGTTATTGGGGTTATTTACCCCCCCCTAGAATCCTGGGGATAAATACCCCCCCCTAGAATCCTGGGGGTAAATACCCCCCCCTAGAATCCTAGGGGTAATTACCCCCCCCCCCTAGAATCTTGGAGNTATTTACCCCCCCCTACAGAATCCTTATATACGCCCCTGACTAACAGTTGAACTATATTTATCCTTTTCTGCACGGACAGTAGTATCTAAATATCCAAATCTACTATATTTATCCTGTTCTGAGGAAAAACCAGATTCTTTCACTCCGAATTCCAAATTTATTAAATCAAAATTCGAAGGTACCGCGATCTTTTCTCAGCATTTAAAGTTGTGAACACAGAAGACGACATTTATAAACATAAACAAACGTAAAATATATTTTTTCCAAGTTTAATGCAATTTAAAGCAGAAAAAACCGAAATTCACTGCTTAAAAAAATCCATTCTATTTCAATTTTTTTCAATTACGACTAATCCGTTTCGATAACGATTAAAAATCATTAATTTTAGGCTTTCGTTAATGGACACTTCCGTTAATTTTTTCGAAAACCTCTGTTGGATTAACTTAAATTTGTCCAGCCCGAATGCTCTGTGCTGGTACAACACGTACTGTACAGCCCAGTCAGGCTGCTCAGTGTAGAATTGGCCCGGAACGTTTTTTGCCACATATTTTATAACCTTGCAAGATCACAGTGTTCTTCGGTTTCCATTTTTTCATGGAGACAAAAAACGGTTCTTTTGCAATTTTTTTTTTTTTGTAACTTTGAACCGAAATATTTGTTTGTGTTGAGTCAGTATTCAAGTGAGTTGTGGACGTATCCTAATTGCAAAATTTGGGATATTAGGTTTCTTTCAGATTTTCGTTTGATAATGATTACAACTCCCTTCCTACTTATTTTAGCTCTGCAGCAAACAGCCTACAACGCCTTCCCTGCATTTACCAGGTCTTATTTAATAGTGTGTTCTAAAAAATGGAAAAAGAGAATATGTCATTTTCAAGTGACCTCCTGACAAGGGCGTATACAGAAATAAATCTAAGAGGGCAAAATTTGAACTGTAATTCAAAACATTTGACTTCTTGAATATCAGGCATAAGTAAAAGATACTTTAAAGGTACACATACAGTCCAATTACCTTGCAAGTATACAGCTTTATCTTTCTTTCAAACAAAACTAGCAGAAAAAAGTATTGTTTCTAAAAAATCGACATTTTATTATACTGTTATGTTAGTAATGATTAGTATTTAAACTAGAGATAGTAAAAGACTTTTTTGAAAATGAAAACTTAACTTAAACTTAAATTCTATGAGATGAAAAAAGGACAAAGGTCTAGAAAATAATTATGACTTGTAAAAGTTTCCATTCTGAAAAAAAAGTAGGGGTACAAATGTAATCTATAATAAAGCTCTTCGTTCATTTACATGTTTGCTATGGCTGGCCAAACGACTAATCAAATGGGCTGAATTTTAGTGAGGAAACTAATGGATACCCAAGGATGACATAAGCTAAATAAATTTAAAATATTTTTTTTTTAATTCGATTTTTAAAATTCCACATTCAAACAACACCGGGAACTTCAGCTAGTTTGTCATAGGAAGAAACTCTGCCTCCAAACTCAAGTCTCCGTGGCTTGGCATTTAAAAATGATTGTTTAACTTCGTTATCCCTGATAGCGCCCATCCGATTAGAAGGAATTTGTATTCTAGATAGATTATTCATTCGGACTTCTGCCATGGTGGCTGTGGTCCATTAATACAATCTTCATAGTGCACTGAATGTACTACAAACTATTTTTTTATGTTCTTCACTCTTCAGTTTAAGATTTGAAAAGTGTAAAAGCTCTGAGTTCCAGGGGGGCACTGTACCCCCTGCCCCCCTGTATACGCCCTTGCCTCCATCTCAAGAGGTGCATGTCCAATTCACATTTTCCTCTACATATTACTCTCATTGAAAACCACAATTGAAAATAAACAAAGTTTTTGAAAAGTTTTTGTATGGTTCAATAATTCTATAGGAATACCAAGGAGAATCGGAAATGTTAAAATAAAAATTATTTGGAGAAGAGTTTTTCTTATCACGTGATAACGACATTTGTTTGAGATTAGTTAAATATACTTCGTTCATAAATTAAGTTTTGAATTGATTGAACATTTTAAATTTCAGGAATGATTTGTCCAACGAAATTAAGAACAACACCTTTACACCAACTAAAGTGGTAAGCAGGCATTTTAAGTGCAATTTTAGGTTTTCTGTTTTTACACTATTTTATATAATTCAACTAATGTGAGAAAAATTTAGTTTTCATTTTTATTTTTGACGCTTGTGACGTCGTGTATGATTGGTCCATTTCTCTGTTGCTTTATATTGTACTTGATAATCTATTTGGATCAGATAAAGCAATGGGTACCCGTAGTGAATCGGACATGCCAATTAAAATTACGTTTTCAAACGCCATTTAAATGATTTTAGAAATTAACAAGATTGTTAAATTGATATTCATTTAGACTTGATTAAATTCAGTGTCTTCTGCTGTGGGTTTTGTACAGGGTTACCCCCAAATAATAAGACTGTAAGGACGACATGAAACGATTCCAAGGTTAAAATAGGGGTTTTACATAATTTAGCAAAATAAAGGAATAAGCTTATAGATACAGGAAATCGTTAATATAAGAAAACACACAATAAAAATTCCAAAAAGTTGTCTCTGAAGTCTGTGGTTAACTCTTTATATTGGACACTTCTTTCAGGATTTATTTATGAGTCATAAATGAGCTGAACTAAGTAGGACAGGCTCAACTACTTATTCTGTACAGGAGATTTATTTATTTATTTATTTAGTTTGTGGTTAAATCTTTATATTTGACAATTCTTTGAAGAAGGAGATTTATTTATGAGTCATAAATAAGCTGAACTAAGTAGGACAGGCTCAACTACTTATTCTGTACAGCTCGTACAGCAGTTCAATAATCTTATCAAAAAAAAATTGAATTTGTGAATCCCTAAGTCTGATATTATAGAGGTCGGAGGACGGACTCTATCGAAACTAGGTTAGAAGTATTCCAATATATATTCTTTATAACCAGCAACTTTATATAACTACTAAAAACTGATCACACGAGTATATGGATAATCCCGCGTTCTTCTTCTGTTGTGGAACTCTGTTTTGGAGGCCGCAAAACATCGTCTTCCACAATATCATATTAACTAGAAATTCATTCATGTCTTTTTTGAGCTTGAACTAAAAGTTGAGCCCGATTAATTTTGGACAAAATTTATGAATTTCCAACTTCGGTTTGTCTATCAATTTTTTATTTCATTGCCCTTGCTGTATTCTTATTCGAAATAGCGTGATTTGACCAATTAAAAATATCAAACCTTTTACTTTTTCAGTTTGAGTATTTGAAGCAGTTTGGATATTTAGAGCAGGGTTCTCCAAACAGCGAGGTAAAACTTTTGATTTACAGATTCTAACATTGTTCCGTGTACATCCAAAAATATGGGAAATTAACATCAATGATCACTAGCTATTATTAATTCAAAGAATAATTTTGAGTTTTCTCTGAATAATAAATCTGAAACCCTTGAATTTTCAAAAAAAAGTTTTTCTTCAAAATTCAAATTCTTTTTCCCAAAATTCGAAAATATTTTTCAAGTGATTTTTAAATTTCACAAGCAACGCCGGGCACTGCAGCTAGTCATTTTAATAAAGCTCTTCCTCCATATATATTTGTATATGTTAGCTATAGCTGGCCAAACGGCTGGACCGAATTGGCTGAAATTTGTTGAGGAACCCCATGGGTACCCTTGGGGTAACATAGGCAAAATTCCACGGGCAACGCCGGGCACTTCAGTTAGTATTTTACAAATTCAAGTAAACAAAAATATATTTTTGAGGCCATATTCTTGGTTAATGTTGTATTTATTTCAGGCCCTATTTACAGAGGTGGCAGTGAAAAATGCACTTAGGTAATACATTTTTATACAGTGGGACTCATAAAACTGTGCACTTAGGTAATACATTTTTATACAGTGGGACTCATAAAACTGTGCACTTAGGTAATACATTTTTATACAGTGGGACTCATAAAACTGTGCACTTAGGTAATACATTTTTATACAGTGGGACTCATAAAACTGTGCACTTATGTCTCAGTTAGTAAACTAGTTAGCTTGGTCTTTTTCACTGATTATACAGGGTGTCCCACATAATATTAGATCGTGGATAGCTCAAAATTATGATTTTAGGGACTAATCAGAAAATTTCAAAACAATCAATCATTATTAAAAAATGTTAAAGGTTTTTATAAAAGTTTTCTTGAAGAAAATGCTAAGTTGTTCGAATATTATGTGCGTATTTTAGCGTTAAAGCTAGGAGATAATCTAATATGATATGGATTGCTCTGTACAATATAGATCTCTTATTTGATGATTATACTTTAAAATAGATGTTCATTACACTCTACAAATTGGACAATACCGTAACAAGGGTGGCGGCAATAGGAAAAAGACTGTTTGACTCTTGCTGAAATTATGATTTAAATAGTCCAATGAACATGAAACGCACCAGTTGTGTACTGTGTAGTGTAAGCAGACCCATTTCACATAATTCTATAAAAACTATTCGCTTTCTAACATTCAATTCATACACATAATATTAATTAGACATCGTTTTCCTATAAAATAGGTTCTATTATATGGTTTCCACTTTGTTTTCAAATAATCATTTTACATATACTTACAAAACCCTAGGTACTAATGCAAGGAAAGTTATTTCAGAGGTGTGCGCACTTTTTGTACTGCAGTGTACTGTCTTTGTGCGGAAAAGTAATCACAAGACGAATGTCACAGCCTGACATGGAATCCATTTTCACAAAAATAATCTATGAAATATTCTAGTCATATTATGTGAATATTCAAAATTATCCAAATTAAATGATTTGTTCCTCCTCGAATACTAGACGAACACCGCATATTTTTTTTGTTTACAAAGTCTGTCCAGAGAGAACTGGTTTCAATATGTACTCAGGGTATACACGACTGCAATTAACTTTCCTTGCATTAGTACCTTGCAAAACCGAAACTTCAACTCAAAAGTTAAGAAAAAAATTTGTTTTATTTTTGTTCGATGGTGCTTGCCATATAGACTGTGGAGTACCATATGAAGAAATAAAGTTTAATAGAAACTTGTTTAGTAGCAAAATCTGGTTTCCTCTCTACAGTTTAAAATATTAATTGAATAAATGTTTAGAAGCTTGCAAAGCTATGGAGGAATTCGTCCAACCGGCGAAGTGGACGAAAGAACTATTGAGGTGATTTTACAATATTAAATTTAAAAATTGAATATATTTTTATGAAACTATTTTGTACTTTTTGATTTTTACTCACTTCATCGTGAATTTAATAATAAACGGGCTATATAAAGTAATCATCGTGTTACAATGTTAAAAAAGCACATGTTCTATAAAGTTTTCATAGTTCCCGGATTTTTTCTAAAAAATTTAGGATGTTTCTTAAATCATTTTTTTCCAATTGAAATAAAAATAAAATTAAAATCAACCTTTTTTACTACTGCTTTGTTTCAAAGCTTTATTGATCTATAGAAATAGCCATTGAAATAAGACAAGTACACAAACGTATCAAAAAATTACCAATAACACTATGGCACGAAATGCTATCAAGTTTTTGGACTTAAATTTTCTCGATATCTCGAAGATTCTAGCCTATTTTGTCCCTTGTTATAGCTCGGGACAAAACTAATTCTAAAAAAGCTTGAGCCTTCTCGATAAAGAGAAAATTTCTGTCCAAAAACCTTATAACACTGCGAACCAAAATAACAGTGTTATAAATAGTTATTTTGTTCTCTTGGAAACAGGGACATTTTCTTAAAGGGACTGTCTTCGAATTATAATTTCAAGTGACCCCCTAATAATAGAATTGGATGCTCCATCACAATGTTTTGCTCAGAGCCTCAGATAAATATTTGAAGGGTACCATTGTGAATCTAGCATGCTATTCTTTAATTGAAAGGTCGCTTGAAATTACACCCATTGTCCCTTTAACATTAAAAAAAACCTTTGTTTTTCTGTATTTTTATACAACAAATAATTTATAAATATCTATGACTTTTTATTTGAAGACCAAATACAATTTCCCTGAAATTAAAGATTGAGAATTCATGTAACCTCGCAGCTCATCAAGTTTTCATTTTATCAAGAAATATTAGCGAAGAATGTATTTCTAGTTAAATATTAAAAATTCAGGACATTTGTATTCTTCTCCATAGGTGTCAATAAGAGGAGTTATTTATTGAAAACATATACTATGTCATTAGTTATGTTTACATAAATATACAGGGTGAGTCAAAAAAGGGTGAATAGCAAGATCTTGGATATACTAAAGCATTTTTTGGTAATCTCATTTTGACAAATATGCAAGCAATTTTTGATTTTTTTTTTTTGAAGGGCAATCTGATAGACCCTATCAAAAAATCCGCAAAACTATGTTTTACTTAAGATTAGATGAGTAGTATAACAAAAATGCGGGAATATCTTATTTCTATCACACCTTAAAATCTTTAACAGATCATCTAATTTTGAGTAAAAAAATAGTTTCGCGGATTTTTTAAAGGGTATAACAGATTGCCTTTTTTAAAAAATTCAAAAATGTCATGCATATTTGTCAAAAATGAGATTACCAAAAAAAATGCTGTATTTTATGCAAGATCTCGCTATTCACCCTGTACAAAACATATTTTAATCTTATTTTTAAGCTGTTGAGTAGGTCAAGATGTGGAAATAAAGATACTGAAAGAAAACCAAAGTAAGTCGAGAAAATGTCTGAAGTGGGTGCAGGCATAAATACAGGGGACATTAGTTCTAAATCTAACACTTGGCCCATTTCTAACACTGAGTGTTAGAAATGGGCACAAATTGAAAGACTGGGTTTTTGGGATCCCGGCCCATATCCAGAGTAAAAGTCGAAAATAAAAATTATAACCAACATTTTATTAAACATGAGAAGGACAACAATTCCCAATTAAAATTTTTAAAAAAAATAAAAATCATAGTTGGAGTTCTTTTCATATTAAATCTCTTGACCGTTTTCAAGACAATGTCAGGTTTTCCATTTTCGAACATATCCTGAATTTGAAACATTGTCGCGTTTTCGAGACAAAACCCACTAAGCATAGATAATATATTCTTTTCTATCCGTTAAAATTGTTTTATTTTAAATTTTTGTTTCTTTTAAAAAATGACTTGTTGCACTTGAGATAAGGTATAAACTGTCAAAATTTAACGCGTTTTTATTTAGACGAAGCTTTTTTATTGTAGCTCAAGGTTGAAGGGATCACTTTTATAATCTGGGGGGTCATTTGAAATTACGTCCACAGTTCCTTTTAAATTAAATCCTTGCTAAAATTGCATCGGTTCTCTGATTGTACAAACCTTTTTTGTTGTGTTTAGAAGATCAAGGAGGTTTATTATTGGATCCAAGGGGTGGAAGAAAAGAACTATTTCTTACCAGTAAGCACATATATTTTAATATAAAAATAAAACCTAAAAAATAAAAATTTATTAAATGTTTAGTTTAAGTAATTGGACACCAAAACTTGGCAGTGAGCAGTTTGTGAAACAGGTTTAGAATAATAAAATAATCAGTGGTGGGTGGAAAAACATTTTTTGTGCTATGCAAAGCGTCATTTTTATTGTTATACTTTTCTTTTAAATTTGTGAACTTCCCCAAAGTTTGTTACCTTTTGTAACTTACAGCGCCTAACCTAACTCTAAATAATGAGAAAGGGGATAATTTGACGCAAAAATAGCAAATAGCAAAAAAATGACTTTATAATGAAGTTTCATATTTTTCAATAACTAAAATTCTTCAATTGTTTATATTTTGTTTTGCAGGAACTTAGACGTGCATTCCAAACTTGGGCCCCATACTCTAGGCTAAACTTTATAGAGTCAGCTGATTATTACAAGGGCAGCCATTTTCTTTTTTATCAAGTCAGCTGTTTTTTACGAAGGCTGCCATTTTTCTTTTTTATTACAAGGACAGTTTTTTTATTTAGAGTTAGCAGATTATTTCAAGGACGCTGTTTTTTTTATAGATTTAGCAGATTTTACAAGGGTAGCCATTTTTCTTTAGTTAAACGTCAGTTAATTATAATAATAGCAGCCAGTTAAAAAAAAACATTTATGAATTTCTAATTGAGACAAGTTTTTTAATCCTTATGTTTCTTTTCCATGGGGATCAAATCAATTACTAGGAGGAGTGGCAAGATCACAAAGTCGGAAAAAAACCCGTGATGAAGTATAATCTAAGAAGACTTGAACGCTCTCGATAAAAAGAAAATTCTGTTAATTAAGTTCATAGCTCAGAAATTTAACTAGCTTTTGAAGACCATTTATTGCAAATCTATTCTTTGACATATAATAGACTAAAAAATAGTTGCATATAAATTACCTTTTGTTATTATTGGTTTAAAAGATAAAAGCTCCATATCGGTAGTCTGATATACGTGTGGCATTTGGAAGATACTCACACGGCGATTAGTAAGCATATTTTTATCAACTTTAATTATGAAATATTTGGAAAATAATGACTTTTCTTTAGTTATCCATTCGACGGGCCTGGAATTATATTGGCGCATGCGTACTATCCCTACGAGTTCGGAGATTACGGTGGAGATATTCATTTCGACGAGGATGAAGATTGGTCGACAAATGCGACAGAAAACAGGTCCAATTGTCGATGTCGACTTTTGAGTTATGAAGTCAAAAATATCCACTAGATAGATGTCGTTTCGAAAAATGCAAAATAATACCAATATTAAACCAGCAATAATATATCATGGCTATAAATTATAATTGTAATAACAATAATAATAAATATGATAAATTATAATGATTATAATAGTAAAAATATAATGAGAATAATTGTATTAATGGTAGCATGCTAACAAAAATGATAATAATAATGATAATATTAATAATGATAATATTAATAATATTATAACTAGTTTGTAAACCCAGCGCTACCAAGGTAACTAAAAGTTCCTCCCGCCGTTTACTCGCACTTGAAAGGTTTTACCGGGAAACTAAATTTTCTCTATTAAAGTCGACCCACTTATTTTAGAATCTCAAAACCAAGCTAAGAACATTTTCGTGGGTCTCCCGAGTTCCTCAATCGAAATTTGAGGCAAATCTGGCATGGGGTTCTTGAGTTAAGATCAGACAAACAAACAGACAGACAAACAGACATTACAATGTTAAATATATAGATAATTATAATAAAAATGATAATGTTATTAAAAATATTAGTAATAATGATAATATTCTTAATATTAACAATAATAATGATAATAATAATAAGATAATAGTGATACTAATACTAAAAATTATAATTATAATGATTAAAATGAAAGTAATAATAAATATGATAAAATTTATAATAGTTTTTTTTTACATTCAGTGATCTGGATTTCTTTACAGTCGCAGTTCATGAAATAGGAATATTTTTTCTCAAAACTAATTCTTTAAAATATCTTGATATATTTTTTAACTAATTGTAGAATATTATACACTACACAGTTTAAGTTAAAAAATGTGATTTTATAGTTTTGCAAAGAAATAAATTCATGAAAATACATTTTTTGAAAAAGTGCTTGTGAAAGGACATTCCCTTGGACTGGCGCACAGCCCTACCCAGGAATCCATCATGTATCCATTCTATAAGGTTAGTACTAATTCAATATTGATTGTTAGTTTGTTACATTATATTAACAATATATTAGATATTGTGAATTTATTGTGGAACCTTTAAATAACACTCTCTTCTAGTGAAAGAAAATTAATCTTACTAACAAAATTAGTTTTAAAAAGTTTTCTCTGATTTTTTTATTTTTTGACTAGCTAAAGTGCGCAGTGTTGCCCGTGAAATGAAACAAAAAATTAGAAATAAAAAAAATTGAATAAAAAATTGGTGCAACCGTTTGGCCACTTATAGCTAATATACATCTTTATAGAAAAATATACAAATATGTATAGTAACTCTTTAGCTCTTGATTGATCAATATGTATAGAATTGTTAACACAAATTCGAAATATAAGGAAGACGAGTTTACCGACTCAAATGCCGTAGCCTTTTCTCAAGATGTGTTTATCCATTTCCTCCATGTAGCACCCACATGTCAAACCCCGCTCATCCGTTTCCCGCCTCACCCCTCTATAACACATCCCAGCTCAGTTAGGTTTGGAGAGTTGAGCTGGTAACAGCTCCGACACAGGGAGCCTCTTGACTCCTTTATGATGATGACGCAGATACTCAGCGCTACGCTCCTGTTAATATGCTCCACCAACATGAAGCTCTACATCACTCCCATGAAGTACCCACAAATATTCATCATTAATTCCTTTGTTAATTTCTAAATCAACCAATTTTAACTCCGCCTTAAATGCAAATATTTCAAAACTTTCGTTTTTAGATAAATGTTAGAAATATCCATTTTTAGATCTCTTTATTTTACTATGGTGACTTTTAAAGTCAACATTTTTAAATATGGAAATCTAGGCGGGTTATATCTTGGTTGGTTGGATTTTAAATTTTCGAATTTGTTTTACTCTTTGTTAAATTAAAATCCCATTTTAATTTAACCCCCAGTAGGGGGTAATGTTAACACAAATTAGAAATATAAGGAAGACGATTTTACCAACTCAAATGCCGTAGCCTTTTCTCAAGACGTGTTTATCCATTTCCTCCATGTAGCACCCACATGTCAAACCCTGCTCATCCGTTTCCCGCCTCACCCCTCTATAACACATCCCAGCTCAGTTAGGTTTGGAGAGTTGAGCTGGTAACTGCTCCGACACAGGGAGCCTCTTGACTCCTTTATGATGATGACGCAGATACTCAGCGCGAGGCTCCTGTTGATCTGCTCCACCAACATGAAGCTCTACATCACTCCCATGAAGTACCCACAAATATTCATCATTAATTCCTTTGTTAATTTCTAAATCAACCAATTTTAACTCCGCCTTAAATGCAAATATTTCAAAACTTTCGTTTTTAAATAAATGTTAGAAATATCCATTTTTAGATCTCTTTATTTTACTATAGTGACTTTTAAAGTCAACAAGTATATAGTCTTCAGCTATTGATTGATCGATATGTATAGTATATTGTCTTCAGTTATTGATTGATCAATATGTATAGTATATAGTCTTCAGCTATTGATTGATCAATAGGTATAGTATATAGTCTTCAGCTATTGGTTGATCAATATTTGATCAATATGTATAGTATATAGTCTTCAGCTATTGATTGATCAATATGTATAGTATATAGTCTTTAGCTATTGATTGATCAATTGATTATATTTCCTGTTTGATCAACTTATGAGTAATCAGGGCCCTGAACGTGATTTTGGACTCGGATACGATGATATACTTGCGATGTATCAGCAATATAGTAAGCTTTTATAAACATTATTATAAGAAAAGTGTGACTAAAAAGAAATACTTGGTTTCTTGCTATTTTTTAAACAGAAAAACATAACTCACAGAATCTACAGCACACATTGCATGCACCTCTGATTCTTTAGTAAAAGTAAATTCAACCTAAAGTCTAGCCGCGTCAACCCTGTTGCACCGGCTAGTCCTATTATTTACCCTATCTCCGGGCGATACAGTACAAACTAGGACTGGAAAGGTTGACCCGGCTAGGAAATTCAAATGTACTACGGCTGCTTGTGATTGGTTTAAACAAAGATATGTTTTATTCCTTGAATTAATGTACTTTAAGAAATACATTAATTGCAATAATTGCAGATTAAGAAATACATTAATTGCAATAATTGCAGATTAAGAAATACATTAATTGCAATAATTGCAGATTAAGAAATTAAGTTAAATGAAAAAAAAAAAACATTGATTCCACAGTTTTCTGGTTCTCAGTGTAGGTATGTTTTTTAGTAACAACTCCTTTTCTGGAGGGGGGACTAGAGGACAACTATACAACAGACGATGAGGACAACAACAAGGACAAAGAGGACAAAGAGGACAATGAGGAAGATGAAAAAGACGACGAGGAAGAGGAGAAGGAAAAAGAGAAAGAGGAAAAGGATAAAAAGGATGAAAAAGATGAGAATGGTCAAGATGATGAGGAAGATACTGTACTCTTTGATGATGAATATCTAGGGATGAGTTAAATATATTTTCTTGTTATAACAATAACATATTTATTTGTTATAACAGTAACATATTTTCTTTTTTAAAACAGTAAAATATTTACTTGTAATAACAGTAACATATTTACTTTGTTATAATAGTAACATATTTACTTGTTATAACAGTAACTTATTTACTTTTTTATAACAGTAACATATTTACTTTGTTATAATAGTAACATATTTACTTGTTATAACAGTAACTTATTTACTTGTTATAACAGTAACATATTTTCTTATTAAAAGTGTAACATATTTACTTTGTTACAACGGTTAAACAGCAACAGCATATTTTAATCTCTCTGACTTGTAATTTTATTTTGTTTTATGTTGTTGTCCTTCAAATATCGAAACAATCGGGAAAAATTATGTCGGCATCTGTCTGAAAAAAAACCTTTATGTATTTTTGTTGTTTTTCCTGCTAGCAAAATTAGAAAATCCTTATAAAGTATTTTTTTTTTATTTTAACGGCCAAACACTTACAACAAAATATTGGACCAAACAGCAAACAATAACAATTATGTAAATTGTATGTAGAGAAAATTTGGAAAATGGATAAAAAACATTGATCATAAAATGTTTCATGTTTTCCTGAACGAAAATTAAAATGTTGTCAAAAAAATTAAAAATATTTAGCGCTTTTTTAGCTGATGAGGGGGAGTTTTACAACGACGGGTTTGATACAACAACAACAGCAACAAAATCTGAAGTGACCACAGCAGCAGCAAATAGTCCAACAACTGTAGTGACAAAGGTGATATATTTAGAAAACTAGACTTTTAAGACGCTTTGCGCCCGCCTTCTATTTCAACTATGAATATTTTCTCTTTATATATCTACATTGGAAAAAAAATTTCACGGTTTTTACAACAAAAAAAATTCGGTGGATTTTCAAAATTGTTGTTAAAGGCAAATTTTAAAAATTCTGTCACCCATAAACCTTCCCTTGGGTCACTGAGGGTCCCACAAAAATTTGAGCCGATCAGTTCAGTCGTTTTGACGTTTATTGGATACAAACAAACAGATACCCAGACAACAGACAAGCAAAGTATATATAGAAGCCCAGATAGTTAAACGTATTCCAAATTTACTGGTATGACTTTGAAAAAAATCTTCAAATCAAGTCGCATTTGTATAAAAAAAACAATGGTTTTTTTTTTAAAAAACTTCTGAATTCAGTGTTTCAATGCGGATTTTTAATACCCAAATCGATGAATATGAAATTATTAAACCTAAAATTTTATAAAAACTAGTTTTCGGTTGGAAATTTAAAATATTTCGACAAAATTGTTTTTTTTAATATTAAAAACTAGTTCTATGCACAGAGAGGGGGTGCCGTGGTAAATATTGATCATCCTAATCCAGAAGGGGTCTCAGAACTCTGGTCCCCCCCCCCCATCCTCCCTGTATACACGAGAATGCAGAAGTTCTCAATTGTTAATCACACCTAGTTTGTTGTACTTATAGATTTATTTTCGAAACTGAGGAGCAATAAAGAAAGCTTGAAAAATATTGTACAACATAAGGCCATTAACAGAGGTCATTTTGGTCTTATTTTAAGAAATGAATGGGTTAATGATAAATTTTTTATTTCTGATTACCAATTGAGGAGCGCGCATGCCGCAAAACACGTTTGGGTGGCTGTGATTACCTATTGAGGACTTCTGCACTCCCCCCTTGTATACACCCTGATTCAATTATATTAGGAAGCATCAACACAAACCTATGAAGGAGATTATGAAAATGTAGATGATCACATCAGGTTGTAAATATTCTAAATAACATGATGCTTACATATTCTTTTTTTGCATTTATTTTTTTATTTTTATTAGAATTTAAACTTCATTTTCGTATTTATTTCCTGTTGTAATTCATAACAGATCAGTTCTAATGTTCTGTTTATTGTGGTATCTGTTGCAGGCGAAACAGACCTCAGAAAGAAGAGGATATTTGTGCATCAGCAGTTTTTGATTCAGTTTCAAGAATACGCAATGAACTTTTTGTATTTAAAGGTAAATTTAATTTTAAATAGATTTGAATTTTTAATTTGGTTAAGTTTTGTGAGAAAAAGGACATTTTTTTTGGATTTAAATGGAATTATTAGGAAAGGACTAGGAATCTGGTTAAAATAGATTTAAATGGAATTATTAGGAAAGGACTAGGAATCTGGTTAAAATAGATTTAAATGGAATTATTAGGAAAGGACTAGGAATCTGGTTAAAATATATTGCTCCAAAATGGTTTGACTGAAAAAATGAATAAAATTAGTTGAAAAGGGGTAATGGGTTTCAGGGACTTGAATTTACTTTATATTAAAAAAATGATCAAAAACTAAGGCCGATCATAAAAGGTTAAAGTATGTCATCATTGTCTGATCTGATTTTTATTAAGCTTCTTTTTTAAATATTTTTTTTTATCCTGAAAAGACTCATTTTTTTTGTGACCCTGTCTTTAACCACTTTTTAAGGAAAATTTTTGATATATTTTTTGCAAAAGTTTTATAATTTGATTAGATGAATTTATGTGGAGATTTTCTGACAGGGGTCGTCTTCGATCTGGGTACCCAGCGCCCTTTAGACAGGTCTTTTTTATACATTAAATAGAAACAAATGGGCAATTAATTGAGGCTTTTTTTCCACAGATAAAGATAGATTGCGCATAAGACGACATTTTTCATCTTGAAAGATATAAATATACAGAGATGTTTTAAAGATTAACTATTATGTAGATTAACTAGGTCGGTTGTGAACATAGGCTGTACTTATGTTATTGAGTACTTGTGGTGTACATGAGTTCTGTAGAGAGAAATTTAAGTTAGTTTAGTCCGTCTCATGTCCTTCTTCAGTTCTCGTAAATATAAATTATAACAAATCGTTATTTCGTTTGTTATTGTTTCGTTTTTTCATATTTCTACTCTCAGGGTTAACGTAGGGAAAGTAAAAAAAATATAAGAAAGTTTACGTTATTTGTGGAACGTTTTAAAAGTTTTTTTACAACGAATTAAGCTATTTCCAATTAAATCAAACAAAACATGAATTTCACAATGTTTTTTTTTACTGTGTAGCTATAACAGAGACTCATTTAAATAATGCCTAATTTGGTAAAATATATGATTTAAGCAAAAAAATGTTGGCCAACATTTTTTTTTTTGCATCGTTGAAATAGATATTTAATTAAATGTACCATGCCTAAATATTTTATTGACAAACTTGACTTACATATTAAGAATACATAGTATAAAAAGCAAGCTTTCTTCTTTATTTTTATATTTAGATGTTTGGTTTTCCAGAGACAGTTGATCATATAGACGCTGTATTAGGTTTTCATAAAGATAAAATAATAACAAGGATTGAAATATTTTACCCCTATTACGACCCCCCAACACTAGAATGCTCAAACTTTAAAGCTTTTTCAACTTCATAGTTTTTTTTAATACATAGCTTCCTAAGTTAGATGCCTTGTTTAATGAGTATAGCCTTGAAAAGTTGAATTTGAAACATTCCCTATTCTCAACTCCCCTCAAAAACAGGCCAATAAATATGAAAAAAGGACGAGTTTCTTTCGAGGCAAAACTCTATAAATGAAAACTTTCATATATTTTTATCAAAATGTAAAAAAGAAAGACCTGAAGATGGTATGTTAGTGTTCTTCTCCTCAGGACAGTTTTGGCTTAGCGATGGAAACTTTTTCCTAGGTAAATTCTCACAAATTAAAGGGACTGTACGCGTAATTTCGTTTTATCTGAAAGCTTTGTCTGAATTAGATATCAATATTTTTGTTTGTTTTAATTGTATTCTATTTCTATATGCGGGTTCTCTGCGACAGTGACTTGCGCATTTCTTGTTTGTACGAATCAACGGGGAAAGGCAGAGAAAAACACACACATTTTTAATCTTCCACGCTTTTGATCAGGTTTTAATGATACCGTTGTGAATCGGCCATTGTCAGCTTTAAACCTTTAACGAGGAACAGTGGGGAGGATATCGACATTTTTCTAATTTACCGAAAGCAATTTATTTATTTTTTTTATTCTATTTTTCTGTTTTATAATTCTACAAGTCTTAGTCACTTCGATAAAGAAACCACAATTGGAAATTATCCATTTTCTGAAAAAAGACAAGAATATCATTGACGGTAGTAAAAAACACCAACTTTAAAAAACCCAGCTGGCATAATGCATACAACTGTACAGTGTAAATATGGAGGGGTACTTGATATTATGTCTACCTTTACATCCAGTTTACAGCTAAACTATAGTTGTTGTCGTATTTATCAATACAATGAAGAAGACTTTCCATTTCACTATGTAATCTACAAAGCGTTTAATCAGCAAGGAAACACATAAAATGGAAACAATGAGAAGTTGTAAATTAACAGCTTCTCTTACTTTAATTGTAAACTTGTAATTTGATAAAAGGTTGTAAGAAATAAAAACTTAAATAAAAAAGTCGTCTTTAGTGTGTAACTGTAAAGTGTATACTAGAAAAAATGTTCGTTTTTTCGGGGATTTATCAAATGAAAGTTTAAAAACCAATTGCAATTAAATGTTATAGGTGCATCTCAGCCAATATCAGAGCTAGGTCTGCCCTCTTCACTTAGTAGAGTAGATGCAGCCTTCACGTGGGGCAAAAACAAGAAAATATATATCTTCTCAAATAATCAATATTGGAGGTAAATATATTTTACCGCCTTGTCACCAACATTATATACCTTTAATTCCCCCAGCAGAGGGAGTCTAAGTTTCATAAGGTCCTTTGGGAGAGTTATGTAAAATAACGATCCACTTGGCGAAGTTTAAAAAAAAAAATTCGCGCACTTTCATATCAAAAGACGATAAAATTGTGTTCAATCACTTTTTCGGGAAATTCCTGTATGTAAAGTAGTTGTTTATAATTAATACTAAGCTATATCTTTTATTTCAACCTTTAATGTTTCCTCATTCTTGCAGAATTTTCTATTCCATGAAACAATAACAAAAACCTTTACAGTTTTGCAATTTTGTTTTCGTGGGTTTTCAAAATTTTACGAAAATATTAAACTTTTTTGGAGACAACTTTCTGTAATTTTGAGCTTTCATAAACCTTCCCTGAGGCCATGTGAGGTCCTACACAAAATTTTGGCCCGATCTTTTCAGCCGTTTTGACGTTTACTGGATATAAATGGACAGACAAGCAAAGTATATTATAGTAGGCTGTTTGAGAAGCTTTAAGTTCCCTTTTGTATAAATAATTTTAGCTTTTAACTGTTTCTCTAAAAGTAGGCCATTCGAATTTTGTCGGAATTTTCCCATAAAGATAGAGTCCTCAGAGGTCCCACATTGAATTTGTTTCCAATCGGTTCAGCCGTTTTTACTCTTATAATGGACAGACAAACAAAGAGACAACTAGACAAGCAAAGTATATTTATAGATATTGGAGATAAATATAAAATATGTTGAATGTTTAAGTATATTTCATATTGGAGATTTACAATAAATTAGAGGTAGTTTTACAACAAACTGGACGTAGGTTAGCAATATATTTGAGGTAGGTTTACAAACTATTGGAGATTTACAATAAATTGGATGTAGGTTTACAATAAATTCGATGTAGGTTAACAATATTTTGAAGGTAGGTTTACAATATATTGGAGGTAGGTTTACAAACTATTGGAGATTTACAAAAAATTGGATGTAGGTTAACAATAAATTGGAGGTAGGTTAACAATATATTGGATATACATATAGGTTTATAAGATATTGGAAGTAGGCTTACACTGTATTGGAGATTTACAATACATAAAGGTAGGTTTGCAATATATTCGAGGTTGGATCATAATATATCGAAGGTAGCTTTTTAATATACTGGAGGTAGGTTTGCAGTAACTGGAGTTATTTTAACAATATATTGGAGGTAGGATTATAATTTATTCAAGTTAGGTTTATAAGAAATTTTAAGGTAGGTTTACAATATATTTGAGGTAGGTTTATAATATATTGGAGGTAGGTTTACAATATATTGAAGGTAGGTTTATAATACATTGGAGGTAGGTGTATAATATATTGGAGTTAGGTTTATAATATATTGGAGGTAGGTTTATTATATATTTGAGGAAGGTTTCAATATATTGGAGGTAGGTTTATAATATATTGGAGGTAGGTTTATAATATATTGGAGTTAGGTTTATAATATATTGGAGGTAGGTTTATTATATATTTGAGGAAGGTTTCAATATATTGGAGGTAGGTTTATAATATATTGGAGGTAGGTTTATAATATATACGAGGCAGGTTAAAAGTATATTAAAGGTAGTACGTTTTACAATATATTGGAGGTAGGTTTGAAATATATTTGATGTAGGTCTATAATTTATTGGAGGTAAGTTTAGAATATAATGAAAGTAGATTTGCAAAATATTGGAGGTAGGTTTATAATATATTGGAAGTAGGGTTACAATATGTTGGATGAAAGATGACATAAGATGTCCGGTAAAACCCAAAAACTATGGAATAGGAAGACGACGGATACACTCATGATATGGTTTATAAATTGGTCCTCTTTACTTAAAGCACAGTAGTATCACCATTTTTGACTAAAAATAGAGCTTTTTCAACCAAAAATATAACTGAGATACAGGGTGTTTCAAAAATCATATTTATTTCCAGATTAAACTCCCAGATGAGAACAGAAGCTGGATATCCAAAGGATCGAACAAACAAAGCTTATCTTTTAAAGACTCAAGGATAGGATACAAATATTTCAGCATTTTTTACAACTCGTTCAACCATAAACTCCTAACACTCTCATTTTTGACACTATCGCCGTTCAATTTTGTGACTGTTCATAAATAAAAATTTAAAGGATTTTTTTTTTAAATTTCCGGTTTGTGTAAAAAAAAAATTTTAAATAGCCCATAATTTTTTTGTAACAAAAGCTGCAGATCTAAAAACTATATTTTTGAAAAGCCCTTGAAAAATGTATGTGGAAACATGTGTCACACCTCGAAATTTGTTTGGCACAAAAAAAATATTTTTTACTTTTTTGTACAATTTTTTTTTGCCTTTTTTCAACCCTTAGCGACAAGATTTAAATAAATAATATATTTTTTTCTAACTTTGATTTGTTGGATGTAAATAGGATATTTCTGCCTGGAGAGGAGTTCCTTCAAATTTGGATTCTGTCTTTACCTGGACTGATGGTAAGAGATCTTAACGCAAGAGATGGGCTACGTGTTGAGAGAGGGAGGGGGTGCAGGGCCGCCATGAGCCCCCGCGAAGTGATTTTCGGAGCCTTTGGATAGACAGAATGACCTCAATGCTTGGGTCTACCTCTCCATTCTCTCTCGCGGGGTTTGGAGGTCATTCTGCGTATCATGAGGCTCATGGCGGCTCTGCATTCCTTTCCTCGTTGAGATCTGCTTTTAAACATTCAAAGTGTTCAGACTTTTGAAATGCAACTAAAAAATATGTAAAGTGATTCCTGTTTCAAAATTTTTTGCTTGGTGTATTTTCTTTTTTTTTTACAGTATGCAACATTTTTACTATTTTTACCACAAAGATATAAACAAAAACAATTAGTTTAATCATTTATGATATATAGTTTTTATAGATAGTTTTGGTAGATAGTTTTGAAAGATAGTTTTGACAGATGGTTTGGGTAGATGGTTTTAAAAGCTAGTTTTGATAGATAGTTTTGATAGATGGTTTTGATAGATAGTTTTGATAGATAGTTTAATAGATAGTTTTGATAGATATTTTTGATAGATAGTTTTGATAGATAGTTTTGAAAGATAGTTTTGACAGATAGGATAGATGGTTTTGGTAGATAATTTTGGTAGATATTTTTGACAGATGGTTTTGGTAGATGGCTTTAAAAGCTAGTTTTGAATGATAGTTTTGATATATGGTTTTGGTAGATAGTTTTGATGTCTAGTTTTGATATATGGTTTTGGTAGATAGTTTTGATGTCTAGTTTTGGTACATAGTTTTGGTAGATAGTTTTGGAAGATAGTTTTGGAAGATAGTTTTGATAGATAGTTTAATAGATAGTTTTGGTACATAGATAGTTTTGAAAGATAGTTTTGATAGATGGGATATATGGTTTTGGTAGATAGTTTTGGTAGATGGTTTTGGTAGATAGTTTTGATAGATAAATTTAATATATAGTTTGATAGATATTTTTAAGAAATTTGCACTCCATTTTTGAAAATCACTTATAACAATTTTCTTTTTTAGGTGTGACATACTTTTTGAATGGTGGATATTTTTGGAGGTTTGATGACAACAATATTATTACGGATACGGAGATTCCTCTTAACATTAACAAATATTGGTTTGGGTGTTGAAACTATCCTTTGTTTTTTTTTTCCATTTTTTTGTTGTATTTAAGAAAACATATTTTGTAGGAGTCAAATTATTTTCATCTCGTAATTGTTCATGGTGAAACATGTTTTTCTCTTCACTGATGGAATTTTTTAAATAACTTTTAATAAGCTTAATTTAGAAATTTGAAAACATCAAAAGAATTTATAAAATGTCGTCTTCTACTAACTGATAATGTGTAATGTTGCAGACATTTAGTTTTCTAATTGAATATTATATTAAGTTTCCGCATATTGTTTTTAAAATTGCAAAAACGGGGACTTTCAGACTTTTTCTGCGTTGAATAGCAAGTTCTTTTAATAAAAGAAAATTTAAGATTTTTTTAAACACCGTCTTCTTATTTTTCCCACGCTTTATTTATGAAATTTTAGAATTGTATAAACATCTCATTTTTTAGCTTGTTTTGATGTTTTTGAACTTTGTTTAGCTTTAACATAACATAATTGTGAACGGCTCGTTAACGGCTGGCACCGTTAACAATTTCTAAAATATTTGCCGTTAACTCTGTTAATACTGAGATAGTTCACACGTGGATTTAACGGTTTTGTCAATATTTTTAAAAGCTTTGCCTTTTGATCACAATTTGACCCGTCAAAAAGAATTTTTTAGCCTTTTTTCTCAAATACTTTTTTGTCGGGATATACATTATGAATGAAAAAGTATAGAATAAACAAAATCGTAAGTTTAAAGACTGTTGAATTATAGAACAAAACACGCTAGATTTCAAATAGAAGAAACCGAATGCTTCTCACTCTGGTTAGTCCGGGGTGAGTTAACGAACAGTAACCTTAAAAAAACGGGAAATGCCGTTATCAAACCGTGTCGAATTGTTAGAAGCTGGAGTAAACAGTACAGTACATGCATAAACTTTATTAGTCAAACCGAGATAGTACGCTAAATGAATCTGCCTCTTTTGAACCAAATGGAGAAAATTAAAACAAAATCTTATCGTCAAAAATGAGTGATTTTATTCAATTTTCTACGATACTTGGTTGCAAAGATATAGGAATTAGAAAATTTAAGTATGTGACAGAAACCCAATTCCTTTTCATTGTCATAACTTTGAATGTGTACGGAATGTTTTTAGAATAAAATTATTGTAATGTTTCACAGTGATTTAAAGGTTGCAATCTCGAAAGATAAAAACAAGTGATCTATAATGTAGATATGTCTTGGGCTACGAAAAGTATATGAGAGTTAGAAATGTAAAATCAAAGGCAAAGTAAATAAGCCTATGTCATCCCCAGGCTTTCCATGAGTTTCCACAAAAAATTCAGCCCATTCGGTCTAGCCGCTTGACCGGCTATAGGGAACATACATATTTATGAATATCTTGTTTTATTATATAGAAGATTATATCTATTAATGATGAAAAATTATTGAATTCAAATGATAAAAGAAGCAAACCAGAGTTTTTCAGGTTCCTCTGGTATATCGTTGTTTTCAGATTAGTTGAGTATTTGCTGAATATGATATGTTTCAAAAAAATTTTTGTATAAGTTTTTGTATAATTTTGACACGGTTTTACATCAATTTCTTGAGACAGGAACATCAGATAGAACTCTTAAAGGTCTCGGTCAATTGCATAAGTTCTCAGGTTTCAGCCTATACTCCCTTTCATTTCTCCTTTACAGTCCCTTTAAATATGACGATCCGATTGTTAGATTTGATCTTCTGACTAGATTGCTGCATTGCAAATTTGCACAAATAAAAATAAACTTGTTTTAAATGCAGGTAAGCTCAAATGTAAAGAAAAGAATTTAATTAATTCCGAACAGTCGTCTCATCGAAATTTACAAAACAGTTAATGAATGTACTTAGTTACCTATCTTCATTATTTGAGACAATTCGGCCAAGGGGTTTAAACAATGTATCATACATACAAAAAGACATACAGCGTTTACTAATTAGATACTAGAAATGTGAAGAAATATATTTATTGAAAAAATATTAAAAATCTTAGAATAAAAAGTGAAAATAAAAAAGATGGATGTTGAAAACAGATCACATATATCTTCTTGGACCTATTTTCTCTCTTTAATATTTGTCGTTCTCAAACTAGGAAATATGGATGCTGGATCTACACTTACACCTTCGGTGTCATTTCTAAATAAAAATGTGTATTGCTAATGGTTATCAATTCATAGGGGACGACTTTCTTTCCTTTGTAAAAACAATTTGACTTTAAAATATTCGATTAAACCTCATTGCATGAACTGTAATATTTAAATACCAAATAATAAACAGCCGTGTTAATGTTTCTGTTTCCCTACTGTATAAATGGTTGGGAGAAATAAAAAATTAAAAAGAAAGTCGTCTTTGTTGTATTGAGTTTTACAACGAGCACTGTATCTTGAATATACGTGTTACCTATTTTTCAGTGCTTTGATGTAAGCGGTTTTAATCAACTGACTATTGACCTAAATAAGACATTATGAATTAACCTAAATTATAATTAACTTAAGTTTAAAACAAACAAATCAAATCAGACTCTCAGGGATGTCCAATTTCCATAAACTGAAGTCTTAAATTGACTATAAAGGAGAAATGAAAAAGGTGTATAGGCTGAAGGAGTTGATCGAGACTCATGGGAATTATATCCAAAGTTCCTGTCTCGAGAAATGGATAAAAAACTATGTCAACTTTTAACGAAAATCTAAATATATAAAATTTTGCATAAAAATAGTAGGTTTAAACAGATCATATATTCAGCAAATACGCAACCAATCTGAAAACAACGATGTTCCAGATGAGCTTGAGTAACTTAGGTTATTTGAATTTAATAATTTTTATATAAATAGAGATTTTCGTATAAATTTGACAAAGTTCTTTTTTTTATAAATTTCTGGAGACACTAACATAAGATAAAACTCTAATGGGTCAACTCCTAAAATGCTCAGGTTTCAGCCTATACCGCCTTTAATTTGTCCTCTATAGTCCCTTTAAGACTCAAGATGATAATACTAAATCAAGTCTTAGCTTGGGTTTACATTCTGGAATTTTCGACTTGGCAATAAAAGTTTACGATTTTTTCTTTTACAATTAAAAAAGTATAAAGTCTTAAAAATTGTCTACCTCTTCAGATTTTCCCATTTCCTCGATAACACCTTTAATAATTTTCATGAATGTATCAAGATCATTGTCAATTTTTTCCGTGGTTTCCAGGTCTGCGAAGAGAGAGGTAGCTTCGGACAATGAATCTTGATAGTCAGGGCTAAAAGAGCCACAACTCTAAAGAAAAAAACTGTTTAAAAAATCCCTTATTTTCTAATTCCTATATTTTTACAACCTGATTGTGAAAACCTCTGATTTGTCCAACTTTAACAATTCGACATTAGGTTGCAAAGATATGGGGATAAGAAAATTACAATTTGTGGCGAGGGGGCAAGTCTCAGGCTCTGGATTAGTTCAAGTTTTTAGTTTAGTAATCTAATTGGCTTGTACAAAATCAGCCATAAAACTTTATTTTTTGTTGGTCCTTACGTGACTAGTGTGAACGTAATTTAAATAATTTCAAGAATGGGATGTCAGATTCACATCTGTACCCTTGAAAGCTTTGTCTAATAAAGAATTTATAAGCTATCCCTGACCATCTGTTTTAACTTTAATTATTTTTAATTAGGGTTTCTCTACAAATGTGACTTCAACTGCAAATACAAAGTTTTGGAATTAAATTCTTATAATTCATTGATAAGATAAAGGTTTAAAGGGTATCAGTGTCAACCGAACAAGCTCCTTTTAAGATAGAGATTTACTTAAAATTACAATAATAGGTAGCGTTAAAATTCTCAATGCAATTATAAACGAAGAAACTTTAACAAGTATTTAAAACATTGCTATTTGGGTTATAAAGTTTTTGGACAGAAATGTTCTCTTTATTGAGAACCTTCGAGATATAGAAAAGGAATTGAGTCTTTGTCACAAACTCTGATTTTCTAAACCCTATATCTTTGGATTACAACGTCGTAAACCTCTCAAATTTCAAACTTTGGCTTTTGTTAGATCAAAAAATATAAGTTTGAAATATCAAAGGTTTACGACATTGGGTTCCAAAGATATAGGGATTAGAAAATCAGAGTTTGTGGCAAAGACTCAATTCCTTTAAGTCCAAAAACTTTTTAGCACGTCATGCCAAAATAATAGTGTTATAGGTAATTTAATGAAAAGTTTTTGTACTTTATAGCACACGTGCTATAATATACAACTAATTTAACTTTATAGTACGATGATTACTTTATAGCACGATTATTATGAAATTCACAATGAAGTGAGGAAGAATGATAAAGTTCACAATAGTTTCATAAAAGTGATATTAAATGATTTTCTATGCTAAGATGACAGTGCCCAATTCACAGCGACACCCTTAAACCTTTATCTGATTAAAATGTTGAAGATATTGTCGTTCTTCTAGGTTTAAATGTGATATTTTCTCATCATTAATATATTGAATCACTTTTGAAGAGAAACTGCAGTTGGAAAATAATAAATTTTTTAACAGAGGGTCTCTTGAAAGTACGCTTACAGTCCCTTTAAAGTTAAGTCTGTTATTTCCAAATTTAAAAAAACCTTCTTGCATGGTAATTTCTTGAGGGATTTCCAAATTTCGCTGATAACTTTTTCTTCGGCTGTGGGCTTACGATTAGATCTGAACACTGCAAATTTAAACAATTAAAGTTTTTAAGTTGACATTAAATTTATTTATTTGCTATTCTTTAACAAACTAATACTTACTATTTCTTCTTTTTTTCCTTTGGCCTGCAAAACAAAAACTAGTTAACATATATATTTTTAAAAAATATTTTAGGCTTTCCAAAACAACTAAACCACAGTGATTTTAAGGTTACAAGCTCTCCAGTAAAAATCGTTGAGAATTTTTCCAATTACTTTTTAAAAACCAAAGCTAACAACAAGTGTTCTATAGTACTAAAATGCACATAAAAAGGGCTACAGAAAAGCATAAGTGAGTTGGAGCGGTGAAATCAATGCCTAATACGTTGGGAAACTCAAAACACATAGATTCAGCCTCCTTATAAACAGTCTCATCAATTTTTAAGACAGGGCTGACTTTGAAGTGTCGCAACGCCCTAAGCTTTGATTTTACCGCTCTAACTCACTTATGCTTTTCTGTAGCCCTTTACATGTACATTTTAGCAATGTAAAGCACTTCTTGTTAGATATGGTTTTTTAGAAGTAATTGGCAAAATTCTCAACGATTTTTGCTTGAGAGCGTGAGACCATTAAATCGCAGTGAAAAGTCGACCCTGCCTTAAAGATTGATGAGACTTTTTATAAGCAGGCTGAATCTATGTGAAACTAAGTCTTTGCCACAAACTCTGATTTTCTAAACCCGTTATCTTTGCAACCCAATGCCCTAGACCTTGGATATTTCAAACTATAAATTCTGCCAGATTATATAATCATAAGTTTGAAATAACAAAGGTTTAAATTATCAGATTGCAAAGATATAGAGATTAGAAATTGTGTGGCAAAGATTTAATTTCTTTTCGTAACAAAATAAAACTCTTAATCGAGAGAATTTTTGCTGCCTTAGGAAATCACAATTCATGTAAAAAATATTTAGGTTAAATCATTCTCAATACTAGCTTGGGAACATTGGTCAATACTAGCTTGGGAACATTGATCAATACTAGCTTGGGAACATTGGTCAATATACTAGCTTGGGAAAATTAGTCAATACTAGCTTGGGAGCATTGGTCAATATTAGCTTGGAAACATTGGTGAAAACTAGCTTGAGAACATTGGTTAGTACTAGCTTGGGAACATTGGTCAATACTAGCTTGGGAACATAATATATATTTTTTATATCCCTGCTAGCCTGTGAACAATGGTCAATACTAGCTTGTAAACATTGGTCAGGGGGTTTAAAGCTATGATCTGACATACAAGGATATAAACAGAGATTAGCAAAATAATTCTTTAAACATAAAGACAAATAAATAGATAGAGATTACTACTTAATATATATATATAAATTTTCGTTGTTCTAATGAACTCGCCAATAAAAATTTGAGGCAAATCGGTCCAGGGGTTCATGAGTTATTAGTTGACATACACCAAAACACACAGAGATTACTACTTTTTTACATAATAGCTTGGACACCCAATTTTGAACAGGAAATATAGATAAGTCAACTAACTCAAAATTTGAAGCAAATCGGTCAAGAGGTTTAAGAGTAATGAGCTGGCATACAAATTAGAAACCAACGAGCTGGAGAACAGACATGCTTAGTATTTAACTTTTTTATTGTCCAGCTGCTGGATAGTTGAAGAATTATCATGTCTAGGGTTGATAGTAATTATTTTTTGAGATAGAGTTGGGTAGGTTTCAACCTTTGCTTGTCTCATCTCAATAAAATGTATTCCATTTGAAATATTCATAAAAATATTGATAACAAATAGTTGAATCATGGATACAACAAAAAAAGATCAAGCCTAGCATTTTTCTTCCTTTTTGCGTCTCCGAGTTTCAAGAATAAAGTTTATAATTTACAATATGTTCATTGACCACATCCCCCCCTCCCACCCCAAAAAAATCTTACGATTCGATGTTGTTCCATTCCCATGTAGTTGAAGACAATCATTATCCTCTACAAACAAATAAGTGTCTGATCCCTTTATCTTTACTAAGTGGGGATTTTTCAAATTTTTCAAATTTTCAAATTTTTCCAATTTTAAAAGAATAAAAATAAAAGGGGTATAGGCTTAGGGCGAAAAATCTAATCTTACTTTTATCTGTTGCGTTGTTAAAAACGACTTATATTGAAGACCACGTCCATACAAATTAAGAAAGTTGCAACATACGACTCGGATCGTAAAACATTTATTTAATTCCAAACAAATCATTTAGAAATTATAGTCATTAATATTTTTTCGACGCATTTGTATACAGTTGAAATTTCATAATAACTTTTATTATTATGATCTGAGAGTTATTTTTAAAACATTTATTCCTGTTTCGAGGATTTTTGATAATGAAGACGACATTTACATATTTTCCAGGAATGTCCAGTGCTATGTCGTGGAAACATTATGAAATATCAACTATGTACGAATGCGTCGAAAAATAATCGATGACTATAGGTTGTAATATCTGAATGATTTGTTTGAGTTTAAATTGATTTTTTACAATCCCAGTTTAATGTTGCAACTTTCTGAATATGTATGAACCATAGATAAATAAATAAACATAGAGAGCTTATGTACGCAAAATCACCAAGAATTGTACAGTCCGCGAAATCATACTACTAGGGGTCAAAGTGTACTTCAATGATAAGGTGTTTGGTGTTTTGATGGATTTCATAATAGAGTGTAAAATAACTCCGGGAATGGAACTATTTGAACAATATTTCATTGAGCAATATATCATATTGACGAGAACTGAAGAAGGACATGAGAAGGACTAAACTAACTTAAATTTCTCTCTACAGAACGCATGTACTCCACAAGTACTCAATGACATTAGAACAGCCAATGTTCACAACCGACCTAGTTTAACTACAGAGCGTCCCATATCATTTTTAACGCCAAAATATGCAATAATACTCGAAAAATCTGGCAATTTCTGCAAAAAAAATTCTTTTAGCCTTATTAAATTTTTCAAAATGATTGATTCTTCCTAAATTTTCTGATTTGTCCCCGGCCCCCAAATCGTAATTTAGACCCATTGACGCGGTCTAATTTGATGTGGGACACCCTGTATTTAATAGGAATATCTTTAAAATATCTCTGTACATTTATATCGTTCAAGATGAAAAATGTCGTCTTATGCGCAATCTATCTATATCTATGGACTATGAAGTGGACGCTTCGTTCTTCAGTCTTAGGCGTTTTAACAATTTTCTCCTTATAGACGTAACAGATAGAAGTGAGTATTCATCAAAAGCGCTTATTTTTCGCCGTAAGCCTATACCTCCTTTCATTTTCCGGAAACACTCCCTCTAAGATAAGATTTGGAATTCATTGGTATGTCTATGTTACTAGGATAGGGGTTGCTGATGACATTATTTAATTTACAAACATTGATATTTTTTAAGTGGTTTCATATCATGCAAATAAATGTTTTCGTTGTTTGAATAATGTCAGGTTTTTCACTTATTTGTACTTCCGTTTGTGTAAGCAAATCATTGTATTTTCCCTTTACCTTGCGCTGACACAGCATACAGCATTACTAAACAAAAAAGATTAGTTTTTTTAAATTAGAAAAATACTGGGTAGAGATTTTTATTCCACTCCCCTCTATGGGCAAAGTATTTGTTAAAAACAACAGTTATGAAAGAAGATTATTTTGCATGTTGAAATTGCAAACCGAAAACCGGTTTTCAAGAAATTTTGAATAATTCAAACGAATACAAATTATTTCTTTAAAATATGTCGTCTTGCTTCTACTACTGATTTTCTAAAAAACCCTGTGTACACTCTACATTCATTTAGGTTGATTGTTGATATGATTTGCTTGGTTTGATTTTAAAAACAGAGAAACTGACCAGTCTCAACATTTTTGTGAGAACTGACCCAGTACGCATGGAACCTTACAGTAAAAGGTTGCAAACTATCACACAAAAATTGGGAAGAATTTTGCCAATTATCTTCTTAGACTGAAATCAAGGTATTGATAATTCTAAAATGTTTAAGTCTTGTGCTACAAAAATAAGAAAGCTAGTAAGTTAAAAAAAGGCCTAGGCTTGAATTATCTTTCTACAAAATTTCGATTATTTCAAATTTTGAAAATTTATTGATTGATTTACACTTTTATCTTTAAAAGCTATTTCTGATTAATAATGATTGAGATAGCCATGATTTCTAAAAATTGCTTATTTTTTATTAATTTCTGTCACTTAAGGAATTCTTCCAACAGAATTAATGAAATTAATTTTCAATCTAGTAAAATGACGGTCCTAGTAAAATCAAAATTATTGGCTAGAGCAATATTTTAAGAGTGCCGCTGTGACTAGGGCATTGGCCAATTACAACAGGTGGGTTTTTCAAAATGCCGTTTACAGTCCATTTAAAGTCTAATTCTAAAACAGTTATATATCATATTTATCTTACCTTGTCCCCAGATAAACAGAGCCCACATTTTATCTGCAACACTTATTATTATTATTTTTGTTTGTTTGTATACAATAATTTTAATGGAATTGAGTCTTTGTCACAAACTCTGATTTGCAATCCAATGTTGTAAACCTTTGATATTTCAAACAATGCATTCTGTTTTAATAGTCAAGATAATAATAATATTATTAATGCATTGCAATAAAAAAGAATTACACCTTCAGCTTATTTTATATAATAATTAACACTAATTTGTTTTTAAACAACAAGATTTCGGTTTTTTTTAAAGGACCCTTAAAAATGCCTTTTCTTCAAAAATTGTAAGTTTTAAAAGTTTTTTTTCTTCTAACAATCTAATAATCTTTGAGCTTCTTTTTTATTCTATTATTTTATTTAAGAAAAATTAACATACTCTGTACACATACATCAAACCAGACCGAAATTATGCGAAATTACTAGTTCGACCTTGTGACCTCGTAGCTCCTCTAATTTCAATGTGCGCATTAGTATGCGAACAGAAAATTTATTTGTTGACATCTTAGAATTTAAGAACATTTTTGTTCTTCTAAATACATTTTCTATAGAGGAGTTAACATGCAAGGTTTCATTAAAAAAAACAGCTAACTCTATAAATATCATGAAAATCGTTTAAGAAAAAGGTGCCCATCTCTACAGAGTATAGGAAGAAAGCTTCGTCATTAGAGTATTTAAGGAGACAATCTTTCAACGAAATCTTTCATCGAAAACCTCCCCACCTCCATTTACTCGGAAACCCCCAGACCCCTTGAAATAAAATAAATAATCATAATCTATTCACGTTTTGAACTAAACTGCTGTTTTCTCAATCTGTTATATTAAATTAAGTTTTAATTAAAATCAGTATTATTAAACTTTTTATTTAAAAAATCTTATTTAATGAAATTAACTACCAATGATGTGTCTTAGAATCAAAAATTATAAAAAATGTATCATTGTTTATTTTGAATTTGTTTAAATTGTGTTTTTAAAGTTTTCTTAATAATCAACACTCAACAGCTATTTAGTCATAAAAGTATCAAATATCTAATTTTAAGATATATTTATATATTTAAAGATAAACTAAATCGTTTAAATTGTGTATACATTTTAAACAATATCTCTATACCATAAAGACATTGAGTATTAACTGTAACTTTATACATATTATGAATTATTGTACACAACTTTTTTCAAACTAAAACTTATTGGAAAAACTATTTTTCATCAGAAATTCCAGTTTTTTTAAAATTAATTATTTAATGTGTCTATTGTTTAATTTTACTGTTTTTCTTACTTTGGATTGAATCACAATTTGTTATAATTCTTTAACTGTTCAGAAATTGGAACTTTGCCACAAACTCGGATTTTAAAATCCCTAAAAATTTGCAACCTAATAAGATAAATTCATTTGAATATCCGAGCTGGGCCAGCCTATGCAGTCTTAGTTTGGACTGTACCGCCATTTGAATATCCGAGCTGGGCCAGCCTATGCAGTCTTAGTTTGGACTGTACCGCCATTTGAATATCCGAGCTGGGCCAGCCTATGCAGTCTTAGTTTGGACTGTACCGCCATTTGAATATCCGAGCTGGGCCAGCCTATGCAGTCTTAGTTTGGACTGTACCGCCAATTTACAATTACTAAAGCGGCAAAGAAGTGCGCTGTTTCACCATACATGTATTATATATATGTATTATATATTATATATATGTAAATATTTCTATAGTTAATACCGTATACCTGTATTATATATGTAAATATTTCTATAGTTAATACCGTATACCTGTTTTTTTTAGAAAATTACTCTTAAAAACACATTTAAAGGTGTAAACTGAAAATTTTGGCCATTTTTGATAACTTTTGGCTCGAGATAATATTTTCAATAAAAAAATGTATCTGCATCTATTTACTTTTTAGACCTTTAAATGGTGTTTTTAAGTGTCATTGTCTAAACAATGCAATGAGGGGAACAAATTATTTATATAAATTTTATACAGCGAACAAGGGCAAAACTAAGATTCTCGATTATTTTTACAGGTTGTAGTTGTACACAAAATAATTCGTTCTTATCATGAATCTTTTACCAAAGGTATCTGGGAGAACCTTTCAAGGATAGATTTTTTTAAAAACTGAAATTATCTTTACACCCTACCATTGACTAGTGCTTAAATCTTTATTTTCTGATACTTTAAAAAGTTTTTAAATATTCTTGTTCACAGAATAACACGATCTTTATTTAATAAAAATACATGCAATTAAAAATTAAATTGTCATAATATTTCTATACATATAATTCCATTAAACAAAAATTTCTTATTATTTAACAGTGGAATGATCAATTGATTTATTTAGCATATTTCTATATTTGATGTTTTGTTTAAACATGTTAAATGTATTTTTATCTGTATTGCTCCTAGTGCTTTTACATTCTGGTAAGCATATTACTTTCTTTTCAGGTTTTTGCAAAAAATAAATGACATGTATATCACACATTTTCAGCATACCTTTTTGCAGAAAAAAATTGAAATAAATTTAGTCTTGGTCACAAGTCGACCTTTTAAATTTTATATTTCATTAATACAAGATATAAGAATTATAAAATCAGAGTTTGTGACAAAGACTCAATTCCTTTTATCAAAAATTTTGATTTAGAATTTAAATGAGAAATAGTTTTGCGTGCTGTTCATTTATTCTTTTAGCATATTAATTTATTTTCTAACTTTTGCAGAAAAAATTATGAAAATTCTTTTTTCAAGTGCAGTTTTTCCATTATTTTAGCAATAATATCAGCACAAGAGGATGAAAAAGCAAATGTTTTTGCACAAAGAATAACTAAGATGTTAAGCCCAAGAAACAAGGCGTTGCTGAAACGTGGTGATGAATTACTATCTTTAAACTTAATAAATGCAAAAAAAACACTTGTTTAAATATTAAAGTTATTTTTTTAGATAATACAGTTCTGCACAGTAAGTAATTTATATTTAAATAAAAACAGTTTTAAATAATTCAAAATCTTATTTTTAAAACATAAAAAGGTTTCCGCTCGGATACAATCATGAACAAAGAAGAAAAAATTGCTGAAAGCATGTGGAATATAATAAAAGAACTCCCCTGCAAACAGGTCAAATTTGATATGATTATATTTGTCAAATTAAATATGTTACTTTTTAAATTTTAAATTTAGTGTTTTAAAATTGCACAGCACGTAAAAATTAGGGGCCTAACACACATTCACCTTTCTTCTCGCTAAGAGAAAAATTAGGGGGGGGGGACTCCAATATAAGACACAAAATCCCAACTTGTATAGGATTAATGACTTTTTGAAGAATATTGACAACTTTTTGGTTTACTATTTAATCCCAAGCGATAATTTAATTTACAATAAATTCATAACCAATTAGTATTCAGGACTTATATTAATAAAAAAGGAATTATGACACTAGATGTCGTCTTTTATTTAGGGGTTTTTCGTTCACAACAACCTTGTAGCAGTAGCCCAAAAGAGTCACACGTAGTCAGCGAAGGATTGCAAGACAGACAGAGAGTGTGCGTGTAACTCCTTTGGAATTCTGTCCCCTGGGTCATTGTGAAAGAAAAAAAACACAAATTTTTAAAACACGACATCAAGTGTCCTATTTGTTAATTTAATTAATCTACAGGGTGTCCCAATAAACATGGGAATTCAGTGACGAATTCGATATCGTCTTTTCAAATAATTCTTTGGTTTAGTATAGTGATACTTATTGAGAAAGCTGTATGGCCAATTTCTTAATCATTTAACCATAGGTACAACTATAGGTCGTATCTATCTATCTACACTACTCTGGTAAAGCGTAAGCAAAGTGTGACTGTGGTTCTACCTATGGTAGAACGTCTAAGAAATTAGCCAGTAATCTGTAAGAGTTTCGTCTGCTATGTTCACAATTTGTTTGTTTAAGTTTTGACTGCATACAGTTGTACTTAGTGAAACAAGAAAATTGCAGTATACAAACAGAGTAAACTTTTCTGTCTTCGCTATACATCTTGCGGAGACATAATAGACTCATCTTTACAGTCTTTTACCCTTTTCATAAAATAAACTCTAGCAGACATAATAATATTATGGCTTTTGAAATTAGGCATTACAATGCTAATTCATAGCAAAGGCGAAATCGAATTCGTCACTAAATTCCCATGTTTTTTGGGACACCCTGTATGATGCAGGGATACAGTGATTTTGGAAAGATTTACAAAGAATCTTTTGACGTTGTTGTTGCACTTTTTACTGGTCTGGAAACATCGAAAGAAATTAGCAACAGTTTGGAAACATTTTCAAATATTTTTCAATATTTGCTTTCTTTCATTGAAAAGAACGAGCAAGAAAAGGTAATACCTAATCTATTAAGATTTTATTAAAACAATATTATGTATTGTGCACTCTATCGTGCTGGATAAAGCTGTATACTAGCTGTTATAATGAGAACTAGAAAACTGTGCAATTGGAAGACGACATTAATGCAATGATACAAGTTATTTGATGCTGCTCCACAGACAATAGTTTAACTTGTAACTTATTTAATCACTTTTTTTCAATCAAATGATCCTGCACTGCACCATTTCTGTAATGTACTCATTGGACTACAATGGATAACTTTAATCTAAAAGTTGTCTTCCTAATACTGAGTTTTCTGGTTCTCCCTGAAGTGTATTCTAGAGCATTGTGCTATAAAGTTAAATTGGTTCCTAGATTTTCTCCCAAAAAATATGAAATTACTAGCACTTTTTTTACTTAAACTTTGTCAATTAGCATATACAGGAAAAACAATGTAGCAAGACAAGTGCACAAATTACCAATAATACTTTTATAAATATCTAGACACTGAAGATAAATGAGATTTAAAGGCTTGGACAAGAAACAGCCCCATATAATTTTAAGTCCCTCTCTAGTAAATGCCTTACTTTTAAAAGTTCGTCCCAAACTGTATCAGTCTAGGTACTACCAGTCTGCTATCCAAGTCAACCAGGATACAACCCACCTGGCTCTAATGCCACACAAAGACACAAGCGTAGCTTTTCAATATTACTCAGGCTATGAATATCAAAAAAAACACGATCCGCGCGGCTACATTCGAATCCCGTAAACTATCAACGCCACTAACACTGGGCGCAATCTTGTTAGCTATCAGTGTCAATACGGACACTAGCAATCAATTGATCAATGTCTCAAAGAGAACAGGATCCACACGGCTACAATCCTGTAAACTATCAACACCACTACCACTGGGCGCAATCTTGTTAGCTATCAGTGTCAATACAGACACTAGTAATCAATAGATCAATGCCAATACTCAAGGCACAATCTCAATTCTTATGTTTCAACAAAACCAAATTACTCTACACTGTAATCAAAGCAGTTCTGATTCTATCCAGCTGTATTTGAGGTTTATATGTTACAAGCTAAAGTTAATAAAGGTAATTACAATTCCTACGTCGTTATCTATCACAAGATTAGGGCAATTATGTTACGTATTACAGCACAGTTGAAATATGCGCAATTAGATGTGAATATTTATAGGATTAGCGAGGCTATAGATATAACTTAATAAAGCTATCTCCACACATGTTTATAAGTTGAATGTACGTATTAAAAGGGGCTAATCATGCTAAATATTCATTTGAAACACAGTTCATATGAATAATGTTTTTGTTTTTTACGTACAAAATACTTTAAATTTACAGAATATTGTATTACACAATACTTATTACAAATGGATATTTATTACACCTCTAGATTTAATGATACTATCTTGGGAATTTGTATTTCCGGCCATTGATTTAAACTTTTCTGAGAATGAACGCCATTTCTTTGCGAACCTGCATAAACATACTTTAGATAAGCTGGAATTAATAAAAAAATTGTGCATAGCTAAAAATACGGCTTTTTTAAAGGGAGTGGTTGCAAAAAATGAAATGGAGCATAAACTTACGGTGAAAAATTGTCGCTTTTAATATCTTCTAATCTTACTTCTATCTGTTGCGTCTAGAAGGAAAAAATTGTTAAAAATGACTTCTACTGAAGAACGTAGCGTCCATACGAATTCAGAAAGTAAAAAAAAAAAATTTAATTTCAAACAAATAATTCATATATTACAACCTTTAACTATCGATTGTTTTTCGACGCATTAGTATATAGTATTTCGTAATATTTTTTATTTGTTTTATATATAATGTACTTAAGACGAAAATGTAGTTGCCATATTACATTGATTAGAATTTGATTTGTTCAAGGTAAATGTAATTATAATATTACATTAATTAGAATTTGAATTGTTCAGGATGTATGTAATTACCATATTACATTAATAAGAATTTGATTTGTTCAAGATAAATAAAGTTACCATATTACACTGATTATAATTTGATTTATTCAAGGTAAATGTAATTGCCATATTACATTAAATAGAATTTAATTTGTTCAAGGAAAATGTACTTACCATATTACATTAAATAGAATTTGATTTGTTCAAGGTAAATGTAATTACCATATTACATTATTTAGAATTTGATTTGTTCATGGTAAATGTAATTATTATATTACATTAACTAGAATTTGATTTGTTCAAGGTAAATGTAATTACCATATTACATTAATTAGAATTTGATTTGTTCAAGGTAAATGTAATTATCATATTACATTAATTAGAATTTGATTTGTTCAAGGTAAATGTAATTATCATATTACATTAATTAGAATTTGATTTGTTCAAGGTAAATGAAAGCCTTGTTGTATCAGCAGTTTTAAGAGTTATCAGTGAAAGGTAAAAATATGAAATCAATAATCGATTTCTTTACTTTTTATAAACTTTAATTCCACTCGGATACCCCCCCCTCTCCCGGGTTTTTTTGGACAAAGCTCAAAAAGTATTGGTCCATAGCTGTGCTACATTTTTTTTACTTTTCTACGAAAACATGCATGCCCCTCTCTTAAGGCGAAACTTTTAAAGATTAATATCACAATAAGGGAGGAAGGAGGCAGCAAGAATACGGTTAACCACTGAAAATGCAACTGTCTTTCCTGAGCCCGCAATTTAAAAACTTCGGCTTGAGCCGTAAATCCTTTAACCCGACTTTAAGGCGCAACTCTGACGATATCTTGTGTTACGTGATTGACAGCAGCAAGATCTTTTTCTTGACTTTAAGATTTGGGTCCAATGAAAATAAAACCGACCTTGGTTGGTCGTACACGTACACTATAGTTTCAGTAAAAGTAAATATTTCCATTTACTGATAGCGCCGATTGAAGGATTCATAACTCTTATTGGATAATGAGATAGATAGAAAAATAGACGTTAACGCCATACTATTTATATTGGTTCCTAATAGACACCAAACACATGATTGAACCCTGATTGGATCAGGCGCTAATGAAAACCCGGAAAGCGCGAATTTCGACCATAAAAATCAGCCAAACAGAATAATTAACCGGTTTCTTGAACTCATCTCTGTGAAAAATAAATGCAGCAATTGAATTCGAAAGGCGCAACGACAGCTTAGACCCGAGTCGTATTTTCCCGAGTTGTTAACTCCTGATATATCTGATTGACCCCAATAATTAATTTAGCTGGTCAGAATCTAAAGATGGAGGCTTTTTGTTTAAGAACTCTATTGACCAGAGTCCACGATTTAAAAAATTCAGAAAAATATGGCTCAGGTCTGAGCTTGTTTACGGCTTGAGCTTTCGGATTCAAGCTGCATCTTATTTTCCAAAGAGTTGAGTTTAAAAACCAGTTTGACGGATTTTCATGGTAGGAATTGGCGCATTCCGGGTTTTATGAGAACAAGACACAACATTGAGCTTATTCTCCACTAAAACCAACCAAGGTTGGTTTTATTTTCATTGGGTTCAACTCCTTAAGTCAAGCCAAAGATCTTGCAGCTGTCAATAACGTGACACAAGCTGTCTTCAGAGTTGGGTCGAAGATTGGGTCTTAAAGTCGGGTTTCAGGAATTACGGCTCGAGCCAAAGTTTTAAAATCGCGAGCAGAATAATATAATAATATACACGAAAATGTTTAGGAATGATACGAGAAATGTTCACATCGATCCATCCAAAATATTTCCACAGCTAAACACGTACAATGCATTGAATAGCCCAGTGTTTAGACAAGGTAAGGACGTCAGGGTAAGTTTGAAAGGTTAGGCTGTAAGGTAATGCAAATAGAGAATTGTATACTCAGAGTACTCCAGAGATAAGTGAGTTAAGAGATCTATTAAAGGCGAAAATATGCGATATTTTCCACAGCAGGTTCCATTTTGTATAATTGGAGAACACAAACAATAAACGCATATTAATTTTCGTTTGGCCCACCCCGTGGGTTTAGAGGTAGAAACTAATAAATAAATATTGTTAAACCTGTGTTTAACAATATAATGTTAATAATATGTATGTAATAATAAAATGTTTAACTTTAAATAAATATTTTTAAACATTCTTTTAGAGGTAGAAACTAATAAATACAAACTTGTAAACCTGTATTAATAGGTAGAAACTTATAAATAAATACTGTTAAACCTGTGTTCAGAGGTATAAACTAATAAATGAATATTATTGAAACTGTGTTTAGAGGTTGATACTAATAAATAAAAATTATTAAACCTGTGTTAAGAGGTAGAAACTAATAAATAGATATCATTAAACTTCTGTTAAGAGGTAGAAACTAATAAATAGATATTATTAAAAATGTTTTAAGAGGAAGAAACTAATAAATAAATACTATCAAACCTGGGTTTAGAGGTAGAACTACTTAAATACCTGGGTTTAGAGGAAAAAATTTAAAAACAAATAACGTTAAATTTGTGTTTAGAGGTAAAAACTATTTAATGAACAAAATAAGTTCCTTTCTTTTTTTAAGCCTATTTATTTGTGTTAGTTCTTGTTAAAAAATACTTTTCCAAATTTTCTTAATTTTAGCCTCAACAGAAAACGTTCCTTGGGAGGCTCTGCCCACAACTCCTTCACGTGTACAAGGTCGAAAAATAAAAATATTAATTTTATTTTTTTTTTGATTGTTTTTATTTTTAGAACCAGAGAGTAGATTAGATTATTTCAGGTGATACAGAAAGAACCAAAAATCTCTGGAATAGGAAGACGACTTTTAGAATTAATCTATAATTTTAAATATTCTGACTTGAGACAAAACAATAGTGTTAATTCAGACCAGTTAAACTTAATGAGTGCATTTATTAGCTACTTGTACATATTTTTTGTGTAACAATATTAAAGAAGTCGATCTTCCTATTTAATAGATTTTTGGTTCTCGGCAAAAAGAAACTGAAAAAGACTCCATTTCAACTTAACATTTGCTACTAATTCTAATGTTATTTACCTCTGCAATGGCAACCTAATAGTGCAAATCTTTGATAGTTCATACTTTGACTTTAGAACGATCAGAATACACAAAATTCTTTATTTTACAATGAACTCAGTTTCAGGGACTGTGCGAAAGTTTAATGATTGATTTTTAGAAAACTTTTGGATCTTACAGAAATCATAGTTTGAAATATCAATGTTTTACGGCATCAGGGCGTACTTTACAAAGTTAAAATTTGCAAATGTTTCCTTTACAGATACAATTATTGGATCCTTAAATTAAAGAATTCAATATTTAACTGGTAAGCAACCAATAACTAGGATACAACCAATAACTAGGATGCAACCAATAACTAGGATGCAACCAATAACTAGTATGCAACCAATAACTAGTATGCAACCAATAACTAGTATGTAACCAATAACTAGTTTGCAACCACCAACTAGTATGCAACCAATAACTAGTATGCAACCATTGCTTTCATCATAATTCGGCAGAAAATCAAGCTTAATCTTGATCTTTTGTCTTGTATAAATATAAATCTTTAATCTTTATTTCACAGAGAGGACGAAAGTTTGCACATGTTCCATAGAAATTGGCACAGCATAAACTTTGCTTCATTCTCATCACCTAGACGAAGACCATTCGAACATTTTTACTACCTTCACCGACTCTTTGTTTACAGGTTAGTTTACAGGTTAGTTTACAGGTTAGTTTATAGGTTTGTTTACAGGTTAGTTTCTGTTTAGTTTACATTTTAATACAGATTAGTTTGCAGGTTAGTTTGTAGGTTAGTTTACATGTTAATTAACAGGTTAGCTTAAAGGTTGTTTTGCAAGTTAGTTTACAGGTTAGTATATAAGTTAATTTCTATGTTAGTTTACAGGTTAGTTTATAGGTTAGTTTACAGGTAAGTCTACAGATTAATAAACATGTTAACTTACAGGTTAGTTTAAAGGTTAGTTTACAGGTTAGTTTACAGGTTAGATTACAGGTTAGTTTACAGGTTAGTTTACAGGTTACTTTACCGGTTAGTTTCTGGTTAGTTTACAGGTTAGTTTATAGGATAATTTACAGGTTAATCTCCTGTTCAACGAAATAACCAACCTTAAATTCCCTACTTTTTTATTTCCAGGGAGGATAATTACTTATCCTCCCTATTTTCAGGGAGGATAATTACTTATCCTCCCTATTTACAGGGAGGATAATTACTTATCCTCCCTCTTTNACGCTATTGAGGTTTAGAACCCCAAAAAGGTCTTGGAGGCCCTCGGCTAAGTGGTTTTCCCCTCAATTTAATTATCCTCCCTTAATCTCCCGGTTAAGTAGTAATTAATAGTTATAGTTTGCTCGTTAGTTTACATGTTAATTAACAGGTTAGCTTACAGGTTGTTTTACAAGTTAGTTTACAGGTTAGTATATTATTTAATTTCTAGTTTAGTTTACAGGTTAGTTTATAGGTTAGTACAAAGGTAAGTTTACAGATTAATAAACATGTTAATTTACAGGTTAGTTTATAGGTTAGTTTACATGTTAATTAACAGGATAGTTTACAGCTTAGTTTACTGGTTAGTTCACAGGTTAGTTGAGAGGTAAGTTTACTGGTTAGTTTATAGGGTAATTTACAGGTAGGTTAGTTTACAACTTAGTTTACAACAGTACCTTTAATGTTTTTTATTAATAATTTAGAAGAATTTGTCGTTTTTTCTATATTTTAAAGTGTTTAATTCTGATAATTTCTTAACGAGTTTGCTACACTAGAAATGCACAAATTACTGTAATAGAGAGGCTTTATGGAATTGAAGATAATAATTTATCAAAAGTATAAACATTGATAAATAATTCATGCTTGAGCAGACAAAGCCCAAAAGGTACTGTTGTGAAACCGGCACTGCCATTTTCGTATGATGGGTCATGTAAACCTACACATGTCTTGAAATGTGCAAGGCTTTTTAATTACAATTTTAGATATATAACAGAAAGAGATACAGTCGGGATCCCGGAAATTACACCATTAGATGCTAACGCTAGGCGAGGAAGTTTTAGGTAATATTAAGTTTTTAACAACTGTCTACTTCATTGGGAACTCCAGGGAATTTACTTGTATTAGGGTTTCCAAATTATTTATATTTTTCCAAGTTATAAATTAGTAATCGCATAGATAACTAGTTTATACAGAATACACTTTTATTCAACCTTTCACAGAGAATTTTAACCTCAAAATTGCATAAAACAGAATAACGCAAACGCGGAATAGAACAATTTTGCGATAAAAAAGCTTGATAATGATTGCGCAAAGTGTTTTTTTTCGTGCAAAGATGAAGCACAACTAAAGCAAAAATTTGCGCTTTCTCTCGCAAAAAATGCGCAAAAAAAAGTTTGGCGAACGGAAACCCTAAACCCAATGCATGAATGTAGACCTGAGATATATCAAACTATAGATTTTTTAATCCTTAAGCTGAATATTGTACTTTAACATTTTTTAACATTTTTCTTAATTATTTAATTATTTCAGCACTTTTTATTCGATAACACCGATTAATGATCCACAGAGAGTTTTGTCGAATCGTTACAGCAGGTGAATATATACAGGGTGTTAACTGTTTATAAAAATGTACCTACAGGGTGTGAAAAAAACATCATGGGTTATTATATACATTATATAACATTATTTGGAAAGAAATTATCCAGGACCAAAAATAATGCGTAAAGATTATGAAATCCGTTTATTTTTTAATACATTACATTCGGATTACCTATGTTTGTAATGCATTATTACTTCTATTTTTCACAATCAAAATAATTTGCAATGCTTGCTAATGAAGGAAATGATAATTAAAAACCTGGCATTTTTTAAAACAAACCTTTAAATAAACGTTTTCATCTGTTCAGATCGTAAAACAATACAATTTTAATCATTATCAATTTGTCTCTCGTTGCTTAAAAACTGTCACGTCATCTTAATGTTTTCAGCAATGTAGATTTCTGCCGATTACCACCACAAGTTTGTAAGTATTATCCTTAATTCTTAATCCTTAATCCTTAAGTCCTTGATTACATTTTGTTAAATATTTCAGACAGTCGAATTGATAGTGCTGAATCAGAATGCTTCAGAAGGTGGGTGTTTACTGTTTATTGTTTACTGTTTATTGTTTACTGTTTATATCCCATATTTTTCATTATTTCGAACAAATTTGTTTAGCTCAAGTGCCAGCATTGCCCGTGAAAAAAAAATCAAATTTTGAAGAAAAAATTTAAATACATACATAGGAATTGAGTCTTTGGAATAAAATCAAATATTTAAACCACAATATCTTCAGAACTCGATATTGTAAACCTTTGATATTTCAAACTCAGATTATTTATTCTTACAGAATTCATAGTTTGAAATATCTAAGGTAAGCAACATATGGTTCCAAAGATATAATGATTAGAAAATCAAGGTTTGTGGAAAAGACTCAATTTCTTTTTTTTAATAAAATGTGAAGTTTAAAAACTAATATACAAATATTTATATGTATGAGCGGAGAGATATATTATAAATATAATATAATAATATGTAATGTAAAGTTTAAAAACTGATATACAAATATTTATATGTATGAGCGGAGAGATATATTATATAGATCATAATTCACCTCTAATTCCATCTATCTACAGATATACAAATATACAAATATAAAGATATACAGATATACAAATATACAAATATAAAGATATACAGATATACAAATATACAAATAAACAAATATACAAATATACAATACAATACATATATGCTTGTTCAAATCCCGTTCGCAAATTCTCATGAACCTTTAAATTTGAATCAGTGAATCAAGATTTGAATCTGCGGCGGTATGTAGTTCAGCGACCTAACTCAAATTCATTAAATTCGGTCCCAGACCATATATCCATAGTTTATATATTTCTAGTTTAAACCGAGGAGACGGACTAGAGGCATATGGTTCTAATTGTGATTTTTATCACAATGTAGGACACAACTCTATCGGGTAATAATACCAAGTTTTATATCCCGGGGTAATAATACCAAGTTTTATATCCCGGGGTAATAATACCAAGTTTTATAATCCTTTTTATAAGGATTGGAGTCATTGACACACACTCTGATTTACTAATCCCTATATCTTTGCAACCCAGTGCCATAGACCTTATATATTTCAAACTCTGAATTCTGTCTGATCGAATAAACAAGGTTTGAAATATCAAAGGTTTAAATCATCAAGTTACAAATATAAAGTATTTAAAAACTTTGGGTTAGTGGCAAAGACTCCATTTCTTTATCTTAAAATATGAAATATCTTGTAAACCCTTGAACAGTTAAAACATTTTCCTTTTATTATTTTATCGCTCACTAGCTCGCAAATAGAATATGAAAATGATAATAATAGTGAAAATATTTTAGTTATCTACAAACGCTTTATTTTAAAACATTTATCCTCCCTTGAATAACCAAATATCTGAACAATCTCTTTAAAGGGATCAATGTAAGAGTGGAAACCAGCTTGGCCTAATGGGATTCAGTGATGGTAAATATGTATTCATTTTCTTACATAAATCCTGGGAAATGAAGAAGAGTGGGGGGGGGGGGGGGTCGGGGTAGAGATGGGCTTGTTGGCTTTTTTCAATTGGTTTCTTTATCGTACCATTTCACTAATTCATTTCAGTGTCGGCTCGTGATCCAATATTTTATCGGTAAGAATAAACAGAAATATTAGAGAAAATAAAATCTATATTATACTACTTTTTATCCTTTTTAACAACAGGTGGCATACTGAGATTGATATCAAGTACGACCTATATCTGGTAAAATTTATAAAAATAGTTTTTTTTTCTTTCAAATACATGTGAGAGTACAGAAAGTTTACTAAGACATTCTGTGATTCAAGTTTACATAAAACAGTGGTAGGCGATTATATTAATATATTGAAGGCGACTTACGATTAAATTTCTTGACTTCTCTCAAGCTCTTAAAGACCATGAAAACACACAAACATGAAACACAAAGAGAAGAGGAAAATTAAAAAGTTTATTTTTAGTTGAAGGAATACTTGTAATTCGAAAAAAAACTTGTCAAAATTTAAAACTTTATGATATTATTTATATAATCGCTTATATATACCACCATAAGACCCTTCAAAATTGCATCAGAAACAAGTCTAAATATATATGTATGCCTTTTTTAAGAAAAAAACCTTTGTTTAATTTTGTTTAGCATAACTTTGTTAAACCTTTCCAGCAGTTTGGGATCTAAAGATTTCATTCTGAACATCTCACATCTCTTACGCTTTAAGCTGAGACAAATTCCGATTGTTGAAAGGACTGTACGTGTAATTTCACGTGACCTTCCATGCAAACACGGCATGCTCCATTTACAATAGTACCCCTGAAAGCTTTGTCTGATCAAGTAAGGATTATTCATCATTGTTTTTTTTGTAATTGCGGGTTCACTGCGAGAGTGACTTGCGCGTTTCTTTTTTATAAGAAACAATGGTGAAACTCAAAGGGTACCATTGTAAATCATGCATTGCCATCCTATCATAGAGAGTCTCTTGAAATTACGGTTTTTAAATTAGGGTGATTATCTAACAATTGTTTTTAATAAATATTTCAAGAGAAGACAAAGAGGCTACACCAGCCGAGAACTTTTCCCACCCAGAGGTAGTTTATCTAATATTACAGTTTTTAATGATTTATCAAAATTGGAATTCCAAAAATGTGCTCTGCCGTCAACTTCAAAATTGATGAAATATTAAATAGTTTGTTAACATTTTAATTTTATAATTAATAAAAGAAAATTTTCCAAATATCTAAAATCTGCCTTTTAAGATATTTGAAATCTTATGAGAAGTACAAAATTTACTACATAATTTATCAACAATTTAAAATACAATAAAATAAATTAATGATTAATTAAATAATAAATTTATTAATAATTAATAATTAATTAATAATCATTAATATTAATATTAATAAATGATTTAATAAAGGAATTGGTTAATCTGTTGTAAAATACAATTGAATTTTTTTTTAGGAATTTATGTGATTGATGTATATCTTCGGTCAAGATGTAGAGATGTAAATAAGGTAATCTTAGTTCCATTTTTTAGAAATAAACTATCTTAAGTGCCCGGCGTTGCCCATGTAAATACAAATTGAACAGACGAATTTTGAAAAAAAATATTTGGAAAATATCGAATTTTGTTTAACGGGTTCCCTAAAAACAGTTTTTTGGCCGGTTATAGGGAACATATATACGAATGTTTTATTATATAGATTATCAGGGAAATGTTAGGTTACTAAACACTCCCCTGGGACAATTAAGTAAAAATATCATCCCTGTTTCCCTCGACCAATTTTGCCTACTAAAGATCCTGAGCGTTGCTTTAGAAACAATCATTCGCTCATATTTGATAACAGCTGTCTCTCATGAGAATGAAAATCAAATTAAGTATTCTTCAATTCTATCTGGATCGCTGTGAGTTAGATTAATATTTGCTACAGTTGATCAGAGTGCACCTATCTGATCGCATGGATTAAGTCTATATCAAAACTGATCTGAGTTTTGAATTTCATCCCTCCAATTAAGTCTATATCAAAACAGATCTGAGTTTTAAATCTCATCCCTCTGATCAAGTCTATATCAAAGCTGATCTGAGTTTTTAATCTCATCCCTCTGATCAAGTCTATATCAAAACTGATCAGAGTTTAAAATTACATCCCTTTGATTAAGTTTGATTGTTTGATTTAAACTGCAGATCTAAGTTTTAAATCGCATTCCTCCAATTAAGTCCAGATTAAAACTGATTCAAGTTTTAAATCGCATCCCTCCATTTCAGTCTAGATTAAGCTGGCTTGCGCTTTAAATCTCATCCCTAGAGATCAAATTTCTAGATTTCATTTTAGGTTGAAACCTTCTGGGAGTTAACGGATAGTCAATACAGACTTAATCACATGGATTTCAGATTTGAAATAAGGTAAAAAATGTTCTTTTAAAGTGTCAAACCCATTTCACCTTTTTTAAATCAACATCCAGATCTGTTATTATAGGAAGCAGCACATTTTCTATATGACCTAACAAAATAATAAAGTAAATTGTCAATTTACAAACGATGAACAAACAAATTAGAAAACTTTGAATGTAATGCAAGCATTGAAATTTAACGTATAAGTTTCCCGATACATTTAAAATGAACTAATGAAACGAATAATCAGTAGTGAAGTGATTGATAAAAATCAATAAATTATTGATTTGAAGAAACGTGTTTACCAATCCTTGAAAATAATTATTAACCTACCCTCTTCTTATGTAGATTTTGGAATGCATTACGACTCCGAAATAAGGTTATCTTAAGAATTTTCCTTGTCAAAGAGAAATTTGTGTAAGTATTTTTTTCTATCTTATTCTACGGTAGTAGGCAAATAAAGCAATATAATGAGGACGACTTTCGATTTCAATTTGGATTTATATCAAGTTTTTAAACCGCAGAATACACAAGCTATCCGTTAAAAAGCTTCTCTTTAAATACTTGTAAATTAATTCAAAAAGGTTGTTATCAATAAAAACTTATTTAAAAAGTCGTCTTTAACATAATGCTATTTTCGCTTATACCACCGGCTCTAGGGTTACCTAAGAAGATAAGACTTAAATGACAACTTAAAAATCAAAGACAAGACGTTTTAAAAGCTGTCAAGCATATCGTTGTTAATGATACTTAATGATGTGGCAAAGCTAGAGACAAGTTTACAATCTTATGGAATTAAGAATGTAAGAAAAATTACTGAGTGAATTCCGCACAATCGTCTCTGAAGTATCAATATTTTTGGGTAACCCATGAACCAAAATAGTTGGTACTTTAATTCAAATTATTCAATCTATATAATAAAACAAGACATTATTTTAAAAATATTTTTTTTAATGTTTTTTTTCACGGGCAACGCTGGGCCCTTCAGCTAGGAAAAAATAAATGCCACAAATCAATGAACTTAAAAAATAAAATCTAAATTTAAACAGCCAATCTAAATTATATTAATACGCAACAAGAGTTGTTTAATAATTTCGTATTCTCAATCTATATAAGTTCAAATGCTGCGGAAAACAAAGAGTTTAATATTCAAATTGCTGTCCTGTACATTTCATATTTAGTTTTTTTTAAATAAGAATAAAAATTAGTTTCTTAAGAATTATCAAGATCTCAATTTATGGATATTTGGATATATTTTCATAAATCATATTCAATTTATTCCTTAAAACTGCGAACATCTCAGCAGCTTTCGTAATGTACAGAACAATGATGAAGCATAACAGCTCTCATAAACTTTCAGATACATTTCAAGACGACATTTCATATCTGAGATTGGCCTTAGATTTTAGGCAGATGCCCAAGGAAGTTACGTTCACTTGCTACGTTGAATTACAAGGAGAAGTATTTATTTTAGGGCTAGGTTAAGACACTTTCTTGGGAAAGCGCTGCGGCTAGGGCAGGCTAGGAAAGGATAGGAGCCAAGCTCCGCGGCTAGAACAGGCTCTCTCTCTATCTTGTAATTCAACGCGGCATGCATTCCTTGGGCCTCTGCCTAGAGTTCACTGTTTTCAGGAATATCCATAGACACTACTTTGAGCTGGACAGGTTTACTTACAGACTGACCGGAAATAGATTAGAATCTTTGACAAGATTCTCAAACCAAAGTTCAATTATCTGGAGGGTAGGTTGTATGCATAGATTAATAACTATACAGATAGAACACTAGTGACGTCTTTTCAAGATTTAAGGGTTTTTCGTGCACAATAACCAAAGAGAATAGAATATATATTAGAGGGGAATTTACAAGAAAAAAGTGTTGTACTGTTTCCATACTGCAGGTGTACTTCACATATTTATGCTATATAACCTTTTGGGCCCTGGAATATCATTTTATAGAAAATCTAAAATTAATGTTAAAAGAAAACCAAATTATGAAATAGGCTGGTTTCATAATTGACCAATGATGATTTCACATAGACTCTATGCCTTTCACTTTACAAACGATGATTTTCCGTTATAACTGTAAATCAAATGAATGTTTTTATTCCTCTAATTCATTATAAAGTTTATTTAACAGCTTTAAAAATCTCGAATTTGAAATGAATAGTCCAGGGAACATTCTGCATTAATGTACTCTACTGCATATAATTTGTGAACATTTACATGATTTGTACACTTTGAACTCCCTTTCAGGCTGAAAGGGACTGAAAAAATGCATACCGAGAGATTCTTTAAATTCCCCTCTAATATATATTCTATTCTCTATGAAAATAACCCTGAGGCAGAAGCCCAAAGGAGTTCCGTGCAGGCAACTTTAAATTACAAGACAGAGAGAGACCATGCGCGTAACTTCTTTGTGCCTCTGCCTCAGGGTTATTGTAAACGAAGAACTCCTAAATCTTGAAAAGACGATATGTAGTGGATTGTCTGTATTGTTATATTAATCTATGATTATGTTCATTAATATTCAAGTTACACAAATGGAGTCATAAAACCGTGGAAGAGGACTGATATAGGCATTAAATGACCATGAAACACAGCCATTACTGTACACTGTACACTGTACACTGTACACAGACACATCAAGCTGTCAAGCTGTCAAACATGTATAATATTTCTTAAATGTTATCTTTCAATATAACAAATCTTTGAGTTCTTGTTGATGTGAGATATAAGTATTTTTCATTTCATTTTTAATTTTGAAAACTCTTATTTCCTAACTAACTAACTAACTAACTTAATTTCTAGAACAATGCCCAGTGTGGATGGCCTCCAAATCTACTTCTACCGAAAGGAGGACAATTTACACCAGAATCTTACAGGTAGGTACAGACAGTCCTAATCAGAAAGGAGGACAATTTACACCAGGAACTTACAGGTAGGTACAGTCCTAATCAGAAAGGAGGACAATTTACGCCAGAATCTCACAGGTAAGTACAGCCCTAATCAGAAAGGAGGACAATTTACACCAGGATCTTACAGGTAGGTACAGACAGTCCTAATCAGAAAGGAGGACAATTTACGCCAGAATCTTACAGGTAAGTACAGTCCTAATCAGAAAGGAGGACAATTTACACCAGGATCTTACAGGTAGGTACAGACAGTCCTAATCAGAAAGGAGGACAATTTACACCAGAACCTTACAGGTAGGTACAGTCCTAATCAGAAAGGAGAACAATTTACACCAGGATCTTACAGTTAGGTAGGAACAGTCCTAATCAGAAAGGAGGACATTTTACACCAGAATCTTTCAGGTAAGTACAGTCCTAATCAGAAAGTAGGACATTTTACACCAGAATCTTACAGGTAGGTACAGACAGTCCTAATCAGAAAGTAGGACATTTTACACCAGGAACTTACAGGTAGGTACAGACAGTTCTAATCAGAAAGGAAGACAATTTACACCAGAACCTTACAGGTAGGAACAGTCCTAATCAGAAAGGAGGACAATTTACACCAGGATCTTACAGGTAGGTACAGACAGTCCTAATCAGAAAGGAGGACAATTTACACCAGAATCTTACAGGTAAGTACAGTCCTTATCAGAAAGAAGGCCAATTTATACCAGAATCTTTCAGGTAGGTACAGTCCTAATCAGAAAGTAGGACAATTTATACCAGAATCTTACAGGTAGGTACAGTCCTTATCAGAAGTACCCGGACTTTATTTACAATTAATCAGAAATTAATATATTAATTATATATACATACAGTGAAACCAAACCCTTAATAACGAATACATCGAAAGAATTCATCAAACGTCGTTTTCTTCACTTTCTGATAATGGAATGTTGCAGATATTTAGTTTTTTAATTAAATGATTATATGGAACTCTTTAAAACTGTTCCCGCATATTCATGGCTATTTATTTATTTATGCAAATACTGAAATTTACGTAATATAGTATAAAACTCATTGAAAAATTGTCAAAACGACATTTGATAAATTCTTCAGATGTTTTCGTTATTAAGGGTTCCACTGTATATATATATACTGATGATTGCATAAAAGCATGAAACAATTTGTTTATGAGTAAATTGTTATAAGAAGATTGTTGCGTTTTAACTGATATACATATATATATATGATTAAAATAATCACAAAATAGTTCTAGTCCTACCATTTCCAAATTGTGGTTTGCCTTTCTTGGCCTTTAAAATTTCCATAGATAAATATGTAAAATCGCCTACTAACTGTCAATTAATTCCGGGTCTTTCCGATTATGACTGTCGTAGGTAGGTAGTTAGTTAGGTAGGTAGGTAGGTATAGCCATAGGTAGGTAGGAAAGTACAGTAAGAGCCATAAAACTTTGGAATAGGAAGTCGATGTTTAGACTCAAGTTATGACATTAAATATTCCAATGAACATGAGGCATAGCAGTTGTGCAGTGCAAACAGACCTATTTCACTTAATAAGTGATTAGATAACTTACTAGTAAATTTATTTGCTTTGTGACAACATCAAATACACTTTAGTATTGCTTTAGTGTCGTCTTCCTATTCTACAGTTTTCTGGTTATCACTGTAGTAAGGTAGGTAGGTAGGTAGGTAGGTAGGTGGGTAGGCAGGTAGGTAGGTGGGTGGCTAGAGAGAGCTGTACAGAAACAGTACACTTACAAATTATACCAGACAAAACGTGACTGTACACCAAATGAACCAGGCCCTTTTAGGTAAATTTTACATGTTACTAGATGAATTGCTCGGCGTTGCCGGTGGAATTTTAAATCAATTTCCGAATTTCGAATAAACAATAAAACTTTTTAACCTATGTGACCTCCAGGGTTTAGTTTCCAATTTTTTTAGCCAATTGGGTCGATCGGTTTGGTCAGCTATAGCTAGGTAGGTGGCCAATGGCCATATATTATTTTCTAATGTCATATTATAAATGTTTAGAATAATTGTCTTCATAAATGATGTTTCAAATCAAGCTGTCAACGAAGGAGAATCTGATGAACCAACCATGTAAATATCTAAACATTTTTTTTTGCTGCAATGATTTTTATAAGAAATAGAAATTTCTTGATAATTGGAAGACAACATGATCTTTGAAATAATTTGGGGCATTTCTTTATTAACTCAACTTTTTAATTATGATTTTTACAATACAATAGTCTTCCTATTTTTAATATGAAGTGATCCTTTTTTTGTGCTTTCAAAGAGTTATAAAGCACTTAGTTTAATTTTTATTTTATCACACAAACGAAATATTGCTTTAAAATATTCACATTTTCAATAATTTTGAAACCCCCAAAAGGAAGACCACATTTTTAAAATAAACTAATTATTTCATGAATTATATTGGTTCTAAAATTAATTAATTGTTTGTCCGTTGCAACCTTTTTTTTGCAAACACTCCCTTTAAAATGTTGATTTTAGTCCCTGTGGTTCGCCTAACGTTTTTATGGACTCGAGACCATTTGGGTGGCCGGTAGACAAGGATTGGATAGGTTTAAATAAAATGAATGTGATTAATAACAGATACAGGTCAGAGAAACTAATTTGTTTAAACATTTGAAAAAATGTCGTTATTATTAGAGGATATTTAAACACAGTCCCCTTCTTGTTTAACGTAGTTTTTATGGTTTGAAAAGTGTTGAAATCTGATCATTTCTGAAGCAGTGAAACTACAAATGCAAATAAACAGTTTACAAAATGGAGATCTAATGTATTCTTCTTTAGACTACTTGCTTTTAAGGGTACTGTAGTGTATAGGACATGCCACTTAAAATAATTTTTACCCTTTCAAGCAAAGAAAACAATTATTCTGAAGATTCCAAGTTTATATGCAATGAATAAAAAGAGTCTTTTCCACTTTTGTGTTATCAAAGAGGGTTGACAGATTTTAATTTAAAACAAAATTTTAGCATTAAGTACAGTGAAACCCTTACTAACGAATACATCGGAAGCATTTTTCAAATGTCGTCTTGACAATTTTTCAATGAGTTTTATACTATATTACGTAAATTTTAGTATTTGCTAAAATAAATTAATATCCATGAATATGCAGTAACGGTTTTAAAGTGCTCCATATAATCATTTAGTTAAAAAAACTAAATATCTGCAACATTCCATTATCAGAAAGTGAAGAATACGACATTTGATAAATTCTTTCGATGTATTCGTTATGAAGGGTTTCATTGTATTAGAATTTAGAGTAAAAACTAACTATATATTTTTTGATGAAAAAAGCATCAAATTGAAAGAATAGTAAAAAGAAATTAAGACAACAACAATTGTTACAATCTGATATATTAAAAAATAGATGATGGGACTGTAATTAACTTTTCTTTTCAATTTAAGGGTTTTCGGGAGAATTTCTCAACGGATTGAAATCATGAATAGAGGTTTTAATCCCAGCATTTGCGATGACGCCCGGTTTACTAGAGAAGGTAAAACCATTCAGGGGGCATAAGTTCCAACCCATGACTGTGTTCAAAACCTGACATTAACCATTATGTTGTTAATCAACAGAACAGATTATAAATCTTGCATTTTTATCACACCAATTGTCGTAATATTATACCACAAAGGAGCTTCGGAAATTTATACTGTCTGTTTCCTTATATTCATAACTCCTTGCAACTGTAAACAGGTTTCGCTCTTTGCCAAAATCATTAAATACGCCAAAAAAAGACTCAAGAAGATTTAATTCAACCTAGAAATCGTCATATTTTGAGAGTTTCAGGTCTCATCAATCTTATTTTCTAATTGTGGAATAATTTTAAAATTGTTGGTTCTCAGTGGATCTCTTTGACTTTTTTAGAAGACATTTTTTCTCTAATACTTGATTAAAATCAAAATATTAACAGTTACATTTGTCATTTTGTTCCAAATCTGAAACTTAATGTCAGGTCTGGGTCAACTCATTGATCGCAACTTTTCCCCCCTGAATTTATCTTAATGTTGCAATTTAGGCCCTATAATCTATGTCGTATTCACTTTTAGTTTCAATTTAAATTTAAATTTAAATTTTTAAACATTCGGTTGCACTAGAGGGAGAGGGAATATTTATTTCATTTTCATTAATTTCTGTATATTTTATTATCATATTTCATTTTCATTAATGTCTGTATATTTTATTATCATATTTCATTTTCATTAATGTCTGTATATTTTATCATATTTCATTTATTTTAAGGTTTATCGATGGTTATGCCCTAAACAAACATAGCAAGAATAATCCATCAATATTATAAATAACATTATTCTTTAATAAATTTACCTTAAATTAAAGAAAAAATCGTATATTTTATTATTTCATAAATTGGAAAAGTAGTCTTAAAAGAAAACTTTTATAACACGCAGATGATTTCTCTGATGGAGTCCGTGTGACGGTGTGCCTCACTTTCGGATCTGATCAAGATCTGAGTCACATTGTTAAGGGAAAGACATTTTGATGATGCGAAAGTTTCGCTAAAAAAGTGATGCAAAAATTTTGCGAGAAAAATAATGTGAAAATTTCACGGAAAATTAAGGAATGCACAAATTTCCCGAAAAAATGGAAATTATGAAGAAAAAAAACAAAAATTTTGCTATAAATACAGAATTCAAAAAATTCCAGAGAAATTCTCAGGACTTCATCATCAAATTTACAGAATTTACTGCGCCATCCTCTGTGTGTACTTTTTGTAGATCATACTGTGGCCGAATTTAAAGTGGCGGTTTAAATTTAAGCCGCGGCTTAAATATGGTTGGTTCCACTTAAAATTGTATCAAATGTTTCAAGATTTAAGCCGGCACATAATTTAAACCGGGTTTTGGCGGATTCAAACCGCGGCTCAAATTCTTTAAATTCCTTCTCCTATGCAATTCAAATTCAAACTTCAATTTTCAAAAGTTACATTATGTAATCATAAACTATTCAATCCTATATGTCTGATTTTCTATATTTTCTCATCTTGCATAATTTTTGCATGTCTTACTTTACCGAATTTGTGATAACCAGATAACAATGTCATCTGAAGACGACATTGTATCAATAATTACGCCTATTCAGTAAATTGCTACAAAGTGAATTGTGTTACTATTTCACTAATTTAAAGTAACATTTGCATCTGTTTACATAACACATTGATGTGTCTCGTATCGTGCTTATTGTACTTTTAAAGTTACGAGACTTTTAGGGCGCTTCATGTCAATCTTCTTTTTAAATTGTGAACAGTTTTCTTTGTATGCAATTGTGAGCCGAACAAAAGGAATAACACTCGAAATAGGGAAATAAGGCGAATTCGTGAGGGAAACACTCTTTCCAACCATACACAGATAGATGAGAACTTCTTGAAAATGTATATTTCAGTAACAAGGTTTCCTACAAAATACAAATTGTTATTGGCGCACATGCATATAAATAATAATTGTTAATAATATCAATAAATGAGTATTGAACAATTGGTTTAGCAGGATTGGAGATTTTAGGTTTAGTAGGTTTAGCAGGATTTGGGGATTCTAGGTTTAGTAGGTTTAGCAGGATTTGGGGATCATATTTTATTGCTGTTGTGAATCGATAAATAAAGTGTTTAAAGGCACTGTTGTGAACTGATAAATAAAAGGTTTAAAAGGTACTGTTGTGAACTGATAAATAAAAGGTTTAAAAGGTACTGTTGTGAACAGATAAATAAAAGGTTTAACTTACAATCTAGAAAACTGTGTTAGGCCAAAAAGTTGTTTGAACTGAAGTCTAAAGCAATTTAATTCTTCTGAAATGAATATTTATCTGGTTAAAGTAATTTCACTGTTTATTTTGTAAATGATTCATTGAAAATTATGTTTAAATGGGTTCTTTTAATGCACTTTAAGTTTTATTAGCTCCATGAGGTTATTGTTTATAGTTATGCAAAATCCTTGGCAAGGTTTGGTTTGGTGGGTGGGCGGAGTATTCAACGGAGGTACAGTTTGACGGAGACGACCTTACAACAGGGGAAATTTGAGGGATATGGTTCACAGTGGCCCCAGGAGGGGTTCGAGGATATAAAAGCTTATAGACGAGAAGAAATGAGAACCATAGCCCTTAAAATGTTTACATTGTGGGTTTGATTGATTGATTGGTACATCACAAGGGACACATTGTTACACTACATGTAGGGATATTATTATTATTGACGAACTATCAGAATTGATACAGAAATGCGAAATCATGAATAACAAATTGCAGGTTGAGGGCAGTCCAGAGAATTGAATGTTAAATTAGCATAAACAAGTTGGTATTTTAATGATTGATCGATTGGCAAATTGAAAGTGTTGTGTCAGTTAAACGGGATTTTCTTTTGAGGGAAATAAATAAATGAAATGTGTGTTAAATAAGTAGTTCAATTATTGAATTTAATGTTTAATGGACTGGTTGATTTCCTGTGCTGAGTGGTTTCATAGTTGTTTCCCGGCGGGGATCTGTGAATCCGGCGGGTATTGATAAACTTTCCATTTGTTTTGAAAGTTGACAAGCAACAAAATGGTAAATAATGTTGATGGATTTGAAAATTGATTGATTAATTTGACCCAAAAAAAAAGAAAATATAAGATAAATTCTAATGTACCCGCCGGAATTATGCTTTTACTGGTCCGGGTTTGCAGGATCTGTGTGGAACTCGTCTTGAGCTGGGATATGTTGAGTGGAGCTGTCCGGAGCTAGGTTCTCAGCTACAGGATCTGCTGCTAGCCCGTTAATCGTTTCCTGAGGGAGCTGCTGTTCCACGCCAAGGAATGGAAACAACTGGTTCAGATGACAGTCGACGGTAATTTTCCGGCCTCCTACTTCTCGGCGGTAACTGATGGTTGCACCGTATACGTCTCCATTCTTCCTGCAGAGTACAGCTTCTACTCTTGCGGCCGAGATTGGATGACGGTAAATGGGTTCATTCTTGAATAGAACTATGTCTCCTACTTGAGGTGACCCTTTCTGTTCCTTCCAAGCCACGGTTAACCTCCGCCTGGTATATTCTTGGGACCAGAGTGAGGTGAAGGTATTGAGGGCAATCTTCCACCTGGATAATTGGTGTTGAACGGGGGTGTTGAGGTTGATTTCGTCCCCGTGACATTCCTTGAACCCCTGGAGAATATGATTCGGGGTGATGGTGATTCCTAGCGGAGCAGCGAGGATTAGAGGCCGGTTATTGAGCTCGTTGATGACCATGTGGGACCAGGTGAGAAGTTCCTCGTCGTCCATGATCAGGTGCTGTGGTCCCTTCACGGATTTGCTGACAGTGTTCTTAATTGAACCAATAATTCTCTCAACAGCACCGATGCCTTGGTGGTGCTTGGGAAGAGTTACTCTGAACTCGATGGTTTCGAACTTGAGGTTGAGGCCAGAAATCACCTTCATTTCTGTATCAATCAGATCCTTGCCTGCCTTCACAATGTTCAGTCCGGCATCAATCCAGATGATTCTTGGAGTGCCCCTCAGAGCGAATGTCCTGCGGAAACCTCTTGAGATACTTTGAGCGCTGTATTTGTGTAGGATTTCCAGGTGCACCCCGCGACTGGAGAGACAGAGTACTACTAACACCCATCTCTTGAGCTGTAGTCCCTCTTGGTGTGCAAATATTGGTCCAAATATGTCAGCTTGACAGTAAGTGAAGGGAGGTTGGATGGTCTTGAGGACGTCAGGGACATCGGCCTCGAATGCAGAGAACGGTTTGTTGTTGAGTTTGATGCATCCAGGGCAAGACTTCTTTAGATCCGTGATCATTGTCCGGACACCAGGAATAAAGAAATTTGTTTGTATGTGTGAGATGGTCTGGAGGATGTCTCGACCATGGCCCAGGTCACGGTGTGCATCGTTAACGATGCATTTCGCCAGGATAGTCGTCTTGCAAATGAGCGGCACACCAACCCGGGAGCGGAAGCTTCTGTCGGAGACGTAATAAACTCCTTTGACATTTTGAACCACCAGATGTTTCATCTTATTGGAGGCAATGATGGACTCCGTGGTTCTGATAAAGCATTTAATGATGGAAGAGGAGATGGAGTCCTTGATCTTGCTCCAGGTAAAAGCAGGGTTAGGATTCTTTTTAGCTCTCCAGGCTCTGCAGACTTTGTGGAGTAGAGTTATGGCTCTGACTACCTTGGTGAGGCTCTGGGAGTGCTCTAGGTAGTGGGTAATCAGATCCTGGGACTGGTTAACTGGCAGGTTGATGATGTTGACCATTCTGGTGCAGGTATCAGAAGTAGGAAGAGAAGTACATGCTATGATGGGCCAGGTGGACTTTTCTTTAGGAAGGAAACTGCCTCGGAGCCAGAACTCGGAGTTGATTTGTTTGCATTCTGTTCCAGATCTAGTCAACAGGTCTGCTGGGTTGAGAGGGCCTGGACACCAGAACCAGTTGTCTGGTGAAGAAGTGGAAAGGATTTCCATGAGTCTGGTTTCATAGAATACAGGGGGTCCAGCAGGATCATTCTTGGCGATCATTTTCAGGACGATCTCCGAGTCCCCCACAAACATAGGAGCGGACAGAGTCACATTGAAAAGTTCCTGACTGATCTTCTGCTCCATCCTGGTAGCCAGGGTTGCCCCTGCTATTTTGGATTGAGGGGCGGAGTACGCAGTTTTCCCCAAAATCTTTGCTGAACTGTAGAGAAGGTTGAATTGATCATTGGAGTGAGCGTAGACGCATGCATCATATCCTTGTAGGCTTCCGTCGAAGAAAATGAAGAGTTGAGCTGAATAGTTGAAGATGATCTGGCGAGAGAAATATATTTCTTTGGTGAGTAAGATCTCTCCAACGGCACGCCTGAACCTATCGGTGAGTTCTTGAGACAGTACAGAATTAATGGAACATTGAGAGTCTCTGCAGATTTCGCTGAAGAGTGCTCGGACAGAGAACATGAGTGGTGCTGCAAGTCCTGTAGGGTCGTAAAATTGGCAGGCTACGGACAGGACATTCTTCTTGGTGATCGGTATAGTGTTGTCCTGGAGAAATCCGGAATCCAGGTCGTCTCCGGAGGGGATACCTCGGTGTTTCTTGTGGAGATTGAGTCGGAATTTGAGCATGAAGCAATCTCTGAAGCGGTCCCAGGTCATCCCTAGGTATTTGCTGACGCCCTTCTCTCCCGAACATTCCCATGATTTGATCTGAAATCCACCTTTGCCTAGGATTCTCTCAATTTCACCTTGAAGGGCTGAGAGCTTGCTGAAGGACTCGGCCCCGACTCCCCCGTCATCTATGTAGGTGTCTTCCAATGTGGCTTGTAAGATGGCTTGTTGGAGGGGGGGAGGGGCTTCTTTAATGAATGTCTGGACTGTAGCAA